GGACCCCAAGTCGCATGGACTTGTTGAAGTTTAGATCGGACTTCTTTGTATACCCTAATGTATCTGTCTCACTAGATAGAGTAGAGTTTGTAATTATATATTAGATGCTGGCTGTGAAAATTCATGGGATTCATCCATCCATTCACGATCCTAAGATGTATCAGATTTAGGCTTCTTGATCAGACTGTGGGGCCCCCACCTTGGTCAGGCCGCCTACCCTACCCAAATGGTAGAAACTTTTAGTGAATAGTTTCTACCTAAATGGTAGTTGGGGACCGGGGCCATATAGCGTTGGGTGGCCCCACAGGGCGTCTTGGGCGTACCCAACTGCTCCTGTGGGTGTTCCCAATTTAGCTGTTGGGGACACCCATCTGGCGCGAAGCGACAGAAAAAAATTGTGTTTTGGGCCTTGTTTTAGGCTTCCAAGAGCACCATTTGGCACACTGGTATATCTACTAGACTCTAGTACAAACTGGTTGTATTATTTCTGCACTCAACTTTGATCTACATCATTTCTCAATTGATCTCATCATGTAGATCATTTGAATGCTGTGTTCTAATCAGTGATCCAATCACCCATGTGTGTAGGTGAAAGTTGTTCAGTTTTGCAAGGGCTACAACTTTGATTTCCCATCACTTTCTTTGTCAGCATCAGTCACATGCTCTATTGCCATGTAGAATGGCACAACTTTTGATTGCATATCAATTTTTGATGATACTGATGATGTGAATTGCAATCTCATCTTATCTGTCAGACCCAGATTGACATTATCTGCTTACTCAATAGTGGACCCTGATAATCAAATCCAAGAAAAATCTAATCTTGATGTGGCTATGTGTGATTGGATCATTAATGTGGCACAGCTTCTATTTCGGGTTGGATAATCATCTTATATAATCAAAATTGAACATATTGGACATGTGACTTCCTTTTGGGGATATTTTGATGCAACTTATAGCAACCCAAAATGGAAATTCATCTTAATTTTGGAATAGCTAATGCTCATGGTGTGGGTTCTGCCTGAAGTTTTCAGGGTATATTCTGTCATGTAATCACTTACATTTGCGCTCTTCAAAGTCACTGCATTGTTGTACAATGTCTCCATATCCCAATTCTTTCAGTGATACCCTACCTAGCTTTCCATGACAACACATGCTTCTCTAGGCACATCCCTATCTCTCTCTAACATTCTATGCCTCTCAAGTAATGTACTTCTATCTTGGATCTCACAGTAGAGCCAGCCATTGTATATATATATGCATAGTAACCATTTCCAACCCATCTTGCTTTGATACATAACCAGTGATTTCTACACCCTCAATTTACATCAGTCATGCTTTCATTCTTACAAAGAAGAGTTATTGAGGTTAATATGAACATAGAGACAAAGAATACAGGGAAGGCAATGGTAACATGTTGGAAATCAAAGTGCCCTTTGTAGTGCATATATTCTTGCTTCAGTAACTCGAAGCAATGTTTTACCTTATTGTAGCAACCATTTCGGAAATTTTCCGCACTGCATTGATCTAAAAATCAGGCTGTATCTGTTTCATTTAGGTGCATGTACTTTTACATTGGGAGTGCAATAGGGACTCTCTGGGTGAATTCCACACCTCCCTGAATATTGCAATGAGTTTTGGGAGTCATATACTCCCAGAATATAAAATAGATGGTAGGGGGAAACAAAAAAGTGCAATTTTTTTCGCACTTGCATTAGTGCTACATCTTAATCTTCTTGAGGTATATCAATCCAATATTATGTTGCCTTTTACTATTCCCCTGCCATCTATTTTATATTCTGGGAGTATATGACTCCCAAAACTCATTGCAATGTTCAGGGAGGTGTGGAATTCACCCAGAGAGTCCCTATTGCACTCCCAATGTAAAAGTACATGCACCTAAATGAAACAGATACAGCCTGATTTTTAGATCAATGCAGTGCGGAAAATTTCCGAAATGGTTGCTACAATAAGGTAAAACATTGCTTCGAGTTACTGAAGCAAGAATATATGCACTACAAAGGGCACTTTGATTTCCAACATGTTACCATTGCCTTCCCTGTATTCTTTGTCTCTATGTTCATATTAACCTCAATAACTCTTCTTTGTAAGAATGAAAGCATGACTGATGTAAATTGAGGGTGTAGAAATCACTGGTTATGTATCAAAGCAAGATGGGTTGGAAATGGTTACTATGCATATATATATACAATGGCTGGCTCTACTGTGAGATCCAAGATAGAAGTACATTACTTGAGAGGCATAGAATGTTAGAGAGAGATAGGGATGTGCCTAGAGAAGCATGTGTTGTCATGGAAAGCTAGGTAGGGTATCACTGAAAGAATTGGGATATGGAGACATTGTACAACAATGCAGTGACTTTGAAGAGCGCAAATGTAAGTGATTACATGACAGAATATACCCTGAAAACTTCAGGCAGAACCCACACCATGAGCATTAGCTATTCCAAAATTAAGATGAATTTCCATTTTGGGTTGCTATAAGTTGCATCAAAATATCCCCAAAAGGAAGTCACATGTCCAATATGTTCAATTTTGATTATATAAGATGATTATCCAACCCGAAATAGAAGCTGTGCCACATTAATGATCCAATCACACATAGCCACATCAAGATTAGATTTTTCTTGGATTTGATTATCAGGGTCCACTATTGAGTAAGCAGATAATGTCAATCTGGGTCTGACAGATAAGATGAGATTGCAATTCACATCATCAGTATCATCAAAAATTGATATGCAATCAAAAGTTGTGCCATTCTACATGGCAATAGAGCATGTGACTGATGCTGACAAAGAAAGTGATGGGAAATCAAAGTTGTAGCCCTTGCAAAACTGAACAACTTTCACCTACACACATGGGTGATTGGATCACTGATTAGAACACAGCATTCAAATGATCTACATGATGAGATCAATTGAGAAATGATGTAGATCAAAGTTGAGTGCAGAAATAATACAACCAGTTTGTACTAGAGTCTAGTAGATATACCAGTGTGCCAAATGGTGCTCTTGGAAGCCTAAAACAAGGCCCAAAACACAATTTTTTTCTGTCGCTTCGCGCCAGATGGGTGTCCCCAACAGCTAAATTGGGAACACCCACAGGAGCAGTTGGGTACGCCCAAGACGCCCTGTGGGGCCACCCAACGCTATATGGCCCCGGTCCCCAACTACCATTTAGGTAGAAACTATTCACTAAAAGTTTCTACCATTTGGGTAGGGTAGGCGGCCTGACCAAGGTGGGGCCCCATGCGTCGGCTGGAGCATCTTGGTACCGCTTTAATCAGCTGCTGGAAAAAATCAACATGCAATCATCGTGCACTTTTGTGCACGATGATGAGATCAGCACGGTTGCAATTGGTTGTTAGTGATCACTCTCACCCACGCAGAACAGACGGGCATTTCCAGCCGTCGAAGTGTAAAGGCCGCCTTCAAGGCTGGCGTTGCCGCCGCTGAGCTACGTTCGATATTCGTCTTAAATATTTTGCCTGAACCTTGAGCACGACGCACGGTCCAGTCACTGCGGCCTGGTACCACCGTTCCACCTCGTGCTGCCAGGAGGCAGAGATACCAAGAGCTCTGATCATACTTGATGAGGCTGGCGCCGCAAGTTTCGAAATCGACAAGTTTTGTTTGTGGCAATTTTGCCTCACATGACGGATTTTGTCCCGCTGCGCAAGGCTCCCCCTGGATAGGGTTTTCCTCGTAGGTTTCAGCGACAATCTTGCGCCTATCTTCTCTCTCTAACATGAGAGACATAGGAAAATCACCGTGACCGGGAGCGTTCGGCACACAGACCGAGACAGGGTCTGAGGAAGCGCAGCGGGAGATATTTCTTGCGCATCCAGCCACAAGATGTCCGAAACAGGGGCTTCCAGCCTCAAGCGGTCGAGTCTGAGCACCCATGGAGAGTTCCACGAGGAAACCACAAACCGGCGCGCCGAGCTCAAGGAGAATAGGACCTTATACAAAACGACAACAACTTGTGAGGCGGTAATTTTGTCCGGCAATGCGCGGCTACCCTCCAACTCCGCTATTCCGAGGTTGGTCCGGAAGGCTCCTGGCCTTTTGACCTAATTAGATCTTAAGAAATTGTCCGTCCCCCCCAGCGTTAAATTAATCAGAGGAACTTTGTGGCATTGCCTCGACCGGTTGATCATGCCGCCAAGTGCCAAAAGCACATGATCGTCCTGACTGGTGGAATTTCTTCGCCGTGCATGTTCTTCTCGCAGGGCCAGTTGGTCACCGCGATTTTTCCCTTCTTCCAGTTGTCTGTATTTCATAAAGATGCCCTTGTGAAAGGCTCAAGATTTTTTATTCTGATTTCATGCGTACTTTGTGGTCCCTTGATAGTAGCACTCAGTGTCAATCTCAGCGGCTGAGATCCTCCAGGAAGCTTCCTGCACGATTTGGAATACCAATGGCCCATGGATGAGTCTGAGGCGGCTCATACAACTTTTGCTGCAGGAACGGCTGTTCAGAACACGCTTCGAAAGAAGATTATGTCGTTGCATGTATTTCATCTCGGCCGTGATCTCCTTTTGCATGTGGCTGGCCATCTGTCGACGAGCCGGATCGGTGAATAAGACGCTCGATAGTAATATGCTGCTCAGTAGGTTGACTCGGTCATCGGAACAGTCGCGTGCGTGGCTTTTCATTGACGTTTCCTTACAGCTGCACTTGTGTTTTAGGGAAATGCCAGTCATCAACTTCGCGTCAGGCATGGATCAGGCCCATGGTACGGTCGCAGCTCTTCAGAACAAGACCGTCCGAACCGGCCAGGTCGTCCTTATTCCAGAATCTACGTCATAGTTTCGGCCAAATTATATTCGCGGAGGACCCCGAACATATAAGTATACATTCATTTCCCGATTATTATTATTAAAAAGTTTTTGAAAATTTACTACCTATTTCTTCGTCTGAAAAGCTGCAGCGTCTGTTTGTGTTAGCGTGAAAGTTGCTCCCTTGTGTCATTCAAAAGCTGGGATAGGTCGCAGGTGTCAGGTTCTTGCATTGTTCGGCCAATGTTCTCGGCTGTCAGGCTGCGCCGATACGGTTCCTGGCTGCTGCGACTAGGTTCTTGACTACTGCGGCCAGAATCTTGACTGCTGCGATCATTTATACACACGGCTGCATTACGGTCCAAACCATCATTGGGCAGAGCTGTGCTTTTTAACAGGCACCCGTCCAATTACACTATCTCACTACCGCCGCTCCTATGGCGCCTCGACTTTCCCTCTCGGTTCTGAGCTTGGTTGCGTCTTCTCTCGCTGCCGGAGGGAGAAGTGATGATGTACCGATGTGGGTGTTCCTTTCCGTCTTTCTCTCTGGTCCTGATCGAAAACGCCTTGTCTAGTGGAGGATATGTGCCCAGTGTGAGTTTTTTTTGGCTTTTTCATTTCGACGGTGCTAACGGCGAGCCTAGAAATCGCTCTCGATCACCGGAGTTGTGCTCTATGGATTGTCTGCACTCGTGCTGTGGACCCAATTTGTCATTGTACGACCGAGACGCCCTTTCATGCTTACCTTGACTCTGGGAATGACTGGTACGTCAGACGTTCCCGAGATATTCCCAATTAACATGAGAAGCCATGACCGTCGGATTTATTCTCCGATACCTCTACGCTACACCGCCTTTCACGTTGGGCAAATACATTGCCTGGGATATGGTGCGCTCACATCTATTCTCTCCAATTATGTTTCTCAACGACATGTAGTTCATCTTGCTTTCGGTATGGGATATATCGAGCATCCGTCGTCTCGTCTGCTCACCAATGCTCTCCAGCCTTGTCTCTTCCTGGCCACGGACTACATGATCCTCTCCCGTCTCGCCGCCACATTCAGTCCCGATGTTGTCTCCCGGTGCTTGGCCATCCGCCCGACCCGCGTCGTCAGGATATTCGTTTGGAGCGACGTCCTCACCTTCTTTTTGCAAAGCTCGGGGGGAGGACTGACCGCGACTAAGAGTGCGAGCTCGGCCAAACTGGGGACTACCGTGCGTCGTTATCCAAGCAGCCAGACTTTGTGCTCTGACCCCCTCATTTGCGCAGATTGCCCTCATTGGATTGATCCTCCAGGCCGTCTCGTTCATGCTTTTCACCTTCCTCATGCTCACCTTCGCCTTCCGGGTGTACGTCTGCTGGCGTTGTGATCTTTCTTTCGTCGCTGATTTCATTCAGATCGAAGCACTTCCCCCACATCTGGCAGGCTGAAAACGGCGAGCCCTTCAGGATTCTCTCCACCCGACCCGTCGGAGACTGGCGCATTCTAATCTACGTTATGAGCGCTACCTGCGTCGGGATATTGACGCGGTCTGTGTTTCGTATCGTCGAATTCGCCGGCGGGTGCGTACATTCCCGAATCGGATGGTTCTCACTGCATATTCACCACCCGCTTCTTTCTAGATATAACGGTTATGTGGCCACTCATGAATCGTTCTTCTACCTCTTCGATGCCCTCCCGCTCTGGCTTGCGATGTCGCTGTACTGCTTTGTTTGGCCCACGCGGTTCCTTCACGGACGCGCGGAGAATGTTGCGCTTGGTGCGGACCTCAAGTCGCATGGACTCGTGAAAGTTTAGATCGGACTTTTTGTATACCCCAGTGCATATATTTGTGTAGATATAGTAGAATATTTATCTATAAGTATACTGAGAGTCTACCGGTGAAAATTCATGGGATTCGTCGATCCACGATTGAAAGATGTATCAGATTTAGGCTTCTTGACCAGACTTTGGGGCCCCATGCGCCGCCCAGTATATCTTGGGACTGCTGCAATCAACTGCTGTAATCAACTGCTGCAAAAACTCAACATGCAATGATCCGGACACAAAAATATACTGCCAAAGATGAGATCAACACGGTTGCAATTCGGATACTCGTAACTCGCCCGTGCAAAACAGACGGGCATCGGCAGCCGTCGAAGTGTGATGGCTTATGATCCAAGGCTAGCATTGCCGCGGCAGAGTTACGTTCGGTTTTCGTCCTAAATGTTTTGGACCACAAACCGAGCCCCACGGCCGGTTCGGCACTTTGCATGAACCTTGAGCCTGACGCGGTTCAGTCAGTTGCGGTCCGGTACCACCGTTCCAGCTGGTGCTGCCAGGAGACAGAGATAACAAGAGCTCTGATTATACCTGATAAGGCTGGCTCCGAAACTTTCTCGAAATTGACAAGTTTTGTCCGGGGAGATACTGCCTCAAAATGACCGATTCTGTCCAACAGCGCGCTAGCCTCCCCTGAATTGACTCTTTTCTTGCAATCTTTGTGCACTTCCGGTAGTTCTCCCCTTTCCAACGTCAAAAAATTCAATTCGCAGTCACTAGGAACTTCTCAGCTATCGGATTGAAAGACTGCGGCGGGAGATATACATGGCCGTATTGAGCAACAAAGTTCCGAAACAGGGGTATCCGGGCTAAACAAGGCGTGGGACTAAGCTAGCATGGCAGAGGCGATCGGAAGAACTTCTTTACGGGAGCAAGTATCAAACACGTCGTGTCTGGTGGAAGGCAAAGCAGGGAAAATTACGGCATGGCGTGCGGAAATCACTTCAACGCGAGACGATCTGAGAATGTCTTCGAACGTCCGATTCCGGGCACTTGCAGTGTAGATAGATCCTTCGATGTATGCGATCAATGCATAGCTGGAGAACAAGAAGATTGGCCTGAGTGCTACGATAGTGGCGAGCCGAGCAAGGTGGCGCCCTAGCGCGGTCAGAAAACTTTGCCGATAGCAGTAAACGAGGTCATGCGGGCACTTTTCGAGTAGAAACCGACCTGGTAGAGTCTTTCGGACATCCCACAAAAACTTACGAGGCCAGGCCGTAATGCCGGACGAAAGGACCGCTCTACAGCCCCGTTTTGTCCGGCAGACCACTGCCCTTTCGAACCTAGATCCGGGAAAAATGGTCCGGCCCCCGGCTCTAGCCTTATCAGCGATCATCAGAGGTTTCGTGGGATTGTATAGACCGGTGGACGCCGCGGCCAAGTACAGAAGGTACATGACTGGTGGGATTTTCCTCCGTGAATCTTCCTCTCAGAAGGCCAATAGGTCAACACAACTTTGCCTCACTGCGATCCTCTGTCTACCACAGGCAGGCCCTTGTGCAAATCTAACGAACGAGGAATCTAGCTAGTTCTATGCGTACTTTGCGTCGTCCGTTCGTACTGGGAGTCAATTCAAGTGGTTACGATTCTCCGGAAAGCTTCCTTCAGGATGCGGACCACCAATTATCCATGACGTTAGCCTCTAGGGGGGTGCATACAGCTTTCTACGATGCCCCATCTCGGTGTTGATCTCCTGTTACATGTGGTTGTTCATGTGTCACCGACCCGAATCGGTGGTCAGGACAGCGAATATTAAGGATTCAGTAAGCTGTCTCGGCCATGTACAGCATCCCATGCGTGATTTTTCTCCGACTTTCCCCAAACGTTTCCTCGCAACTACGCTTCCGTTCTAGGAAAATGGTCATCGATCTTGCGTCAGCCCCATGTTACGAGACAGCTCTTAGGAGGAGACTCGGACGGACGTCTCTACCCCAAAATTTGCGTCATATTGCTAGCCAAATTATATACATACACAGAGAACGCAGAAAGAAAATATTTCCGAATTCGTTTTTCGCAATTTGTGAATTTCTGCTTGTCCGTCTGAGAAGTCGTAGCCTCTGTGCGAAAGCATGTATATGCTTCTCTTGTGTCACTCAAAATTTGTGATAGGTCGGCGGCGTCAGGTCCTTGCAACGTTCTGGCAAAGTTCTCGGCTGACTGGCTGCGGCAACACGTTCCTGGCTGCTGCGACCAGGTTCTCGATTGCTGCGACCAGGATCTTGACTGCTGCGATCATTTCTCCACACGGCTTCATTCCAATTCAAACCGGCATTCAGCAGAGCTGCGCTTTTTAACAAGCACGCTGTCCAGTCATCCGATCCCCCACCACCCCTCCCATGACGCTTCCACTTTTCCTCTCCGTGCTGTCTTTCGCTGCGTCTGCCCTGGCCGCTGGGAGCAGTGATGACGCCCCGATGTGAGCGCTCCTCTCTGTCTTTCTCTTTGACGCTGGTCTCAAGCGCTCTATTTAGCGGAGGATATGTGCCTAGTGTGAGTCATTTTGCGAATTTTGTCTTGTACTGTTCTGATGGGGGGCCTAGAAATCGCTCTCGATCACTGGAGTCGTGTTATACGGAGTGTCAGCACTCGTGCTGTGGACCCAATTCGCCCTTGTACGACCGAGACGCCCTTTCATGCTTACCTTGACTCTTGGAATGACTGGTACGTGGGATGTCCTCCCCGAGATAGTCCCAATTAACATGAGCAGCCATGACCGTCGGATTCATCCTCAGATACCTCTACGCTACCCCGCCTTTTACGTTGGGCAAGTACATTGCCTGGGACCTGGTGCGCACCCGACTGTTTTTTTCGTTTTCATTTGTTAACGATATGCAGTTCATCCTGCTTTCGGTATGCCACATATTTGCCCTCCTTTCTTTAGTTTGCTCACTGGCATCTACCAGCCTTGCCTTTTCTTGGCCACGGACTACATGATCCTCTCCCGTCTCGCCGCCACGTTCAACCCCGATGTCGTCTCCCGGTGCTTGGCTATTCGACCGACCCGTGTCGTCAGGATATTTGTCTGGAGCGACGCCCTCACCTTCTTCTTGCAAAGCTCGGGAGGAGGACTGACCGCGGCCAAGAGTGCGAGCTCGGCCAAGCTTGGAACTACGGTGCGTGACTCATCGGCCATACAAAATTCGTGCGCTGAACTTGTCGCTCGTTCTAGATCGCCTTGATTGGGCTAATCCTCCAGGCCGTCTCGTTCCTGCTGTTCACCTTCCTCATGCTCACCTTTGCCTTTCGAGTGTGCGTCAGCCGTCGTGTTTCTTCCTTTCGTAGCTGACTTTACCCAGATCGAGATACTTCCCCCACGTCTGGCAAGCTGAAAACGGCGAGCCTTTGAGGATTTTCTCTACTCGACCCATCGGAGACTGGCGGATCCTCATCTTCATGATGAGCGCTACCTGCGTTGGGATCTTGACGCGGTCCGTGTTCCGTATCGTCGAATATGCTGGCGGGTGCGTGTATTCCAGATTCGTGGGGTTCTGACTGGACTCTCACCACCCGCTTCTTTCTAGCTACAACGGATATGTGGCCACTCATGAATCGTTCTTCTACATCTTCGATGCCCTCCCGCTCTGGCTTTCCATGTCGCTCTACTGCTTTGTTTGGCCCACGCGGTTCCTTCATGGACGCGAAGCGAGGGATGTGCCGCTTGGCACAGACCCCAGTCGCACGAGCTCATCTAAGCCCGGAGTGGGATTTGAGTATTCCAGAGTCAATGTTTAGGGACAATGATCGGCACACCCAGTGTAGAATCTCGATGTACGTAGAAATCGGGCTTGTTGGCACACCACCAACTCTTGCGTCAGAGATATCATTTTGCGGCCAGAAGCTCGCGTACTTTTCATATCCTAAGCTCTCTGTCTACTCATCGCTCCTAAATACTCCGTCTCAGAATGCAGTCCTCATGCATTGTGCTGAGGCCGGTATTACTTTCATGGCACCAAGGCATTTGGTCTTCTGGTGCTATCTCAAGGTCTATCAGCTCATATAGCCGCAATCCGCCCCCTCCGACTGAGGCCGAGCGATCTGACATTCCGTGGGACCACTGGATCTATTATGAGGCCATTTGTATGAGTGTTCGATCCCTTTGACTCGAGATATCACACCAGTATCATTATAAATTTCGTCAGTTTGATCATCGTCATAAGTGTCGACGCAATAATCGGAATCAGCAGCAGGTGACGCCGTCAACTTCTAGCGTCTGCATTAGGCAATTCCTGAATGATCGCGGCACGTCTAGTCATATGGAAATTCTTCACAACTCCACACTTGGATGTTCGAACATTAATTCTCGGATGAGTCGAATAAGTGACCTAGGATATATCAGTGCTTCCACACCGACTTCTGCTCAACGATACCGAAATTGATGATCGTAAAAAAGGGCAGTAAGGTTAGGGTCAAACCACTTGACCGCGCACACTTCTCATCTAAGCGCAGCCCATGCCAACGCAACACGTCATTTTCCAGAAAAGACAATGCGCCTAGGAATGCCAGGCCTTGCTTTTGGGGCCTGAGGGTAAAAGATGGGCCCGGACTACTGGTCAACAGAATGCTTTGTCGCGAAGGTCTATGCGCAGTGCTGATCAGGGCTCGATGGCCCGTGTAACTCTTTGAATCTTCTCTATATTTGCTCTGGTACGCGCCTGTAGGAAGGACTTGGCGCGGGTCGCACGTGACGCTTTGCTGCGCCGTGGCCTCAGGCAAGCCTCTGGAACCCCCACAAGGCATAAGGCATCGGCTGGCTCTTACTCGTCCGAATCCGAATCCGTGCACCTCGACACGAAGACTGCTGGCGCTTAGCGCGCTTAGCATTGTTTCGCCGTCTTGGAAGAAGCGCGACAATGCAAAGATGGCCTGCACTTGGTCATATGCATCTGATGCGCTTTGGCGATGGGTTTCCGTACAGGTATTTGGGCTACCTGAAAGTCCCGCGGAACCTGTAGGTCCTGTCTGGGTCCTGTGTGACATGACCCAGGGTCGAACTTGGGTCCCGTTGGGTCCTGTGTCGTTGTGACATGTCACGCTAGGTCCTGTACGGGAGTTGTACAGGACCTGTTCCACTTCGAAACACTTCAGGAAGAGACTTCAGTCCGTGGATCATATAAGTAGGACATAATTAACCACATTTATTTGACAAGGACCGAGAGGCATTGTCCTGATATGTAACTACTTACTTAAGTGATAGTTGATCGATGCCGTCGATGGCGTTGGCGATGCCCACATTATCAACCCAAGTAATCCCCCTATTCTTCCAAATTTGTTGCGAATTTATTCAATTTGCTTGTGTCCTTTGCACTGACTGTGTTAGTGTTAAGTAATTATGAGTAAATCCTGTAGTTGTGGGCCCTGTAACTCCTGTTCAGAGGGCTTACAACTCCCGTTCACAGGTCCTGTAACTACTGTATACAGGTCCTGAAGTCCTGTATTACATGTAGTAGGTCGTGTGAAGTCCTGGGGACGCTCGTAGAATGGTGATACAGGCTTATCCCATCAAACAGTCCTTCCACTAGATCATGAATATCCGCTGTTAGAAATTGACAGACTCAAAGTGCGACACGTGCAGAGATACCTTATCATCTCTAAATGATGATAGACCCAGAAAATCGTCGACTCAAATTTCGTTCCTGGTCGATGAACAAGACATCGCTCCCATCCATCAATGTGGCTGTGCCCCAGCGACGATGAGCTCGGTAGTGATGCACCTGAGTGAAGTTGCTCCATGGCCTGGGAGAGCGATGGGTCCCGTTTCACGAGAACATGCATTTGACGTCCTGTGCAGGTGACCCGCGGTGCAAGTGGGTCCTGTACTGCGTCCCGCACAGGTCCCGTACAGGTCCTGTGAGTCCGTCACATGTCCCGCGTGGGTCCTGTGCAGGTCCCGTTGGGTCCTGTATATGGGCCCGTGGGTCACACAGGACTCACACAGGAGTTCCAAGTGGGTCCTGTGTGGGTCCCGCTGGGTTTCAGGTCCTGTGCAAGTGGGTCCCGCTGGGAATCGAACACATGTCCTTGCTGTTCTCGACGACGACGGCTCTTATATTCATGTTCTTTACGGTACGTCTCGTCGCTATCCCTAACGGTACTACTAATCCAATTTTCACACCGGGACTGCTCTTCATCGTCGAGATGTGGGTGGTGGGTCCCGCTGGGTCCCGTATACGGGAGTTCCGCGGGACTTTCAGTATGCCCCAGGTATTTCATGCGGCCCGTCGTCTGCTCAACCCCCGGTCTCAGTGTTTCTTCCCTTCCCACCACTCCAGCCCTTATCACGAATACCAACTCGTCGAGATCGTTGACCATGACGTGCAGTCTTAGTGCAAGTGTTGAGGATGGCGGGGCCACGAAGTGGACGACGATGGTCGATGGGGATAGCTCGGACGATACGGCGCACTGCATCGTCTGCCACCGTCTGTACGTATCGCTCCCAGCTCGTTCATCCGGCTCTCCAGACTTATTATCGTTGCAAGCTTCGCATCCACGGAACAACGAAACGAGCACCTCGGCGGCGACATCTGCCAATGGACTGCGCGGTTTCGCAAGCTCCCCTTCCCGGAAAGCCCTGAGGCGGTCGACAAGCTCAGAGCGGAGAACGCCACCGAGCGACTGGCTCATCTGAAGGAGTCGGACGAGCGATTCATCAACATGGGGATCCTATACTACGCTCAGCAACAGGGACTCGCGATTCCTACAATCCATCTCGGCCTCAGACGATCACCCGCCCCTCCATCTGGATCCGGCACTCCCACCCCCCTCGCTGCGAGCACCGAGTGGCGGTATCTCTCCGCCCCCGGAAACCCAGATCTGGATGAACTGTTGCGCAGTATGAATCCGGGCCTGGAGTTGAAGCAGCAGGCCCTGGATTGTCTGGCGGATTACTACAGCACCCCGACGGACAAGACTTGCGATGTCTGGGAGATTCCGCAGGAGGTGGAGAGTCCTGAGGTGCGCGCGATCCTGCGCGAGTGGACCCACATGTCATTTGAGGAGTGGGCTACTTCGTTAGCGTAAATCAATTAGGCGGCAAATGAAAGCCACCACTGAATTTGGTTCAGCAACATGAGAGAGAGATCACTCGAACGTAGCCCTGTTTATGATCATTGTACAAAAGTTTAGAATGTAAATACCGAAATTCCTCTTATTCACATCCTTAAGAAAACACGACGACAGCTGCTACATCAACCCTATTGGATAGACTTCAGAACAGTCGAACTTGAGTCATCGTGAAACTTAGGCGCACGTGACCCAGTTTGTTTGATTGCTAGGCTGTATCATGACTTCCAATGGACCAGGGTCGCCATGTAATAATTTATAGAAGCTATCAACAAGACGACTGCTGACCACAAAAAAAAAACAAGCCACTATCCATCCAACCGGTACATCTCCGATCATACCAACTCGGAGTACTTCTTTGCCCGTTCTTCTGGACATGGCAATGTCCCAGCCGGAGATGCAGTGTAGAATTCGCGAAGAGCGGGGTCCATGGGCAGAGATTTTCTTGCAGAATACGAAGCGAAATGGGACGGGGGGAGGTCGAGCGTTCCGTAGCTGGGATCCCGCATGTGCCGAAATGTATTCTTCAGCTTCCCACAAAGACCGGGGGCTTCGACCAGTTGGCCGAGCTACCAAGGAGTGAGCTCAGCACAAATGGAGTCGAAACGCTCTAGCGCTTCGCCGATGGTGGGTCGCAGAGATGGGTCGGTCTGTGTCATATCGTTGACGAGAGGAATCAGAAACCGAAATGACGAGTTTGTTTTCTGTGTGAGTTGGAGGCGACTTCGGGTCTTAGATCAACTGGAAATTTACCGAGCTGCCCGGCGGAAGCATGAACTTGCGCTTCAGGATATTTCCCAAGAAGTAGATGTCGGTTGGAAACGGGTTGCACACATCCTGTCCACGAAAATGTTCGGGTGGGCTTTTGTCTCCGCCAAGGATGACGGGCTCGGATGGTGTACCGTCTCGGGGGTCATAGCGCCGCGAGAGACCAAAGTCGATGACGAAGTAGCGAGGCCAGCAGGACGCCTTGGTCACTCTGACAGCTAGACCGTCGTATGCGGGATTCATGAGATGCCACACAGGATGAAAGCCAAGGGGATATAGCTCCGAGGGATCAACGACGAAATTGAGATATCCGCAGTCTCTGGGCAAGGTGAAGGGGTTGAACCGCCACTGCGGATTTCACCTACCGATGTGCGACAAAATTGACGTGCATGAATTGAATCCCCTGCGAATTTTGAGCATCGAATCAGCCTGATCGCGCGGTCTTACCTCTAAGATTTGCCGGAAGCAATGTATGACCTCTGCGACCCAGGTGAATTTCGGTCTGTCGTAACTCGTCATCATCTGCATTACAAGTATTTTCCTGCCGGCATATTGAGGGTCCTGAAGCACATCGAGGATAGGAAGGCAATGATTTCGCGGATCTTCCCGCAGAGGTTCAGCCGAGAATAGCTGACCGATCTCTACCTCGGTGGGATGCTTGGCTGTGTCCGTCCATTTGAGCATGAGCAACATATTGTCTGAGATGCGCCGGGCATCCATGAGGCTAACACGCTGAGTTCGTGAGTCTCACAACCTGTGCATGTGCGTATGTACTTACCGCGTGCCGCAGTATCGAAGGATCTTTGAGATGTGGCACAGTGTTCGATGGTGGGACGTGGCCAGGATGGAAGTGCTCTCGGAGCCTGTATCCGGCGGATTCAAAGAAGTGATAACGTTCAATCCAATACGCATCCCAGATGTTGCTCATTGCGAGACCGGCTGTGGCGATTCATGAACGGGCTTGTAGGTGACTATAAAAGCTTACTTTGGCTCTGCTTGGATTCCACGTGGATTCGTCGAGGATTCCGATCGCAATCAGCTGACAGGTTACTGCAAATCACAACCAAGAGAGCACGCAGGTTTTCGAAGACTGAAAGAGCAAAGGAATTATCTCAAGCCTTCGGGAATCTCGCTCTAACTGTCACACCCATTGCGGAGGCGCGAACATGACATTCGTGCATGACTTGAAAGACATTACAGAACCGTTTTGCAGAGCTCTTCAGAAACCCAACTTGAATCCAACGAAATGAATATGGTTTCCCGTGAGCGATGAGGCTCCTTTAGTTACCCGCTTCTGATTTGGCGGCTACAGAACTTGGCTAAGAACTGCAACGAGAAGTCACAGGCTACAGCAGGGCGCACCTATGCCGTGACTTCGATAGTTGTGCAGATTACATTCGTACGCGATTTTCCTCTCTTTGCCGGTGCGTACTTGCTTATTTACATTACATGTGATCAGTATTCGAGATGGAGCTTCATGCCCTTTTCTTCAAACTCCTTCAGCATAGCCCGGAGCTGCTTGACCCATCGTCTCCCGGGACACGAGCCAGTGTACACATAAAGATGCTGCAGAGATGAGCTTGTGCTCCCCGAACGCGACTGCAACAGGCGCTCGAGCGACTCCAGCCTGAAGCCACAGTCCAGACGGAGGGTGCGCAGCAGCCGCACAGCCGGTACGCCAGTTTCATCCTCGGAGCTGGGGCTGCTGCTGACACACAGCGCGTTCATCAGCGCATCGTCCGTGTGTCCCTTGCGCGAGACGCTCAAGCTTTGCAGCTTCGGCGCACAGCGGATGACCTCGAGCACGTGCTGGACCGACACATGCCCCGGCAGCGCGAGCTGCAGCGTGGCGATCCCGGGAGACCGGCCCAGGCATGCCGTGATCTGCTCGGTGCGCCAGAAGACGCGCGTGAACGTGAGCGAAAGCGAGGCGAGAGCGGGGAACGCAAATGGGGCGAGGAAGGCGCCGAGATGCGTCGTGTCTCGGCTCTCCTTCGGGATCTGACAATTCACCTCCAGGTTCTGCAGGAAGGGGAGAGTCTGGATGCTCGCGGCCCCGACTGTGGAAGCGCCATCGGGGTACGATTTCGAGAAAATCTGGGCCGTGACGAGATTCGTGCACAACTGCAGAATGGAGCTGCAAACATCCAGTGAAGATTCGTGCAGGGAGAGTGTCGTGAGGCGGCTCCATGGAAGGAGCACGGAGGTCACATCCAGCGTATTCCGTAGTTGCAGCCGGACCATTCGCAGGCGCGAACATCCTAGGAACTGGTCGATGGGGTCTTGCTGCTTTGCCAAACCGCTGAGATGCAGGCTCTCGAGGCCTGGGAACGACTTGCGCGCCAACGATCCGAGGTCTGGTGCCGTGAGAGACAGCGCCCTCCACCTCTCTGTCGTCGGCAGCACGGCCTCCTCGACTTGGTCGCGCAGCGCAGCGACGAGGTCCGAGTCCGCACCCTCCGCGTGCTTCAGGGCCACGACGATCGACAGCGGCTCGCTCCTCGTCAGCGCCGCGCCGAGCTGCGCCAGATGCCTCGGCGACAGCTCCTCCGTCCCCAGGCGCACGTAGATCGGGGCCTTGTTCCACAGCTTCGGCGTCCCGTACGCGATCCGCCGCCAGTGCGCGCACACCTGGCCCAGCTTGTGCGCCTGGCTCGAGGGGCGCACGGAGCAGTCCGTCTCGAGGAAGCCGTGCCGCACGACGCCCTCGATGACGACGAGCTCGAAGATCTCGGCCAGCAGCTCGATGGGGAGCGCGGCGATGCTGGTCTGCGGCGGGAAAAGTCGAGCGCTGGACGTCGAGGTCGGAGCCCCCGTCTCGTCTTCGGCGCGTTTTTCTTGGAATATGCTGCATTCGTCGCACCTCATTTGCGAGGGGCGTGGATGTTTGCGGGAGATAGCGAGATGATTTGGCCTAGATTTTCATGATGGTCGTTCCCCGACTTTGTTGCCATGCGTCGGCGAGTGGCGGGCCGAGCACGTGCGGCTGGCAAATTGTGACACTTCGCGAGCGTGACATCGAGTAGTGCGGCCTCGCAAGTCAAGTATGAGATGTTCGGCCTGAAGCTTTGGAAGGTGACTCATACAACTCTGGAATACAAGGCAGCTGCATTAAATATACTACCGATCTGCGTCAAAAAGCGAACCCGATCGTCTTGGAATGCTTCCTGGTTGGTTTCAGCCTTTCAGGGACGATTCGCAAGTGCTGCTCTTGTGGACATGTGAAAAGAAGAAAAGCGCTTCATTTCATGCGTTTTCCATACATGTGCTCTTTTCTCTTCGACCGGGCTTGTAGCAAAGGCGCTATGTAAAAGTCCGGCAGAAACTATGTGCAGGCGTGACCGCGTAGAGACAGCTAGAAACGATTTTCATAATCACGAGCTCATTTGATCAGTTTTCGACAACCTCGACCCCAGCGCAGAACCATTCTGCTGCCCTTTCACAACGCAGATAGCCAGTCTCTTTACCCACACTGCCTGAACCTGAAAACCATTCTACCCGCACCCCAATGCCATCAACTCCCATTTCAGCAAGCTAAAATGTCGGCAAGATCGCACGTCACCCTCACGTTAACATTACCAGAGGCCGCCGTCTGCCACCGGGATTCCACCGCATGAGCACCAATGGTTGAAGGCCAAACAGCACGATACCCATCACAAGATCGGACGGCCAATTCAAGGAAAAACGCTGCCATGGTCAGCCGCTCTCCTCGGGTAAACGTCGGGCCACAGCGCTTGCTGGGCTTCGCGTCATCCCCGCATGCGGAGAAAGTGCTTCCGCACAGAGACGACCACTGGACCCGGGGGTGACTGTATGGACGGAGCGGGGCCTTTTGCAGTAGCTCCGAAGTGTGTCTCCGCGCGGCGACATTGTCGAGATGACCCTTCCTCGGAATCTCCTGCCAGCGGGTATATATATATAAGGGTGGAGGACGGGGGCTCCGCTTCTTCACCGTGCTTGGGTCCCTTGCTCCTCCTCGACCAAGATGTTCACTGCTCTCTTCGCACTCGCGGCAATCTTGCCCGCATTCGTCAAAGCACAGAGCCCTATTTACGGGCAGTGCGGAGGACAGAACTGGGGTGCGGCTTCTCTTCCTTGTCCTTATGCTAGGGATCGCCGCTCACACTTTATTTTCAGCGGGTCCTTTCACCTGTGTTGCGGGGTCTACCTGCGTGGTCAACAATGCTTACTACTCGCAATGCCTGTGCGTGGGATCAATGAGCAGAGGTTATCGGGGCTGACCATCGCTTTGCAGTCCGAGCACTGGCAACGGAGGCGGATCGCCGACTACGCCTGTTTCGACCCAGCCCGCAACGAGCACAACGACCTCGGCTGCTGCCAGCCAGACACCCGCTGCCGGAAACCCATACGCTGGGCACAGCGTGTGGTTGCCTACGTTCTACGCATCGGAGGTGCAGGCCGCTGCGGCGAACATCAGCGACGCGACCCTCAAGGCCAAGGCGCTCTCGGTCGCCAAGATCCCGACCTTCACGTGGTTGGACACCGTGTCCAAGGTCCCCCAGCTTGCGACGTACCTGTCCGCCGCGAGCGCACAGGGAAAATCCTCGGGCACGCCGAGCATCGTGCAGATCGTCGTGTACGACCTGCCCGACCGGGACTGCGCGGCGGCTGCCTCGAACGGCGAGTTCAGCATCGCGAACGGCGGCCAGGCCAACTACTTCAACTACATCGATCAGATCGTTGCCCAGATCAAGAGTGCGTGTGACCCTGCCCGCTCGCGTGATTGGGGATGGCTGACATGCAGAACAGAGTTCCCTGATGTGCGCGTCGTGGCTGTCATCGAGCCGGACAGTCTCGCGAACCTCGTGACCAACCTGAACGTCGCCAAGTGCTCCAATGCGCAGACGACCTACCTGGCCTGCGTGACCTACGCGATCCAACAGCTCAACACGCTCGGCAACGTCTACTCGTACCTCGATGCTGGCCACGCGGGCTGGCTCGGCTGGCCCGCGAACCTGGGCCCCGCCGCGCAGCTCTTCTCGTCGCTGTACAAAAACGCCGGCTCGCCCAGCATGGTGCGTGGGCTCGCCACCAACGTCGCCAACTTCAACGCTGTGCGTGCCCCCTCTTGCGTAGTATCGTGTCTTCCTTACTGACCTCCATGTGTGCTGCAGCTGTCCGCGGCGTCCCCCGACCCGATCACGCAGGGCAACGCGAACTACGACGAGATCCACTACATCAACGCGCTCGCGCCCAACCTCGCCTCCGCGGGCTTCCCCGCGCACTTCATCGTCGACCAGGGCCGCTCGGGCGTGCAGAACATCCGCCAGCAGTGGGGCGACTGGTGCAACGTCAAGGGCGCCGGCTTCGGGCTCCGGCCGACATCGAACACCGGCTACACGCTCGTCGACGCGATCGTGTGGGTCAAGCCCGGAGGCGAGTGCGACGGGACCAGCAACACGTCCGCGACGCGCTACGACTTCCACTGCGGCCTCAGCGACGCCGACCAGCCCGCGCCGGAGGCCGGCACGTGGTTCCAGGAGTACTTCACCACGCTCGTGTCCAAGGCCAACCCGTCGTTGTAAAAACGAACAGACCCGTCCCACGCATTATCACTCCCGTGTATACGTTACGCAGCATTTGAAATAGTCCTAATACACACGCATTTAACGATCACGATCGCCAGCCAATCACTTCCGCCACATCAGCAGAGGCTTGAGTCCGCTCTTCGTCTTTGTCAGCGCGCCCACGACTGCGAAAGCAAGAGCAAACAAAAACCATTTGCTCAGCCCGCCTTTGGCAGCAGCGGTGATCGCGGGCGGCGCCTGCGGTCGCGCGGGGAGCTTCACACCCAGCCGAGACTGCAGCATCGCAGCCTTCTTGTCGGTGTATGGCGGGAAGCGGAACGAGAGAAGCTTGTCGATCCTGTGCGGGGCGAGTGAGTTCAGTGAGTTGTCCAGAATACAGAGCAGCGGCGCAGACGAACCAGCCCGGGGTGTCGATCGTGGCCCGGAAATGCGTGAACATGTCAAAGCCCCACTGAGAAACCGTCAGCAAAAGCAGTCCTGCGACGCGCTGGGCCGCTCACTTTGCCAGTGTGGTATCCGCCAGCTGAGCAGTGCATCAGTTGAGATACGGAAACATCACCAGGGGGCACTTACATCCGCTAGGACCGATTCCGCCGAACGGCAGTCCCGTCACTGGTTGTGAATTAACAACAGGTTGCACCAGGGACCCGACAGACACAAACCTCCGGCAATGAGGAGCGTCTCGTTAGCTGCGCAAGATCCACTGGTCGTGTTATCGAACACTAGGATGCCCAGTCAATGCAGGACCAACGGGGTCACAAACGATTGCACCTTTCTGCTTGTAGGCGTCATCCTGGGAGAAGACATACAACGCCAGCGGGTGGTCACTGCCAAACGTCAGCAAAGAACGGCGTGCGACCAGAGAGGACACGTACTTGGCGTTCACATAGGCGATGCCCTCTTCCACCGAATCGATGGGCACGATAGGCAGCAGCGGCCCGAACAGCTCTTCACTCATAAGCGAGTCATCCCACTTGACATCTTTGATGATCGTGGGCGCAATGTACATCTCAGACTCCTTCGTCTGGCCGCCTGCAACGACCGTGCCCTTGCTCGCCGCCAGCAGGCCGCTCACGCGCTTGTACGCGCCCGCGTGGATCATCCTGGACGCATCCTTCGGCACCTCGCCCGTCTTCGTCTCAGGCCAGAACTGCTCGTAGCTGGGGGACATCCGGCCAGTCAGCCGCACGCTCGAAATCAAAAAGTAACCCGCGGGCGGCGTAGCTCACTTCTTCTTGAGCGCAGCGATGAAAGCGTCCTGCCCGGAGCGCGGGACCAGCACGTAATCCGGCGCGACACAGGTCTGCCCTGCGTTAGAGAATTTGCCCCACATCACACGCCGGGCGGCGAGATCAAGGTCGCTCGACGGGTCGATGAACACCGGTGATTTCCCACCCAGCTGTTTGTATTTGACGTCAGCACCTGGTAATTCGACATCTGAGAAGAGACAGTCCACTCGCCTCGAGTGTGATCGGTGTCAGCGTCTGTGCAGCCGCAGATGCCACGACCTTGCCCACTCGGCCGCTCCCTGAGTACTGATTAGAAATGGCCGAAGGCTTGGCGTCGACGAGAGATGATACCGGTGTAAAGAACTGCGAAACGGCGTGTCAGCAAGCGGAGTGAAAGTGGTTTAACTACGCACTATGTCCCCAGGGAAGCGCGAGAAGCTGTCGAGATATCAAATCATGCCCGAGGCGTCTCAGTCAGCCCCGTACCTTACTGGTCTCCGGTATGGCGCCATTCACAACAGACACCACCGCGGGCTCGATGTACTTGGGGAACAGCTCCGTCATCAGAGACGCAAAGTGGGGCGCAGCTTCCGAGGGCTTGAAAACGACCGTGTTGCCCGCCGCGAGCGCACCCGCCTGAACGCAAGTCAGAATGTGTCTCCCCCCGTCCAGCACCGAGCGAGCGCGCGACGCACCAGCGGAGAGATGAGGAGCCACAGCGGGAAGTTGAAGGGGCTGATGATGAGCACGGCGCCCTTGGGCTGCTTGAGCACGCGCGGGTTCATGAACACGAAGTTGAACGTCATGGGCGGCTTCTCGGGCTTGGCCCAGCTCTCCACATTATCGTGCGCCTCCATGATCTCGGCGAGGGACGTGTTGATCTCGAGGCTTGAGGAGGCGCACTCAGAGAGGCGTCCCCAGGACGCGAGGACGGGAAGGGACGCACATGTAGGTTTCCATCGAGTGTCTGCCCAGGTCCTTCCCGAGCGCATCGACGATGGCTTTCTCGTTGTCCTTGACAAGATACGCGAGCTGCAGCAGCAGGTACTTGCGGTACGCAATCGACTTCGTCTTGCCCGTTCTGAACGCAGCGTTGGCGTCTGCGTGGATCTGCGGGGGGCCCGTCAGTGCCGGAAAGTCCCTAGAAAGCGGCGGCGGTGCCCCACCTGGTCGATCTGGTCGAGCGGAGTGTATGAGAGGTCGGCCATGGTTGTAGGGTGCAGTGGGAGGGAACTGAGCACGCGCCAAGCTAAATAGTAACGGATGACATCAAAATTGCAATCAAATGATGCCAAAACAGACCTGGCTCAGTTGCTTAAGGTCGTGAGCATGTCTGAGCATATCCTCGTGACATCCCATCCGTCGTCAATAGTAAAACAAATGCGCCCCAGCTCAGTGCGATTTCGTCGGTCACTATCCAAAGCTACGTAACTATCCCGGCCACTCAGGAGACGAGTCGGGATCCGTCGGCGCAGCACGTGATCTGCAAGCACCGCGCACATGTGATAGTGATGATCGACGCGCGTGGCATTCCGCCGGCCTCCGGCTGTTTGATCCCCGCCTGGGATCACTCAGCATAACTATCGCTTGGACCGCCCCGCTCTAATTATTTCACGCTCTTGCATATGGGATGAGCTTCACAGCCAGGTACGTCATCTCATGGTACAGTGGGGGGACTGGATGTCAACATCCTTTTGTGCGGGAGCTGGTGACTGACAGAAGCGGGTGGGATACTTCAGTTATCACAGGAGAACTTGAAAAGGGGGGACTGTGCAAGTTGCGTTTGGAAGGGCACGGGCGGAGGTGTCTCGAGACGGCTGAGTCAGCGGCAGGCTACGACCCGACGAGTCTCCAGTTTGGGTCGCGCCCGGGCGACCGGATCATTTCGCATGTTGCGCCAACTGCAAGGGCCGTCTTGTCCACTCCAGGCGGACGCCTGCGCACACAATTGTGTGTGCGCGTGTGCGTGTGGATGGGGGTTCTCGGTGCGTGCGAGTGTTTTCCGAATCCAAGGCAAGAAGGGGAGATGGAAGACGCTGTCCCACAAGCGCGGGGTTTTTTGAGAGGTTGCATATGACCAGCGTGTGCCCACTGGCGGTCAGGACTTGTGAAGCACGGTGGATATAAAAACCAGGACCCGGCGGTGAACACAACCCAGCCGGGCCTGATCGAGTGAGACCTGTCCGTCGCAGCTAGAGCTAAACAGAACCAAGACGAGCCTTCTGATAGATATTTTCGTCTAGTTTTTTTTGTACTATGACTGTCTGTTTCCTTGTTCTCGAAGAGGATGCCCAGCTGCGTCCATCCGGGCTCCAAGCCCGCGCTGCATGCGACGCGCGTCCAAGTTGGGACACAGAAGTACAAGACCAGGGGCGGATCGCCGGCGTCTGATTGCATAGGGCACCATCTATCAGGACGCGGAGAACTGCGCTGATGGCCGCGGCTACAAAAAACAGTGTCGGCCGCATCTGCTGACACGGCCTTGCAGAGCGAAATTCTACTGCTTCGGTCTACGAAATAATTCAGGGACATCGTGTCAGACCGGGAGAAATATATGTAGATTCGAATGCACCCCTCACTCACAAGTCAACCAACATCTTCCGACCCGCGTCCCGCGTCGCATACTGTAGCGATCTGATCTGGATCGACAGTTGACAGAGAAGATCAGGATGCGTGTCACATTATGGACTTTCCTGAAACGATAGAAAGGTTCCGCGGGAGCCTGGATTCCGGCACAAGTCTTCTGGGATGACGTCCTGGGTCCCAACGCCGCCCGGTTGAGAAATGAACAAGCAGGTCGGACACAGTACACAAGTCGCAGAAGCTGCAAATCGTCTTGGTCAGACAATAGGGTGAGAGCGTCTCAGTGTCGGTGGGCACAGTCCCCGGCTGCCGCGCATCCTACTGAGCCTCCAGTGCCCCAAAAAGAGCACCATTATTCGGGCCGCGCAGAGCCCTGCGCACACGAAGATAGAGTTGCAGGAGCATTCCAGCTCCAAGCGGAACAAAGCAAAGATGATGGAAGACGCTCACAAACAGCATCGACCGAAAAGGCAATCCTTGTTTTCCTCATCAGACTCTTCATCACTGTTCAGACTCTCTGCTCGGCTGCAGCCTCATGGACAGGCTTCCAAGAACGAGATCCTGCGCTCTCGGTTCCTGGGCTATTTACCCGATGGCATAAATACGCGCTGCCAGCGATGCTTATGCTCGCCACCCCCGGTCCCCCCTCCAACGGTCATCATCATCTCCAGCCATGCACGCCCGGACTCTGCTGCCTCTCCTCTCCGCCTTTGCCGGGCTCTCCCGCGCAGAGCGACCGCAGCACACGGCGCGGGGAGTGCAGACCACGGCCTCCGTCTCCGGCATCCCCGTCTTCCCCGTCATCAACTACGGCCTCCTGTGCGAGCTGTCCTTCCTCGAGGACATCTGCGCCCGCATCCTCGCGCCCAGCCGCCAAGTCGTCACTCCGCTCGGGCTCGCGCAGGGCGTTTCGGACGGCGCGGGCAGCGGAGTGAACCGTTTCGTGGTCAAGTACGCATCGGCATCGCGGTGGGCCGCACCGACCGTGACTACCCAGTGGCAGCTTCCGTACGTCCCCCGTCATAATCGCAGCACCCTCGTGCGCGCTTCTCACCGAGATGCCCAGGAATGGATCGCGCAATGCGTCGGCCCTCCCGCTCGCGTGCCCGCAGGACAACGTCGACCCCTCGTCCTACACGGAGGACTGCCTGTCCATCATCCTCTTCGTGCCGACCGCGCTGCTGCCCTCCAGCAACGTTCCCACGCTCATGTGGATCCACGGCGGATCCTTCATCACCGGGTCGGCCACCAACCCCGGTCTTGACGGCTCCAAGTTGGCTGTTGCGACCAACTCGATCGTCGCTGTGATTCAGTACCGTCTGGGCGCGGTGAGTGGCCGCGATCCTTGCATGTGTTGTCCCCGCGAATCTTATTTCGTCGCCTGCAGCTTGGTTTCATGGCCCCCAGCGGGGCGACTAATCTCGGGCTGCAGGACACGATCGCCGCGATGAAGTTCTTGGCCAAGGTCGTGCCCTCATTCGGCGGAAACGCGAAAAAGATCACCGTTGCCGGACAGAGCAGTGGCGCTGGCATGATCCGGGCGCTGCTGGCGACTCCGTCGGCTTCGTCACTGTTCCAGAGCGCGATTCTGCAGTCGGATCCCATGGTGCGTCCCTCTTCCATAGTTGATGCAATTATCAATCTGACCGCTGCTCCAGAACTACGGGTTCCTGAACGCGTCGACGCAAACGTTGCTGCAGCAGACGTACAACAGCCTGATCAACTGCTCGCCGACCGACGTCAAATGCCAGAACGCACTTGCTATCCAGGACATATTGGATGCACAAGACACGCTCTCAAACGAGTCCGTCGTGCTCGATGCGTCCACGGGCATAGCCGAGCCGATCCGCCCTGTGCGAGACGGCGCGCTGATCACGACCCCGCTGGACTCCACCGCGCCGTTCCCCGCGGTGACCAAGCCGATTCTGCTGACCAACGTGCGCAACGAGGCGGGCCCGACGATCTACCTCCAGTTCCAGGCCGTCACGCCCGAGGTCGCGTTCCAGCCGACGCTCTCCGCGCTGCTCGGCCCGTCGCGCGCGGCGACGATCGACGCGTCCGGGTTCTACAACACGTCCGTCGACGACGCGCGCCAGCCGCTCGAGAGCATGGGCACGGACTACATGTGGCGCTGCCCGACGTGGACGTTCGCGCGCAACTGGGTCGGCCACGGCGGGAAGGCGTTCGTCGGCCTGTACATGACCGGCGCGACGTACCCGTTCAACGCCGACGTCCCGTTCTGCCTCGAGCCGGGCTCCGTCTGCCACCAGGACGACATCGAGATCGTCTTCGGCACTGTGCCGAGCCCGTCTCCCGCCCAGGCCGCGCTGACCGCCGAGATGCAGGCCCGGTACAAGGCATTCTTAAACACCGGCTCGCCGAACGTCAAGGGCCTGATGCCGTGGACTGCGGCGACGACCGGCAACGTGCATGCGCACCAGCTGGGCGGCCTGCCCTCTCCCAGCGGCGAGATTGCCCCCGGGGCGTGCGACCCTGCCTTTTGGGGCGCCGCTGTCCCTTACGACTACCAGGTCTTTGGAATCTAATCCCTTATCTTGTAGCTTATATTCAATAAACCCTCCCGCGTGACTCCTTTTTGTAGCATAGCTTCCTTGTAGCCTGCATCTCGCCAGTATCCTAATAATAGTAGTTGTTTCTTAACATCTGCGTGATGAGTTGACAAAATAGGGTTGGGAACGAATAGCTGCTTTTCAGAGCGCAAGAGATTGGTCTCGAGCAGTTGGCGATCGCAAGAGCTATCAGCAAGAAAGCAGGTTCTGTAAGTATGGCTAGAATACACATGTACATTGGATGACACAAGATTTCTACATCTCCAATTTGGCGACACTGCTGGACACGAAGCCGAAAGTGCTGAGTGTGGAGACCGCTGCAAAATCTCGGTTACCCAGGTCCCGATCATCAGAAAACAACTTACGAGCTGGAGCAGCGGACACAGTTTTGACAGCAGGCGTTAAGATCTGGGTCGAAGAGTCGTATGACCAGCCGCCGCTCGCAGCAGCTGCACATTTTCAGTGTGAGTGCAGAGGGGCAGCGCACGATCACAAACACGCACCACTGAGCACCTCGTCGGACGACATCCCAAGATACTTCTCGGCCAATGACAGCGGTAGGCTCATGTATGCTCTCTGCAGGAGTTTGAAGATCCTTTGGCGGAACGCGTCTAGGGGTTCAATGGTTAGTTTCGCTTGTCGATTGTAGTAGGAAGAAACAGTTTCGACAGGGCGGGCGGTAGGGAGACACTGCCTGCAGTGCAGGGTGCGCTCCCACATAAAGCCAAATGCCTCAAGCATCATAACATGTGAAGTAATGCATCTCCCCTTAGACACTTACTCAGGAATGCAGCGAGCATATTACTCAACACAGCGCCGAGCGATTGGTCAAGGAAATCCGCCTGTCCCACGAACTCGACTAATTTTTGCGCGCGGGCATACACATTAGTGTGTTTCCTCTCAGACACAGACGCAACGAGTCCAAAAAGCTGGTTGCTGAAGGGGCGGATTGGAGTGCAGCAGGGAGGCGTATGAGGGCACAGCGCGCGGGTGGACTGTCCAGATCCATTCGCACATCAACGGATCGCCGACAAGCAAGATCGACCAACGGGCACGCACATATCGTCGTTGATGAGATAGGCCAGGACGAGTGGCGCAGTCAGAAAGAATCGGGTCGGCTGGCGCTCGTCCTCCGACTGTATGAGTTCATCAGTCAAAGCAGGAGAGACCACCACCACCACCCCACGCGGCGGCTGCACGCACGCACGCACCGAGCTATCGTGTGCCTCTGCCGTGCGTATGAGCGCACTGTAGTCCCCCTCGGTAGCGAAGCTCGCGATCTGCGGAAAGAGGCGAGTGAACGCGTCGGGTGTGAGCGATGCCGCTGATGCCGCGGTCGACGCAGAGTCTGCTGGGGCGGGGGAGCCGACTGTGCGCGCCGCGTCCTCGATCTCCGTTTCTGTTGACGGCGGCGGGGTGAGTGGACCCGAGGACATGGTGATGGAGGGAAGAGAGACGGAGTTGCGTCGGTGGATGTGCCGGCGGCAACTTCGATCAATCCGATCATTGGGCACACTGCTGCTGCTTGACAAGTCACCACCCACCACCACCTCTAAGTACCATCTACGTGTTCCACGCCTATTCGAACCCATGGACGACGAGATCGAGTCGATCCTATTCATCGGCCGGGAAGTCTCGGGTGCTTATCCTCACTTGTGGTGGTTCTCGTCCGATCTGGGAACTGAAGTGGCTGTTGGCTAGTCTTCAAGATCCCCCCTCTCAAAGCGAATGAAGGGCATCGCGCCGGCGAATGGGGTGACCTTGCTACGCCGCTTTGGAAAGGTCGGAGCGGACAAAGTGTGTGTTTGTCGGCCCTCTGATGCCCTCACTCAGGTCGCATCCGAATAATCGAGAAGTCCGCGGGCGCCACGCTCATGTTCGAGGATCCACAAACTGGTATGTCAGGCGCCCGGATCCAAGCACTACTTTAATCTCAGCGCACAGGGGAACGTGAGATTGTAACCATCTGACTCTGTGGCGACGCTTATGGACGGCAGTATTCGCCAAGGCGGATTACGATATCGCAAAGCCCTGCGTTGAAGCAGTACTCGATTCCTCCCGATACTTTGTCGTCCGTGTCGAAGACTCAGGGAGAAAGGCGTACATTGGGATGGGTTTCCAAGAGCGGACGGACAGCTTCGACTTTAGTACGCCGCTCCCCCATGCCTTGACGCTCGAGCTGACTTCTGTCACCAGACGTCGCTCTGCAAGACTACACCAAGTGCGTCTCCTCTTCACGCCCAGAATGACGCTGACACTATACCTGCCCTAGACGTCGCAAAGCAGCTCTCAATCCCCCAACACCGGATGACGAACAACCCTCTCCGCACATCCCCACAGGCCCCAAGAAAGACTACAGCCTGAAGGAAGGCCAGACGTTCTCCATCGCCATCCCCGGGCGAGGAAACAGGTCATCCGCTACCAGCACGGCCAGCACAGCCTCGAACCTTCTTGGCGACATGAGTAGCCTGGGGGGCTCCAGTACTTCGAGCACATCGAGTCCGGGAGGCGGTGTCCCGTTGCTGCCTCCGCCGCCTAGCTCAGGACGCAGACGTGGTTGAAAGGTGACGTATAATATTTACCTTCCTTATATCCTGATTGTCGAATGCTATGAAATGACCTACAAGAAATGCTATGGAATTGACCTACCCACATCGAAAGGCATGAAAGACACTTGCATGGGGATAATGAATGTGACGGTCTCACTCTTTTCCGTTGACTCGGATACCTCGTCTCTCAGCCATGTGATGATCTGGTCTGTTCGTTACGTACCGATTCTCAGCGTGTGTTTACATCCGGGATCGAACGTCCAGATGGATCCAGCGGCCCATTGTCTGTGATATGATATGAGGACCTCTACAAGAAGTGCACAAAGCGTGGCAAGCATTACACTTTTGTCACAGTCGCGTCCTGTCACACGTGACAGAGAATCCTAGCTCATTCACAATCGTAGGCACAACTACGGTACAAATACAGAGCACCTGATACCCGAAAAGTCTAGACAACACAGTACCCTCCGTCGACACGTATCTCTGAGCCAGTCATGAACTTGGATGCGTCGCTGCACAGGTAGATAATGGCGCCCTAATTCAACCTCAGACTCGTCCTGTCGAGAATTTAGGATAGGACTTACGGACAGATCTTCCGGTTCTCCCATCTCGACAAATATCAGCGGCCATGCAAGGAGAGCTGATCACCAGATGGCTTACCCGGCCCATAGGTGTCAGCCCTTCCCACGTTTTCTGCACATAATCATGAGATCACCCAGAAAACCGGAGCGCGCGCGCGCACCTTGAGCTCCTGGTCACTCTCAAGGATTGTTCTCGTGAGCTTGGTCAGCATGTATCCCGGGCTGAGAGTGTTGACGCGGATGCCCTTGGTCGCCCACTCGACAGCCAGGCTCGACGCCATGTGTTTGACCGCGGCCTTGGACGCATTGTACGGTGTCTGCAGCTGTGGGATATTCACGATCTTCCGCGCAAGGGGCATAAGCGCGGCGCAGTGTGGACATCAGCGCGCACTCACGTTAGCACTCATACTGGCTATGAGCACGATCGACCCGCCGCCGGAGGGTATCATGTGCCGCGCAGCTTCGCGCGCCGTGAAGAACGACCCGTGCACATTGATATCGTACAGCCGCCGAATGCGGTCTGCGGGGTAGCTGCAAAGCCGGCGTCAGCACCGCCCACGCATTCGACGACTGGGCCCACTGCGTACTCGAAAGCAGAGTAGTTCTCGACGATTCCAGCGGACGCGACCACCGCGTCTATGCGCCCATATGCAGTCATCACCTCCGCGAACGCAGCAGTGACGGATTCCTCGGACGAGACATCGCACCCGATCCCGACCATCTTGAGCGCGTCCGGCGTTGCTGACGCATCGTCTTTGTCTAATGGGGAAAGGCGCCGTGGCCATCAGGGAGTGTGGGGTAGGCCGCGTAAGAAGTGCGGGGTACTGCACGATGACGTACCGGCGGTCCGCGCAACTGCCTCCAATTCGGCTGCCGCGGCCTTGGCCTCCTCCGCTTTCAAGTCGACCACGGCGATGGTCGTGCATCCGCTGTGTGCACACGTCAGTGTCGCCGGGGCGTCGCTGTGATTCGGGCACGACTCAACGATTGCACGAAAGCTTTGCAGAACTCGAGCCCCAGACCCCGTGCGGCGCCCGTCACGACGCAGACCTGCGAAAGGGTGTCCAGTTCTCATTTCCCGAGCCACCGGGGGAGAGAGACGGCTGCGGACCTTGCCCTGCATCGAGAACATCGGGTGCGCTTTGGAGTGTATGCGCGGTGCAGCATCCGCATTGAGCGTAGCAGAACTGTAGGAATTGCACCCAGCACGGAGCGGATGGCGAGGTAGGGAAGGAGAGAGCGGAAGCAGAACTCGTGTCAGCAGCCCTGCATGACGGGGAAGAGTAAATGCACGCAACGAAGCCATAATGCAGTACTAGCAACACTGCAGCCCTCTTATCAGGGAGATGTCTACTCTTGAGACTTGGCCGGTATTGAATTGGCCCTGTCCTCGGAAAAGCGTGGGTGGGGTCTCTCACTCCATCACGGATTTGCAGACCAGGAAATTTATATGGTCACGGTCGCGTGCGGCGCGGCGACGGTGCGGCCGCTCCGATTACCCTTGTTCATCAGACTCAGAGCGAATCCTTGAAGCACACATTTCTATCGGAAAATATTGAGGCAAAGAAATCTCCATTGAAGCTCAGTACGAGCTTAGTGCGTACACAAGGGAGCTCTTCAAGCAAGAAAGTAATAAGGAGTGCCCGCATGTCGGTCCGGAGATCCGATCTGACAGCGTGTGAATATACTTGTATAGGCATCCTAAGACATAGTGGAGAGATACAGAGTCATAGTGTTACTAGGGTATGAAGCAGGAGAAAACTGCAGCTATTGTAAAACGCTAAGGTACCGGAAACAGATAAGAATACGTGAATGAGCGTGAGCGCCAGCCATAACACTATGGGGCGTGACAGACGTGAGCAACGAGCATGGGATGATGAGAGGAGGGCCCTCGGATAAGCGGTTATAGGCAGGAGAACTTGGATTTCCGCCTCTGCAACTCATCCACGCGCATATCCATCTGCTGTCTCGCCCGCTCCTTGGCCTTCCGCTCCTCATCTAATCGCTGCTCCAACGACTGCTTCTCCTGCACAACGGAATTCCGCACGGACACAACCTCCCGTTTGGCCGTGTCCAGTTCACCCCGGAGCGATTCTAGTTTGCTATTCAGGGTGTCTCGTTCTCTTGCGAGCTCGGTTGCATGCATTCGAGCTTTGCGGACTAGAAACGGGTCAGCAACAAATCCTACCGAAATAAAACAAAAAACAAAAACGCACGATTCTTCTCCGAGTCACCGAGTGACGTCTCCAGGGTGCTGACGAGATCCATGTGCGTCTGGAGATCACTCTCGCAGTGTGTGAGCTGCTTGTTCAGAGTTTTAATCATCACCTCCTGCTCGTCGAGCTGCTTCGCCTGCGCCTCGATCTTAGCGGTCGATTTAGAAGTGTCGACGCTATTCAGAGAGGGTCCGATCGACGTCAAAGGGCTGTCGGGCTGAGAATCTCTCGATGACGACCCATGCGACGACGTGCTATACGTGGCGTCGCCATTCGTTCGAGGCGCTGGAGGTGGCGGGACGGACGGCGGTGGTGTCGGCGGCGGAAGCTTCATTGCTGGCATCGTTGACCTCGAATACGACCGCTCATTGCCCGGTCGCCCATTGGGCGGCGAGGAACTGCGGGCAAGCACCTGCGCCTGCAACTCCCGAATCAGCGACTCGGACTTGCTCTTCTCCGTCTGCAGCACATCCTTCTCGTCCTTGACTCGCTGCAAGTTGTCCTGCATATCAGCAAGCACCGACTGATGCTGCTCGAGCTCTCGAACGAGTGACTCGCGTTTCGACGCTTCCTGGATCAGAGCAGACTGCTCGTTGCGCGTTCGATCCAGCTCGGCGCGAAGTCGCATCATCTCGGACTCGAAGTGATCCCGTTCAGTTCCAATCTGAGAGTGGGACATCCTCAGCTGCTCCAGCTCGGCCTCGAGGGCCCCGCGAGAAGACGAATGCTCCGATTTGATCTGCTCCAATTCGGATTCGAGCGCGGATGTCCGCGCCTCTGACGCAGCATGCTTGTCTTGCAGAACAGCCAGATCAGAGTCGAGGACACCCCGGGCAGAGGAGTGTTCCGCCACTTCAGCTTCTAGTGCTGCCGCCCGAGCCTCAGATTCGGAATGCTTGGCTTGCAGCGCCGCCAGATCAGTATCGAGCGCACCCTGCGCAGAAGAATGATCGCTCTTGACTCGCTCCAGTTCCGCTTCCAGCATCGTCACGCGAGCGTCGGCTTCGGAATGTTTGAGTTGTAAGGCTGCTATATCGGAATCCAGTGCACCTCGAGAGGACGAGTGCTCGCTCTTGGCTTGATCCAGCTCCGCCCGCAAAGCGGTCAACTGATGCTCCGACTCGGACTGCTTCATCTCAAGCGCTCCGGAGTGATCGCTCTTGGCCTGTTCAAGTTCGGCCTGAAGCGCAGAGACCCTCGCCTCAAACTCGGCACGCTCAGAACCCGCGGCAGACAGCTGGCTTTCCAATCCAGAGACCCGAGCCGTCTTCTCAGCAAGCTCGGCACCCATGGTCGAAAGCTGACTCTCCAGACCAGTTACCCAGCTCGTCTTCTCCGCCAAACTCTGCTCATGCGCAGTCTTCTCCTCGGTCATAGTCCGCTGATGAGCCCGTCTCGTCTGTTCCGAAGCCGACTTGTGAGAGTCGATCTCCTTGGCAAGCAGATCCCGGTCCTTGCGCAAGGTCTCAATCTCCTTGGTGTGATCCAACTTGAGCTGCTCCAAAGTTGCGTTCAGTCGGTTCCGTTCGTCAGAAAGTGCTTGTTCGTGGCGCGTTCTCAACCCCTCCAATGCATCTTGGTGCTGAGTCTGCATCTCAGCGATAGAGTTGTTTAGTTCAGTAATGCTCTCCTCGTGCTGGGTCTTCAGCGAAGCCATCTCGAGGGCATGACTCGCAACCAGAGCAGCCGCGGCTTCTTCAGCCTTGGTCGAGGCAGCACCAAGAGCGGACTTGTGGTCAGCCTCGAGCTTGGCAAGTTCTTGGACATGAGACTGTTCGATGTCGTTCAAAAGTGCAGCTTGACCCTCTTGATGCGATTGGACAGTCTTCTCGAACTCAGAACTCGATCTCGCTGCTGCTTGGCTCGATTCTTCCTTGATGGCAGCCAAAGCGGAATTGAGCTGCTCGGCCTCGACGCGCCACTCCTCTTTCAGCTTGGCCAGGAGCCCATCGTGTGACGACCGCAACTTGTCCATTTCCAGAGCGTGATCTTCCTCCTTGGTGGTCAGCGCGCGACTGTGCTCAGTCTTGAGATCCTTGAGCTCTTCAGCGAATGAGGCCTCCTTCGTGGCAACCGCAGCAGCATGGGCATCTTGCAGCTCTTTCAACGCGAGATCCTTGGACGACTGCGACTCGGATAGCGACCCCTCCCGTGCAATCTCAGCAATCCGTAACTGGCTGGCATGTTCTTCCCGGAGACGATCCAGAGCAGCAGCAGTTTCCGCGGAATGGGTCTCGACCTGTGCGGCATGATCCGCACGGAGTTTCGTCAGAGCATTGTAGTACTCCTCCTCCGTCGTCTGCAAGGCAGCAGAGGCTTGGGCCTCTTTCTGCTTCAGAGTCTCAGCATGCTCGGAAGCTAGCCTGTTCACAGCGCTCTCGTGTTGCTTCTGCACGTCGGCAAGCGCCTCGCTCGCAGCAGTTTCGCGTTCTTGCATCTGCTTTGCATGCTGCTGAACCGCTGCGTCGTGGGCGGTACGGGCCTCGTCGAGCTGGGTGGCCAACTGTTCGAGCGCCACTTGGTGGCTTTGCACAGCTTTGTCTAGCGAGTCAACCAGTTCAGCTTCACGCTCCTTGGCTTGCTCAAGAGACGCCACGACGTCGCTGTGCTTCGTCTGCAGTACTTCGATCTCAGTGGACATGTTTGAGGCCTGCAATATATGCGTCAGTGTTGTATGGTAGGCATGCCGAGAATGCTCACGAACCTGGTCACGCGAAAGGGCAGTCAGATCATCATGTTGTCGGCGGACCTGGGCAAGCTGGGTGTTGAGGCTATCAACAATCTCCCGATGTGCAGACTCTTTAGCGGCCATGGATCTGCCACCGGGGTCAGCTTGCTCGCGAGAAAAAAGAACGTCGACCACGCCGGGGACTCACAGCATCAGCTCGTTCAATCGCTCAAGCGACTCGTCCGGCTCAGAAAACACAGAACGGTCGTTTGGATCCGATTCCGAGTCGCTCGTCGCACTCCTCGGCGGTTCGTGGTTCATGATCTTGCGGATATTGTCAAACTGGCTGATGGTCTTGGGGGAAAGATGCAAGTCAGCCAACGTTGGTGACGAGGCAGAACCGGGAGAAGCGACAGGTTCCGTCGCAGCACCCGAGAAGGCCGTGCCATTGGCGGATATGGCAGTAGCGTCGCCGTGCGTTAGCGTCTGCGATTCCTTCAACGACACCTCCAGCACAGCAATCTCCGCTTCCCGCTCCTTCAAAACCTCCTGCAATCTCATGATCTCCTTCTCTAAACTGCTCACCGAACGCTCGTTGAGACCTGGCGACATGACGGGCGGAGGGAGAGTAATGGATAAATTCGGACGCGAATGCGGAGCCAGGAACGACGAGTAGGAATTTGATGGCGAATGCGAACTACTGGTTGAAAAGGAAGTTTTGCGCGAGTGCGCCGAGGATAGCTCCTGTGATAGCGATTGCGATTGCGAAAGCGACCTTTGCCCATTTGGACGTCAGAGTACGTTCTAGCACCATAAATAGCAGCAAATGCTCACCTCGCATGGAGCGATTCTGCCGAGGCCGCTTGCCGGAAAAAAAGGCGGCGGCCTGCAGAGTTGATTTGAGGCTCGCCCATGGACGATTCACGTGATCGCCCTCCTGTCATACGACGCCGGTATGGCCCAGGCGAGTGGTCCAAGGGCCGTTCAACAGGCGTCTCCACCGTCGTTGGTGACTCTGGGGGCACCGGCTCAGCCGAGGAGCCACTGAGCTTGGCCTCTTGAATCTGCGCGGCGAGATCCGAAATCTCCCGTAGAGCATCCCGATACTTGTCGGTCATGGAGGACAGATCGGCCAATGTCGCAGTATGGGTTTGCTGCAACGCAAGCAGCTGGCGCTCAGCCGCCGAGTTCTCTGGAATCTCTTTCGAGCTTTCGGCGATGACGGCAGGGGAAGGAATGGTCTGTTTCTCTTCCGCATCGCCAGGAACGGCCGATGCCAAAGGTGTCTCTGCATCGTCAGGGGTTGAGGCACCATTCACATGGGGGTGTCCGTTGACGACATTCAGCTCCAAGCTCTTGCGAGCAGTAGCCACTTCATCGACAACAGCCCCCAAGCGAACCCGAGCGTCCGCTGCTTCTTGTTTCCTTGCTTCCCATTCTTGCATCTTCTCCTCCAGTTCACGGACTTTTTTCTCCCGATCTTCCAGATCATGACGCCAATTGTCGCCATCGTTACGTAAAGCTTCCAGTCGAGATTGAAGCTGCTGAACCTCGTCACGGCGACGGTCGCATTCCGACTCGAGCTTCTCGATCGTCTGCTGCAGTGCGAGCACCGATTCATCCGTGCGCGCAAGTCTGGCCTCCAAATCGGCGATGTATTTGGCGGAGTGCGCTTCGGAATCGCGATAGCGGATGACCTCTCGTTTCAGATCAGTCATGGATTCACTGGAGGTGATCGAAGTCTCGTCGTAAGACTTCATCTTCTCCTCCAGATCTCGCACATAAGCCTATGTCAAATCAGACACTGAACCAATTTGATGGTGGCACCACACACCTCAGTCGAAGCTTCCCGTTCCGTCAACTTAGCTACCCGAGCTCGCAACTCCTCAACGTAAAGTTCTGTAGCAGAATGACGTTCCGTAATGGCAGAGAGTTCATCTTCCTTCTCTTCGACCATCTCATTGGTATGGCGCAACGCAGCACGATTCAGAGTCAATTCGGCCTCCATCGCCGAGATGGTCTTCTCGTATTCCTCAATGACCGGCCCAACGATCTCCTCGTACTTGCCAGTGCCAGGGATGGCTCCACCCGTGCTGCCGCGGTGTCTTTCGCCCAACTCCCGACGGAGTCGTGTCAGTTCCTCGGTTCGCTCAACGAACTTCTCTCGCAGATCTTCGTAATTGTTCTGCAGCTCGGTCATCTGCGCCAACACCTTCTTTCCTGCACCTTCGACTGCGTTGGATTCCGGTGCAGCGACAGGGATAGAGATGGAGCCTCCGTCCTTAAGCGACTTGAGCTCTGTTCGCAGTCGCCGCACAGTACCCTGGAGCCATTCGACGTCGTCCCACCCATCTTCCTTCGCATTCACGACGGCGTTGTTCTTGATGTTCCGCGCCCGATTAGCGTATTTCAAGGTGTTGATCGTTTCGTTTGCGTTCCACTCCGCTGGGCTCACACAAGCAATCATTAAGGTATGCGCGTTGCCGCCGAGAGAGTCTTGCAGCAGCCGAGTAAGCTTCGAGTCTCGGTACGGGACGTGTGACATGTGCGTTTTCGCCCGCGACGGGTCGCCCAGGGCCGAGATGACATTGCCCAAAGCGAGCAGTCCGCTGTTGATGGAGATGCCCTCTTTGACACGTTCTCCAGCAGCTGCTGTGCGTTTGAGCTTCAAGGCGATAAGTGATCGTCAATGAGTGAGACATTGAGCACTCACTCGCTCGGAACCAGCCAAGTCGACAAAGTGGAACTTAGACGTGATGGTGACCCATTCACCATCCCCATCGTCCACGCTCGCTCGTTCAGTGTTGTGGCCCATGGCACTTGAGGGTCGCAGTCCGCTTCCGCGATTCATTGCAGAGGCGAAACTAGGAGTGGACGGACGTCCGCCTGTGGGGGATGCGACACGACTTGAGGGACCACCAGCGTACATAGAGCCTGGTCGGGCGAGCCGGGACGGAGAGCGGCCATTGGCGGGTAGAGGTGAAGAAGATCGTGGCGGAGGACCTGAACCGGCGAACTTTTTCTGGATGAGAGTGAGGGAGAAGATGGCATGTGAACGGGATGATTGAGCATTCATATCCGTCTCGTTGGTGCGTCGGATGGATGAACCTTTTCGAATGAGCCTGGAAATCATTGAGCGTGAGACATGATTATGACCCAACAGCTTATGGGACGCACGTAAGGACTTCTGCAGGATTTTTTACTGTCACCTCTCGCAGACCACCCCAGATGATGTGACCATCCTTGTCCTCCCGAATTTGGACCTCCCGCCGCACGCCGCCATTGTCGTCGACAAGAAGGTCGATGAGGTCCTCATTGTAGATTTCGATGAAAGACGCCTTGATAGTATATGTCCAAGCGCCAGCACGGTCTTCCCTGAGCTGCCTGGCCGAGGTAAAGATCGTGGAGACTGAGCGGGGGATGATTCCCATCCCGTTGTTGGGATCTGAGGGGTCGCTGTCCAAGTCGATACCGGTCATGGTGTGCGTCTTGCCGCTACTCGTCTGGCCATATGCCAGGATAGTACAGTTGAACCCTTCGAGAAAGCGAGATATCATCGGGTAGGCGGTCGACACGAACATCTCATGTTGCGTCGTTGGTGGGCCGTGGACCATGTCAAAGGAGAAGACCTGCTTTTTGCCCGCCGCTGCTGCTGAGGCTGCGGAGACTGCAGGGGAGGGTCCCCCATTAGGTGGTCCAGACGTCGGGTCTACGGATACGGAGGTGGAGGAGGTTGCATGGAGTACGGAGCGCTGGAATCGACTGGGGATGGAGGTCGAGTCTTGATTGGTAGGGGGTCTTATCCGGAGGGCTTGAGAGCAGTTAGCACGATGGTCTAAGAGTAGCCTCGGTGGGGTTCTTACCGACTTGGACCGAAGTCGCCGCCCCAGACGACGACGAGGGTGCCATGACCGTTGCAAACGATGCACAAGGCGGTGACTGTCACGCTGTCACGGCCGCCGCGGAAATTGCCCAAGCTGATGGGATATGTTCGGAACGCGAAGTCAGCCGTTCCTTTTGTCTATCAGACAGCAAGAGCGACACCTGGATGGCACTCCACTTGCAAGCTAATCATGGAAGGCTCTGACAGCGGGCTGCCACACGCTTAGAACTATTGCTTGCCCTTGGGCGCCTATTTTCCAACATTTTTTCTCTTATGTACGATTGGTCAGCTTTCGACATCAGCTTGCGGTTAATCGTCTATCCAGCCGTCCTCAGTAAGCTAAGCGATCGAAGCTGAGAAGAAAAAGAGTGCTCCAACTCCAGCGTTCCCACGTGCGCTCAATGACGGACTGGGAATCGATTTCTACAGTGGGCCGGAATCAGGCGAACCTCAACTCTATCGTGACGAAAGTGTGAGCAAAGTATGCATTAATTTTAAAGGTTTATGAGCCCTCGGAGGTCTCTGAGCTAGGCAAATTTCTAACAACCTTGTGCCAATCCTGTCGAACCTCAGTAAGTATTGTGACCCTCACAAATTGTTCGCCATCCAGAACCTTGGTGTGATGGAGAGATCCGAGGTCGTCCATGCTTGCGATGTGCACCATGTAGCGAGCGAGTTTGACCAGCTCGCGATCTGCCAGAGCTTCGCGTGTATGCGCGCCACGGAAGGCGGATATCTTCAAGCCGTTTTGGGGATTCAGTGCAAAATTTCTGCTCTTGACCAGGATGAGCACATTGCTAGATAAATGAGGATTCTACGTACGAGATCATCAATGTGAATGGTATTCGAGGAATCACTGCAAAGAAGGTCAGCAGCGATGAGTGCCAGGACTATGGCACACACAATTGAGGGAAATGGTTCCAGATGATTTGGAGCGCCTTGACTGAATGAGACCAGGGTTTGCCATCTCGTTGGCTGAAGACTGTAAACATCGGGGTTTTGTCGAGCACTGGATCGTGTGAGGAGTGACGGGACACAGAGACAACTAGCATAGGTGCGTACCGAAAGAGATCTGCAAGCTCTGCAGTAAGAACCATTGCCACTGCATTCAAAAGCACGAACCTGATACCCCCGATGGGAACCTACCATTCCCAGCTCTACCAGTTTCGTTTCCAGCCAGATCCAACTCGTCTGCGACCTGCGCGTGCATCAGTTAACTCCATCCCACCAACCGATGTTACCCAAGTACCATATGCAGACTGTGGTTTAGATTTTAGAGATCGAAATAAGAACCAGTCCTTCACTCACTATCGTAATGGGGATAAACGGCCTCGAGAAACTCGTGAAGGTGTGGTCTGGCACATTCGGAGGGAGGAAGACTTCCGCTTGTCAAGGGCTTCGTGTCCAGAATCGCTGCATAGTTCCCTGTCAGCAGAAGAGGGTGACGCTTCGAACTCACTGTAGTCGATATCGAGAACGAGCAACTTCTTTCCTTCTCGGACCGGATGTATAACGTTCACAGTGAGTGCAGACGTTGCTTCCTGAACTTTGCGCACATTCCGCGGGTCGTTATGATAGGCTTTATAAAGCTTGGGATCTTCTGGATCGAGATCAATGTTGTTGACGATGTCGGCCAACAATTCAAGCTCTGGTGAACGAATGGCTCAGTGAGAGGACACGGTGTGTTTATCGGCCGGTCAGACGAACTGGAAGGCTCTTTCGAGTACGTTGAGCAAAGGGAAAGATGAAGTCTGGAAGAGCGCACCCTTGATTTCATCTCCCTCGGGTGTCCCAATGAGTGTAAACTTCTTAGCTGGAGTCCACTTCGACTGCAAATCTCCACTAGAGCAACGGGGAGTCAGCCAGTCGCGACATTCCCGGACAATCTCGCGCCTACATCCTCTCTTGGTCTCTGGAATCTTGTTCCCTTTGAATAGCCCTAGAATCTTTTGCCTCTCCGTTGGGATCTGGTCAGATGGTGCAAAGCAGCCTTAAGGTCGAAAACTCTGGGCGGGGGTCAGCACGCGTGCACAACAGACATTATGAGTCGACACACCTGTCCGACTCGGCAATTCTCAGGCTGTAGGGCTTCCCAGCCCAAGCGAAGCTGAGGTCAATCCAGGTTTCAATCTGGGGAGATAGGAGCGATGATCAGGCCTCGGAGTCTTGACACAAGGAGTCGCGGTTTTCGACCGTGCGGACGCACCTCCGCCTGGAACGTGATTGGCGGTGTGCTTATTACAGCAGTGCTGGTGCTCGCCGTGGGGTCAACTTCCATGATGGGAGTAGTTAGCAGACGCGTCTTGTATCCCACATTGGCCAAATGGGGAATTGATCTGGATGCCACGTGGGGAGCGTCAGTCAAGTTGGAGTTGTAATTGAAGTAAACTGTAGCGGCAGAAGTTGCGCTTGACAAGTATTGAATGTTGAATATTGACTTTTAAAATTGGGCTTTGACGCACTCAGTCATTGCCGGTTGGTTAACCTACCAGATTGGTACTGGGTGTATGCACAGTCCTTCTCTGTTTTAGACCCGAAATGAGACTATTTTGATCCTAGGGATCCGAAAAGTGTAGTGCAACGCGGATCTCAATCGCATGGTCTATAATCGATTTTGGACGTTGTTGTACCTACAATTTGACTGGTAGTGTTTACTAAGAGGCTTATCTGATAATCTGACTCGGACGCTAGTTGCTCAGTCAGAGCAGACACGTGATACAATTGGCATCGAAAACATCTCATTCTCTCCCAACTTGCATAGACCAATGCTGTCCGCTGTTACTCGAACCGCCGTCAGGAGAACGAGCGCCAGGGCTCCGGTGCTGGCTGCGGGTGCGCGACGAGGCCTTGCTCAACCCTCCGGGGCAGACCGGGCAAGCGTAGTCGATCTACCTTCGACTTATGCCGATGAGAGTCACTTTTCGCCCCGAGCTGGTACGTACTCTAGAAAGTCCTCCGGGTCACTCCAACTGAATTCTCCAGATATGCTTGGCTTCAAGCTCGAGATGCCCACCAGAGAGGGCTCCACTGACACGGTGCGGCCCATCTACTTGGACATGCAGGTGCGCCTTTCTTTGCCACTTACATGTTCCGAGTTGCTTATTGAGTGTAGGCAACCACTCCTGTTGATCCTCGAGTGCTCGACGCGATGCTGCCGTACCTTACCGATCAATATGGCAACCCCCACAGCCGGACTCATGCCTATGGCTGGGAGGCCGAACACGCAGTAGAAGATGCCCGAAAGGTAAGTGCGATACAAAGCTCGTCTCGAGCTCACTTGTGAATTATCCTCCACTCAGCATATCGCCGACCTCATTGGCGCCGACCCCAAAGACATCATCTTCACGTCTGGCGCCACCGAATCCAACAACATGTCGATTAAAGGAGTCGCACGCTTTCACAAGGAGAAGAAACGGCATATCATTACGACACAAACGGTGAGCGAAGCTTATACCTCCAGCGACCATGTTCATTCTAACTCATATTGGACAGGAACATAAATGTGTCCTTGATTCGTGCCGCAAGCTCAGCGAAGAGGGATTCGACATCACGTATCTCCCGGTCCAGACCAATGGTATCATCTCCTTGGAAGAGTTGGAGGCCGCCATTCGTCCGGACACTGCGCTCGTCTCGATTATGACCGTGAACAACGAGACCGGTGTCATCCAGCCGATCAAGGAGATTGGGGCGTTGATTCGAAAGCATCGCGGAGTTTACTTTCACACCGATGCTGCCCAGGCGGTTGGCAAGATTCCCTTGGATGTGAACGAGATGAACATTGATCTTATGAGTCTCTCGGGACACAAGATCTATGGGCCCAAGGGTGTTGGTGCGGCCTACGTCCGTCGGAGGCCCCGTGTCCGACTAGAGCCGATCATCAGCGGAGGTGGACAGGAACGAGGTCTGAGAAGCGGAACGCTGTCGACATTCCTGGCCGTTGGGATGGGTGAAGCTGCCCGTATATCGAAGTTGGAGATGGCGGTGAGTGACTTCTCCGCTGCTCAGGGATGATGAGAACCGCACGCAAACGAACTTTGTGGAGAAATGCATTCATTCATTTGTCTGCAACTCCAGCTCAGTGATGACTGCGCGTGCAGGGGTACTGACCGACATCGACATGTTGCATTGCCGACTCTGAACTAACAATCTTTCCAGCGCGACCACCAGCGCATTTCTGAGTTGTCCAACCGTTTGATCAACAAGATCAATGCTCAAGTGGAACAAGTTGTTCGCAACGGTGATGTGAACGGCTATCCTGGCTGCGTGAACTTGAGCTTCTCGTATGTGGAAGGAGAAAGTCTTTTGATGGCATTGAAGGTCAGGCCGCTCGCTCCATCATTCCAAAATTGTTATTGACCTCCAACAGGACATTGCCTTGTCGTCTGGAAGTGCTTGCACCTCCGCGTCCCTCGAACCATCTTACGTTCTCCGAGCTCTAGGTATCTCACATTTCTCCCTCAAATTCGATTGTGTCCTGACCTTTCCAGGCGCTGCTGAGGACATGGCCCATTCCTCGCTTCGGTTTGGTATCGGGCGCTTCACGACCGAGGCTGAGGTTGACTTTGTGGTGGATCGCATCGTTAAAACCGTACAGAAGTTGCGAGACATGAGGTGCGTCTTACTCTCAGAAACCGCGCACAACGCTAACGTCCACGTAGTCCTCTCTGGGAGATGGTGCAGGAAGGCATTGATATCAACACAATCGACTGGTCGCAGTCCCAGCACTAACTGACATATGTTCTCGAACTTTTTTCAAAAATGTACACTAGCCCTTTAGAATCCCTTGGTATATTATGCACTCAACTTATTTGCCGCGCTGAATGACGCCGCACGGACCACTGATGGTGTGGGCGCTACGCCATCAACGAATGATCAAAATTTCAATCTCCGCCTCCTCCTTCGTTGTCATCCTTTTGAGGCAACCAGCATGTCTCGTCGTCTCTACCTTGGCAGTAAGGCTCTCATTTCACAGCCCACGACTTCAGTTAATCTTGACTTGCCAGGGCTTGCGCCCGACACTCGTCCCGAGGATGTGAAGACGTTTTTCGACGGTATGGGAGCTATCGTCGACTGCCGCGTCATGACGGGTATTTTGGCTTCTCCTGGGTTTTACAGCGCAGACTCTGACGTGACTGTCGACAGGTTTCGGTTTTGTTGAGTTTGAGAACGCCAAGGTTGGTGCGGCTGCGCTGTTGGGCAAACGGGAGACCGAAATTGTTGTAGGATGCCGATGATGCGGTGAACAATTACAATGGAAAAACCCTTATGGGACAAAGGTATGCTGGCCCTTTCCGTTTTCCTCCAAGTTAATGTTCATACCCGTGTAGTATCGTCGTCGAGTTTGCTAAGGAAAGCCGTCCTCGTCGTGAGTTCGATGACAGAGGCAGGTAAGTTGACGAGATTATTTTTTGGACATATTCTGATTTTCTGTTGTCTATCAGCAGCTCTTCTCGCTCTCGTCGGCCCCCTGGGCACCGCATCATCGTTTCGGGCATCTCTCGTGATACCAGCTGGCAGGTGCGATTCGGATTTCACCTATCGTCCCACTCCTCCGCGCGGTCCTGGCTCGGGCTTTCGTCGTAAATGGTCGTTCGATTCGCTTCATTCCCTCGGGCTCTTCCTTGTCTCCTTCCTTTCTACGATTGGCGATGGCTGCATTCGTACAACGGGTCGGGTCGCGCGTTTTTCTCCGGATTCGATTACATAGCCATGGACGGACCCTGATGTTGCCCTTGCGCTCCTAGGACCTGAAGGACTTTGGACGCGAGGTTGGCAATGTGTCATTCGCAGATGTCGATCGAGACTACCGCGACCAAGGGTGAGTAATCGGGAAAGCGGTGTTGTTTAGTATGAATTCTGATACCCGGATGCAGTGTTCTTGAGTATATTGCACGAGAAGATGCGGAGCATGCCGTGAAAGAGTTGGATGGCAAAGATCTCCGTGGTCGCGCTGTTCGCGTGTCTCTGGACAATTCGGTACGCTCCACTGCCTTGACTCACTCATTGCCTTGTATACTAATAGAACACCCAGCGCTCCGGTCCGGATAACTACCACCGCAGCGACCGTCGGGATGATCGGGACCGTGGCGATCGCTACGACCGCGACCGCCGTGATGATCGTCGGGACGACCGGGATCGGGACCGCTACCGAGATGGCGACCGTGACCGTTACAGAGACCGAGATGACAGGCGTCGTGACCGTGATCGCTCGCGTTCTCCTCGTCGTGAGAGAGACGATGAGCGTCGTAGGTCTCCCCGCCGCGACCACGACGATAAAAGAGCTCCTGGGTGCGCACCATATCTTCCTGCCGCTGCAAGTCAAGCTGACGGGTCTTTTAGAGATAAAGAAGACAGAAGACGAGATGAAGAACCCAGGAACGGAGATTGGCCTCGTTAAGGGAAAAAAAGTTGTGGTCTGGAACGCCCTGAAAAGTCCGAATTGGAAAGGCGCTTGCAATGTTCCCAAATGTCTCCCTGTCTTCTTTCTCTCTCCAAGTTCTCTGTCACTCGCTGTCTTTTCTCTGCCTGTCTCCCCGAAAATGGTGTTTCTGTACCCTGCTCTGTATCCATTGGATCTCGTGGACTTGCGGAACGCACAAGTATCTATCTCCGTCAAACGCACCTGCCATGACATGCACCGAGGTAGGTTTGTTCCCGCGTACGGTACTGTTCATACTTTTGTGCAGAAAGAGGATTCTGTTCTATGATTCGATCACAAATCTCAGAACAGAGCCGTTCTCTATCCCCAACCAAGCCAAATCCTGTGAATCGCGATCGCTTTCGAGTAGCGTGAATGAATTGTGGTCCATCCGCAGCCAAAGAGTAATTCTTGTGTGATTTGGACTGTGCTTGAGTGTTTTGAGAATCTTGGATCTGAGGGCGCCGAGGCTCATGGACGGCAACGCCCGAAGTTTGACTGTTGCGGATGCGTCAGGGGGATCGTCTGGTGACCCCTTGAACAGTTCGAGCTCTGGGTCTGCCGTTAGAAAGTGACGCGGATCGTGACTTGGTGGTGACTGGTGCTCACCCACGAGACGCTTGCTCAGCTTGTCTTGTTTCTGTCCGACGTCGGGTTCCTCCGGTCGGCCGTGTTCTGAATACAACGAGTAAGCTGCCTGACAAGATGTTGACGAAAGCTGTTACTCTGGCAAAGCTCGTCCCACCGCGGATGCAATCTGGTCCTGTCAGCGTCGGATGTGCTCCGAGCAATGTGCGATAGATACATGAGCTCGCAGTCTGTGCGTTCTTGTGGGGAGATCTTCAACGAGACTGAGCTGAGGTGCCTGAACAACATGAATGTGGACCTACGTGGGCGGCATCGAGAGTCACGAGAGACGAAATCCGCGCAATGACGAAGTGACGGACTCCCAACTGAGCTGGTCCAGGTTCTGTGATTCAATTAGAATAGAGTTCACTTGGCCTTTTTCGTGATTCACCATTGAACAGCGGGTTGCCCGCTAACGTCAGACTCTCGAGTGCTGGGCACCAAAGGGGGAGGGCGTCAATGTTGCGCCAAGAGCTGAGAAGATTGTAGGATAGAGATAGGTGTCTGATTGCCAGGCGTCTTTGTGCTGGAAGTGGAATCTCCTCAATTCTATTCGTGGTCAATACGAGACGGTCTAGCCTGCAATGGAAAGGTGAAAGTCAGTGCAAGAATCGGAGGCTATGCTCGGGACTCACGATGGATAGGCTGAGAGGGTGTCACAGATCTGAGTCCACTGCTTGAGCTGATTGCTGTCCAGATTGACAGTCTCCAGAGCAGGATGCCCCTCGGCATTGGACACATCTGAGATGAGATTGTAACCTAGTTCAACTGCCTTCAGGACAGGCATGCATCGAACAAGTTGCTGCATCTCTTGCCATGTAGTGAGAGTTCCGTTAAGCCGCAATTCGATCAGATTGAGGAACGCGCAGTCCGCTGATAGGATATCAGTCCAGATGGAAAGGCGGTTACGACTGTTATGGACATCAGCTGACTGCTTGCAAGACAGCGAGAAACTTCGGACTTGAGTGCTAGTCTTTGGAGACTTGGCATTCCAGTACAGATCGACGCGATTACATTCCATTCTGGGATGAGGCTTTGAGAGAGATCGAGACCGCGGACACCTGTGCTGAGATGTCAGAAGTAGTATGAAACTTCCAAGCGGGCTCACTGGGGCAGGTTGTGCGGATTGTCTCAGGATCTTCATCCAAGCGTGCCACAAGCTCATTGTCCAAGCTGATCTCCCTCAGTCGGTCGAGATGCGAGAATTTCTCCCGGATCTTATCGAGATCCACTGCCTCAACTTCGATGGCTCCGTTGGAAGAGCCCAGAAGGACTTTCTCCAGCTGGGAAGATGCGGCGCGCGGCAACTCGACATATTTCGCGTAGAGGGCAGAAAGAAATGAGTTTCCGTAGTTGATATTTGCACTCTGCCGGATGAAAGAGCCCGAGTTCGGTATTCTGAAGATATCTTCTAGAGACCATGCGCATATCTGTCGACCTTGTGCGCGTACCGACAGCTAAAGTATCGTTTGCCGTCCTTCACGCCATCGTGTTTACCGCGCTTCGGATCGTCCCATTCCACTCCAAGCCATATTCCGGTAGTATCATCGACCGGCCCAGCATATCTGATGGTGCCTATGCTGTCGTGAAGCTTAAATCGCGCGCCGACGCTTGGGACGACATGGGTGGCCATAACAGGCAGCAGCAGGAATAAGTGTCACGCGCGCGTGACCGGAAGCGACAACAACTTTGCGCTACACCACCTCGTCGGCGATGCTCAGAGCATCGACGCGCCTCATGACTCGTACATCTACGGCACTGAATCGCACCAGAGCCCTTGCTAAACATATGTCCGGAGTCTCCGGCTCGAGCAAGGACATTGAGGTGCGTCTAGAATAACACGCTGTTCTCCACCTGGCTGGATGTCTACAGCCTCTGGTCCGCTTTGAAACGACACAAGGACTGAGAACATATGTACTCAATCGACCGAGCAAGCTCAATGCGCTGAACGAGGAGATGATCAATCTGCTGCGTCCAAAAATTGAGGTACATTCGCATCTTTTCGGCCCGGAGACTTTGTTGTTGACTGAATATAGGAATGGGACGCGGCAGAGCTGTGCAATGTAATTGTGGGGACCGGGAAAGGGCGGGGTTTTTGCGCCGGTGGGGATGTTGAAAGTGGGTCATCGTGCAGTATTTGGAGTAGGATGATTGACAACTTTCGCAGCCGTTGTCAAATTTGCTGCGGAGGACGGGACACGGGACAAGGCCGTCGAGTTTTTTAAGCGGGAGTGAGTGTTCATCAACGACGGAAACGGACCTACGATGAATACCGCGCACAAGATTCGATCTCGACCTCTTTCTAGCATCAATACGCAAACCTTATGTCGCCATCCTAGATGGTCCCACGAGTAGGCGGTTGCCACTAAGTACTTTGACTCCCTTTGACTCACGCTTCGCTAGTGGGTGGCGGTGTTGGGTTGTCGGCCCCTGCGCCGTTTCGGGTTGCGACCGAGAACACCGTCTTTGCCATGCCCGAGACCAAAATTGGATACTGCCCGGACGTGGGGTCTAGTTACTTCATGTCCCGACTGGACGGAGAGATTGGTACCTACCTTGCTTTGACTGGAGCCACGCTCCAGGGCCGAGCGGTCTTGTGTGTTGCAGTTCGTCTCCCGGGTCACTGACTGATTCGAATGGACGTACACAGTGAGCATGGCTTTGCAACGCATTTCATCCCGGCAAGGCGGCTGCCTCTGCTTCTAGATCGGTTGTCGAACGTTGAAGAACAAGATCACACAACCATTGATCGCACTTTAGAAGAGCTTTCCTCTGAGCGCGAAGACAGCGATCCTCCCGCTCCGCTTGTGTCGTCGGTGCGGATAGCGTTGGACTTCGCATTCAGGCACGATCGAGTGGAGCGAATATTGGCGGATCTCGAACAGCTGTCGTCGGATTCGATCCCGGCAGTCAGTCACTGGGCCACACAAACTTTACAACAGCTGCGGGAGCGCAGTCCCACCAGTCTCAAGGTCGCACTGCGGGCCATCCGGCTGGGCAAGACCCAGACCCTGACTGAAGCCTTCAACATGGAGCTCAAGATTGCCACCCTACTGCGTGAGTGCGCACGCAGCTGTATTTTCCTAACTTGATATGTTTGTGTCTAGAGCGGGGCCAGTTCGGACTTCGCGACAGGCGTGACGGAACTGTTGGTCAACAAAAGCAAGGAACCACGGCAATGGACTCCGAACAACCTGGAAGATGTCACGGACGAAATCGTGGACCGATTCTTCTCGCCGCACTCTAAATATTTGGCCAAGGCGCCCACCGTCGGACACACTTCCTTTGACAACCGTGGCACGAATGAGCGGACGCTCAGATTTGGTCTTCCGACGGAGCTGGAGATCTCGAGAGTGATTACGGGTGAAGATCCGGACAGTGGGGACATGGGATATACGCTCGATGATCTCATCCAATACTTCCACGAAACCAAAGACGGGAAGATGGGCGTTGAGAAAAAGATTCGCGACGTCGTGTCTCGTAAGACAACCCTGGTGGACAACAACGACGGGAACTATGTCTGGCTGCGTTGGAATCCGTAGTTGCCTCGACTGACCCTTGGCAATGAAGCCCATTTTTCGCTTGTGACCCTTGAGCTCGCTATTAAATACCGTCCACATGGCAATTGAGAGGGGTTCAGTATGTAAGTGCTTTCGCCGGCGGAGTTCTTGAGCGAGAGACTTGCCCCGGACTTTCGCTCTGTAGCAAGAGTTCTGTAACTGCTAGAATGTGCGGAAGATTTGCAGGATAGCAAGCATGCCCGGCGATATACGTGCAGGCCTGTGCAGGCTCGCGGTACAGCACCCGGAATCGTAACAAGATTCCGCACAGATTCCGTGCCGTCGGTGACGTGTGCCTCGATTGATCCGCCGACACAGCCATGAGCTGTCTGATCTCTTCGCAGAGGGTCACGACGGTCACAGCGCATCTGACAACACCAAGTCGCGAATTGCTCCCCGGGGGTGTCGTGCGGTGACGACCAGGGGAGATGCACTGTACGACTAATTGTTTGCGGCAAACCTACATCATTGCTGTTGGTGCCTCGGAACATCCGGAGAAATTGCTTTTTCAGAGAGAGATCTTGTTTCCGCGGCACGCGCGTTTGGATCTCTAGATGGTCCATGGCCAGATCCGGTATGTTGCTGCAGTCTGTCCAAACGTGGTCCATTGCGTCGCTTACCGTCTTCTTGGGCGCCAATCCACGCTCCACCACCGTTTCAGTTTGGGCTAACTCCGGTTGGCAACAACATGAGTAATAGTCTTCCTTGTCTATTCCCTCCCTATATAATGTGGACCTACATTCCCTGGCCTTTGCCCATCCACCCCGTTTCATCCCTCTGTTCATTCTACCATGAACGTCATCGACCTCCTCCCATCCCCGCACTACTACTTCCATTCTGCTCTCTCGTTGGTGCAGAGCGCGCTATCCAGCACTCGCAGGGAAAAAGTTTTGCCCTCGCGAGTCGACTACGACATCGACGAAGACACCGGCTTCCTTCCCCCGTCTCCTCCTCCGCGTCTAGCCGGTGCCTATGCATTGTGGGAACACGCGTTGACCGAAGCAGCGACGGAAGTCTATCTGTGGGACGATCAGTCTGAAGACGCGTCGGAAGGGCGCGTCTCATCGGACGCGTGGCGGACGAGGATTCTCTCTGTGAGTCGCTTCACCCTTCAGCCTTATCCATGCTGAAAATCTTGCTTAGTGGCCTGTGGTTGACACAGAGGCGTTGCACGGAAACATTCGTCGTCTCCAGCGGGCCCATGTGGTACTCGCTTATCTGACGCACTATTATATCCACTCTGCCCCTCCAACCCGCTCCGATCTCCCGTTTCTGGTTCCCAAGGCCCTTGCCGTCCCATTCGTCACTGTTTCGCGCCAACTCGGCATCGCCCCGGTTCTTACCTTCGCGGATACCGTGCTGTGGAATTACGAATTGATTGACGCAGCCAAACCCTTGTCGGCTATCAACATCCAGTACACCAACGTCTTCTCGAGAACGGAAGACGAGTCCCATTTTTATCTCACGTCTGCGCTTGTTGAGCTTCGGGGGATCGAGCTTCTGAAGATCATTGACGATTACCATTCTCTGCCCGATTTGGAGGACCTCGCTGCTATTTCCAAACTCTCCCGGGACCTTACGCGGCTGGTTGGCATTGTTGCAGATATCAGCGACATCATTCAAAGTGTTCGTGACACTGTGGATCCGCACGTCTTCTACCATGCGATCAGGCCTTGGTTTTCGGGCAGCGATGCCAAGGGCCCATCGTCCCCCGGCTGGATCTACGAGGGTGTCCCTAATTCGGAACAGCTGGATCTCAGCGGGCCATCGGGAGGACAGAGCAGCGTCATGCACGCTCTCGATCTGTTCTTTGATGTGGACCACAAGCTCAAGTCGCGGCGCTTTCCTGTGCCTTCTGCCGAGAATCACCGGACTGACACTGGTTTCATGGAGCGCATGCGACGGTACATGCCTGGCAAGCACCGCGATTATCTCCATTCCCTTGCCAACAGCCCGCTATCCATCCGGGAGCTGGCTGAGAGGACACCGGCCCTGCGAGAGCCATACGACAATGCTGTCATGGCCCTCAAGAAACTGCGTGACCTTCACATGCGCATCGCCTGTCTCTACATCGTCACCATGTCACGCTCAAGCCCGCACCCGTCGGCTGCGTGTCCTGTCGCAGCGATGATGGACAGAGTGCAAAAAAGTCGGGGCACCGGCGGCAACGAGTTGGCGCTGCTCCTCAAGGCCAGTCGCGACGCGACGCGCCGCACGTTGCTGAGAAGACATAGATGCGACTAATACGGATTACACTATGGTAATGGCTCATTCTAAATCATACGCTAGCATAGTACAATATTGTATACCGATCCAACTGCAAAATCCATACGACCACACTTGTGTTCGCACTTGACCGTTGCGTCATCAGATCAGAGTAGTCATCGAATCTCACGAAGCCGCTTCATCTTGGGCCATTCGACGTCATCCAAAGCTGATGGCACCTCGTGAATTTGCTTTTTGCGGACTACGGGAGTAGGGCATCAGTGGCAGTGCCGGCCGTCCGCCGCGGCAGCCATTCAGTTGCCCCCACCACTCCGAAGGCTCTCAGAATACTTTGGTAGAATCCGGTGACGGATAGAAGGCATCCCAACACCGTATGAGAGTCAAGTGAAGGGCTGGAAGTGAACTACATCGACGGGACGACTTGGTCAATCAGCACTCGAGCTTTGGCCGAGGCGTATAACACTACGTCATCTCAACATCCCAGGAACGCTTCCAGTCTCTCAAGCTTCCTTTCCGTTCACCATGAACGTCCTGCATGCGATCGGCAAGACATTCAGCTTCAGGGCGCTACCAACGACAGCTGCAGTCGTCGCTCTTTACGCGGGACTGCTTGGTGCAGTATTCTACGGTGATCAGCTCGCGACGTATGCGCAGTCTGGCGCATTGGGTTTGTCTCGTGCTGACGACCGCACTTAGTGTACCGTCTCATCAGGGAGGTCTGAACCTGACCACGGCGTATGCGGATCTGCACGAAGTGTGTGTTTGCTTTCGCACCGCAGGCGGCGCTGCTCGTACTGGTAGTTGACTGCTTTGTCAGATTGCCGCGCGTCCTCATCCTTTCCTCTCTCATGCCAACGACATCGTCCACGACTTCATACTCGACAGAGTGCAGAGTATCACCGAGGGCGCCGACTATGCCGAGGTCTTTGACGACGTGCTGTCGAATGGGTCGTTCATGTCTGTCTGGGGCGCACATGCGGTGTATAACGAGGCGACGAACGTTCTCGTAAAAATTGAAGGGACTGATCCGGAGTACTCGTCCAGTACGTGTCGCATTCCATTCATGTTTGAGTTATGGTTGTCTAATAGGAATGAATGGACAGGCGGCGGCGTATTGCTCAGCGCACACTACGACTCTGTGTCCTCAGCTGCGGGTGCGACCGATGACGGTATGGGTGTCGCGACTCTCATCCAGCTGGTGGACTACTTCACCAAGCACCGACCACGGCGCACGGTCGTCTTCAACATCAACAACGGCGAAGAGGACGGCCTGCTCGGGGCGATGTCCTTCTTGAAGCACCCATGGTCCAATCTGACGGACGTGTTCCTGAATCTCGAGGGCGCTGCTTCTGGCGGGTGTGTTGTGATGTTCTCGCAGGCTCACTTCCATTGATGTTGCATCACGGCACAATAGGCGCCCGTTGCTCTTCCGTGCCTCCGGCGGCCCAGTCCTGCGCGCCTTCCACCCTTCCCATCCGCATGCCAACATTCTCTCTTCCGACGGCTTCGCGCGGGGGGCCATCAGCTCCGGAACCGACTTCACGGTCTACACCGCCGTGGGGATCAGCGGCCTCGATCTGGCGTTCTATCGCGGCAGGAGCAAGTACCACACCAAATTCGATTCGATTCCGTATACTGTGGGGCTGGAACGTGCGCTGTGGGCTATGATGGATTCTGCCCGGTCCACGGCCGTGGCACTGGCGAATGACGACAGGACGCATGGTCCCGATGGAGGCAGGATGCCAGTTTACTTGGATTGTAAGTGGTCAGAGTATCTGGGTCGCGTATTCGTTAACTCATGGGCTCTCAGTGTTCGGAAAATGGATGGTGCTCGTCAGCATGAACACCGTTTTCGCAATTGATATCGTCCTCCTCGTCGTCGGCCCGCTCTTCCTCCTGCTCCTGTTTGTCCTCGAAACCGCAGTGCTGCATGAACGGACGTCCACCCAAAATGGAGCGCCGCCTCAGCACGCATTCTTGGAGCGTGCTCGAGCATCGCTCGTCAATTTTACTTGGACTAAACCTGCTTGGCAGCTGGCCAAGTTTTGGGTTGCAGTAGCTGTGACTATTCTTTCGCAGGCGCTGCTCGTGTTCGCGTTCTTGAAAATCAATCCGTTTGTATGTCATGTCCCTCTGTTCTTGACCGAGTACTGACCGTCCTCGAGACTGTATATTCGCGGCCGGGGCTGGTCGTGGTCTCCAGCGCCACCTTGGCCTATCTCACACTTTTCTATGTCCTCACTCCTGGAACTCATTCCCTGCCCGAGCGTCAGAAGCACGATATATTCGTCCAGCTCTACGTTTTCTCGTGGTTGCTTCTTGTTCTGGCGACCGCAGCCCTAAACTCGGGGATCGGCGGATTGTACTTTGTCACCGCATGGAACGCCGTCGTTCTGCTCGCATGTGCGATTGGCTATGTGGAGAACATGCTCCAGGTTTCTGGCTCTACAGGTTATGTCGCACTGCCCCAGGATGAAGTTACCGCCACTGAATCTTCCGAGACGACGCCTCTGATTGCTCGGCCAGTGTCAGCCAAGGAAGTGCCTGGCGCAGCGGGCTGGTGGATGGCACAGCTCGTTCTCACGGTATCGGTGCCTGTGGCTCTCGTATCTCAGATGGGTTTGATCGTCATCACCGCTCTCTCGCAGACTCTGGCGGATGGAAGTTCGGTGATAACGGGTACGCTTAACTAGATTGTTCTATTCTGCCGCTTCTGAACTCGAGGCAGTGTACATCGTGGTCTGTGCTATCACGTTCTTTGTCGTACTTCCCGTCGCGCCATTCACGGTCAAAATGCATCCCCGCGTTGGCATCGTGTGCCTGGGGGTACTCATCGTCACGGCGGCCACGAGTCTGCTGATGTTTCCTTTCTCGATGGACGAGCCATTCAAGATGTACTACACCCAGAGTGTTTCCCTGGGCGACATCTCATCGCCGGCCGATTTCATCAATGCGACCAGTTTCCTGATCGGTCTTCCCTCCTTTATCGAACAGGGTGTCATCCCTTCTCTGCCCTCGGCCTCGAAGAGCGCTGTCCAATGCGTCGTCGACCCTTCGGGACGACAGGCCCTGAAAACCTGCTCGTGGGACACAGGGCTGATCCCGACCCCTGCCAACGTCACCAGTCGCGCCCCCACGAACTGGCTCAAAGCGAGCGTGGAGAAACTCAGCTCGAACTCTGCACGCTTTGTTCTGGAGCCTGTCAACACGAGACAGTGCGTGTTTAACTTCAGCCAGCCGATTCAGTATCACCACGTGCACGGCTCAGACCGTGATTTCCTCCGGCCATTCACGCCCCCGCCCGAGGGCTATCGCCGGCTGCAGCTCTGGACCCGCACGTGGGGCAAAAAATCAACGGTTGACGTCCATTGGGATGGTGACGCCGGCCTCAGCGGCCAGATTGCGTGCTCCTGGGCGGAATATGAAAGCGGCAGTGTCAGTGTCGACCGCAGCATCGGCAAGATCCCCGGCTGGGAAGAGATCTTGCAGTTCTCGCCTCGCTGGGCGGCAGCCATGACCGCCGGGCCGCCCGTCCAAGCCATAACCACTTTTTCCTTGTAGTGTGATCAATTAACCAGCGTACTTGCTTGTGATCTGATAATAAAAACACGCCTCGTCACAAGTGACGTGTCGCGTCCGTGACACGCTCCAAAATGAGCTCGTCTTCTTCGTCGACGATCGAAACGACCACTTACTCCATCAACAAGTACAGCAGGTCGTACTATCCCAAACCCTCGACCGCGACCTCGGAATGGCAGCATTTCACGAATCCGGTTTTGCGGCTGCACCTCGATATCACCCGCCAGTCTGCGTCGGACAAGGTAAGCACTCGGGCCTAGGGTTTTGTGCGAGGCCAGCTTTGAATTGAGTGATAGACGCTCCGGTCGCTGAGGCTGAGAGTTGTCTGGACGATGACGGCGGCGAAGAGCGAACAGGACATCGTGCTCGTGAATGTCCCAGACACGCGCACGAGGCTAGCTGGCTGATCGTTCCCAGGAGGATCTTGAGTTGCTCGAGTTTTCTTCGCTCGACACCGGGGGCGACAGCCCGTCTCTGAAAGGCGTCCATCGAGACCTTACGTTTGGATTCCGGTATATGTACGTCCCGGAATCAGTCGGGCCGCACAAGGTTGGTGGTCGTCTCCGCCATATTCCCCGCCTATAGGCTTTTGCTGACGCCGAACAGGCGTTCCGCCGCTTCCAGGTCTCGTTCCTGACATCTGCAGCACTGACCCAGTTCGCGTCGATCATGCAGAACATCTGCCCCATCACGGACCAGTCGACGAAATCGGCTCTGCCCTCTGCGCCCTCCGTCCTCTCGCGGACCTTGACGCAATCGGTCGTCCTACCTCCACCAAGAGAGCAGGAGCAGCACAACGAGAACCAGATAGCAGAGCCTCGGCCCTGCGGCGCGATGCTCACACAAGGCGTCTCGCGCACACACCCCGTCCCGCCGTCCTCGTCTCCCACGCTCCCCGGATCCTCCCAGCTGCCGCCGCCGAGTCGCCCGTCCGTTGACCCGTCGCCCGCCGCCTCGCAGGCGACCGGGCTCACCAAGTCGTCGTCCCTGCCGGATTCGACCCCGCCTTCCAGCATGGGCATGGGCATGGGCCCGCCCCCTCTGCCGGCGTCCTCGTCAAGCATGACGTCGGCGCACGCGGAGAGCCAGACGGCGGCAGCGGCGGGGGATGTGGTGGGTATGCTGCGCGACGCGACGGGGTTGTACGACCTGCCGAGGGACGCGCTGGAGCGGCTGGTTGGGGACGTCATCCGGGAGGACGGGTTCGCGCGCCTGGTGAGCTATTCTTCGTTCTTTCTACCATGCCGAATTAGTATTCTGAGGGGACCTGGTGGTGCAGCTCGATAGGATGTCGGCGATGTGGAGTGCCAAGGCGGCTGTGGCCGACTGACGGTATCGGAGGGCATTTGTGTTGAGGGCGGAGGAGATGCGCTTTGCTTGACGAGCGAGTGGGGTAGACAGTTCTTGTGAGGGGAGACTAATCAGACGAGATTGTGGGTTGTGTGTTTTGAGAGGAGCGCACGCCAGGTTGATTTGATATGACTGGAGTGGAGACCATCCTGAATGTAATTTCGGCCGAAGTGGAATCTTGAAGTCGGATCTGAATCCCGAAATCGGTCTCGTACGACTGGCCACCGACTCATCCGATGCTGCTGCCAATTCGTCCATGAGTCTCTCTTGACTCTCTCCAAACAGCTGTGTCCGATGTCTCTGCGCTGCTTGAACTTGGAATCCACCTCAAATGACTGACTGGATAGCGGTTTTATCCTGTGACGAGTCTGACTTGGAGATACCTCCTGCATCTTCACGATGCCTGGTCCTGCGCCTGTGGGACTGTGAAAGACAGTCGACCCAGAATTTGAAAAAGCCAGCCTGGATCACTAGCTCGGGGTCCTAGAGTCGATATTCCAGGAGCGCAGTGGAGTTAAATAGGATCTCGCCGATGATGATCAACTTTGACTTTGTCGCACCGCGGTAGTTTTCTGGGTCGAACCACTGCAGATTCGAGGAAACTGGGCGTCTCATCCGGAACCTAGCGCACCGTGTATAAAAGTCTTGGGGAGCAGACATTGGATGCAGGAAGACGTGGACGATGACTCGTTTGGCTGCTCACAGAGGACGAAGCAAGGGCTGCGTGCTTTATCATCGCGATTGGGCCTTCAAAAACCCTGGGAAATCTCCGCATTTACTTGTTATTGGGGGTGAGTGTTGGGAAAGTGACACAACATGATGATTTACACACGTCCTCCAGCTATGGCTGGCAAGGGGAGAACATGCAGAAACACGGCAACCCCATGCAAATGGACGTGCACAGCATGGCCTTTCACAACCTCGAAAGCCGTCGTGCAGTGGAGCAATTGTTTTTTGATGAGGCGTGACCTCATTGTGGCGAGTCACGATTGTGACGGATCGTGTGCGGGTTGTTATTCGACCTCAACTCTGTGCACTTGCTCCCACTCCGTGCATACTATCCGCGATATCCTTCTGACTACCAGAAACTTCCTTCCAGACCGCGCATCTATCCGATCACCGTGAGTACGCTCCAGTACTTTACGCTTGATGTCTTTCTGACTCTCGGGATAGAATGAGCACCAGCTACAATTTCCCTAGTGGCGTACCGCAGGAAAGCTTCCTCCCGACGAGCTCCTATGATTATCAGACCCTGTCGGAGTCCAGTGGACCCCAACAGCTGGCCCGATCGCACGACGGCGACATAGAAGGGACCGAGGAGCGTCCCCAGAGACGGCAGCGCGTCGACGGGCCTGTCGAGGACGGGCCCCAGCACGCATACGACACAGCGGCAATGTCCGCCGACGGGTGAGTACGCGTGTCCTCCTCCCCGCTCCCCGCTCATCTCGCCGCAGAGTCTCCGTGGCCCCCGGACGCGCCGCGCCGGCCAGCGACCCCGCGGCGGCTGGTCTCCTCCCGCTGCACATCAACACGCGCCCGCCACCGGCGTTCTTCCTCTGCCTGTCGGACTACCGCACAGGCCCGCCCGTGCCGGTGTTCCTGGGCGGCAAGTTCTGCCCGTACGCGTTCCTCTTCCCGGACGGCTTCCCGGGGCGCACGCGGCTCGTCGTTGTCGACTCGCTGGTCGCGGAGCGCATGTGCGCGGCGGAGGGCCGCGCCGTGTTCCGCCCGCGCGCGGTCGTCGCGCGCACCCAGCGCGGGGAGCTCAAGGTCGTGCGCCTGTTCAGCTACGCGGCCGGCGGCTTTGTGCGGTTGTACCCGAACAACGACGTCGACGTCGCGGCGCTCCCGCCGCCGTGGAACGTCGACATCAGCACGGACCATTTCCCGTCCCTGCAGCTGCTCAGGGTCGCTGTCTCGACGCAGATCGTGCCGTTCGTGAGGATGGCTTTGCAATCCCGGCCGCAAGACGCTGCTGCGGATGCTGATAAAAACTCTGGCGAGGACAATGTCCAGGAGCTACCGGATCTGACGAACCCATCGCTCCTTGGATAATGGCGATTTTATCGTTGTGCATCAATCATCTTCAGCATACAATCTCTACATACGCGATTTTACTCATCACGAAGTGTTCTATGCACCCGTTGTAATTCTCTCCCATCATGAACTGTACTGTATATATGTTAGTTTCTACCTAGATATGGTCTATTGTCGTATATATAACATGTCCACTAGCCATTAGTATCTCCACGCCTGCTGAACGTAAAATCCGAGTTCGATCATCTGGCTTCCAAAGGCAACGATAGGACTCTAGATAGATACTTCAACATCAATAAATGCGCGGTTCAGAGGGGATGAAACACGATCAGTCACGCGTGACGATCCGCGTCGAGGATGCTGCTCTGGTTTGAGTGCCTGGTTCATCAGCGGTAATGATCGCCTTTTCCCAAAGGGGTTGTGAACAAGTATTTATGGAAACTATGGAGAAGAAATGAGTCTTTCACTGAACCATCCCAAGGGCTGTCACAGCATGTAAAGTCGAACCCAATAGTGTTCGATTCAATGGCTGCTTAGGTCTATTCAAGAGAGAGAAAGAAAATTACCAGCGGTGGACAGATCCACAATTGCATTCTATCGATATATTCTAGTTGTCCAGGTGATACTCACTGAAATCTAGGTCCAGACTAAGCCCCTCAGCCTTGAGAGCCTCCATCCGATCCTTGAAGCCAGGCGACATCTCTGTACGTCCGCCCGGAACACACACACTCTTCAAACGAGAGACCGGAGCGTCAGCGGGGGCCTGATCATCGCTCCACCAGCGGGACCGGACGAACTGCTCGAAGAGCCGCGCCGAGTATGCCTCCACGTTGCCGTCCCACTCGATCTCCTCGAGGGCGGGCAGCAGCGGGGGCGACGCGTCCCCCGCGTCGTACACAAGCGCCGCGAACACACGGTCCTTCGACGCATTGCCCTGCGGCCCGAGCTCGAGCATGCGCAGCGCCGGCGCGGCGCGGAGGATGTCCAGGAAGTCCTCGTCGCTGCGGACCTGCAGGCCCGTGAGAGAGAGCGCGTCGATGTTCGGGCTGCGCGCCTGGAATGCGGCGAACGCGGCCGCGGGCCAGAGCGCGGGCAGCCGGCCCGGGTCGATGTCCCAGAACACCCAGTCCCAGAACACCCATTCCATCTTGAGCGACTTGAGCGCGGGGAACGCAAAGTGGGCGAGGAGCGCGCCGAAGCCGCCAGAGGGGTCGTCGGGGAGCTCCGAGTCGTCGTTCGCCTCGAAGGTCAGCGAGAGCATCTGGAGCTGCGCGAGCGTCGAGACGCTACTGTCGCCGGGGCCAGGCCCGGGCCCGTCCCACGCGTACTTGGTCGTGATATCGGCGTGCTGCAAACTAGCGCACGCCGCCAACGCGCGCAGGCACGCACACGGGGACGTGTCCTGCAGCAGCACCGCCACGAGCTGCGCGTACGGGAGCCGCAAGTGCGCGAGGACCGCGCGGCCCTCCATCACGATGACCGTCTTCAGCAGCGGCGCGGCGCCGAACGTCGTGATCGCGCGCGTCGGCGGGTCGTGCACCACCAGCGCGAGATGCACCAGCTCCCGGCACGTGGCCGCTGGCAGCTGCCCCATGCGCCCCAGGCGGTCCACCATGATGCGCACGGAGCGCCACCGTGCGGCCGTCTGCAGCGCGAGCGCCATCCCCGGCGCGCGCGCGTCGTCCCCGCCACCTACGATGCCCGTTATCTCAGTTATCGAGATGGGCATCGGCGCCGAGCGCTGCGCGACCAGGGCCGCGACCTCGGGGCTCGCGACATCGCGCGTGTGATTCAGCTGGATCAGGAGACGGCAGTGACACCAGAGAGACGGGGTCTGTAGGATGATGCCTCTCCAATACCGCGACACATGGGACAGCCCTAAAAGCTGTTCCGGGGAGCTGAGCGTGAAGGCGTCTTGCTGCCAGTCGCTTGCCACGGCCAGGCGAAAGATCCCGGCCAGCAGCTCCACCGGGAGCTTCCCAATCGCTGCATTGCGAATTGAAACTTGGTTTTCGGAAGTTGCTATGGTGGCGGGTACGAGAGTCTCAGATACGATATCACTCCTATCAGAAATTTGTGTAAGTCTGGAGATGCAGGCCAGCAGAGACAACTGACGCCGGCACCGTCCACGACATGAGCGACGGTGAAGAACACGATCAGTCACGTGTGACGCGTGTGTGGCTTTGACCCCACATACTTGCAGGCGATAACTTGTCTACAATTCGAACCGTTCTTGTGTAAAAACAAATGGTATCAATTGCGATGCGATCCACCGATCAGGCAAGCCAAGCCTCCAACGCAGCCAAATCATCGTCGTCGTCGTCATCCTCCATCTTCGCATCCTCATCTTCGCAGATGGCCACAATCTCCGGAATATACGACATGCCGGTGCTGTCTTGGTCCTCCTCCTCCTCGGGCTCGGAGGGCCCCGTGCTCAGCCCCGGCGTGTTCGGAATCGCCTCGTCGTCATCGTCGTCGTACATCAGCTGGTCGTATTCCAGATCTTCTTCCTCGTAAAAGAGCGGTTTCTCGGAGATCATCAGCGGGCGCTGGAGATCTGGATGAATCCATCCACTGACCGTTGGAGACGGTGCGAGGTCAAAGCGTGCCCGTTTCAGAGGCCGGTCCGGTCCGTCCGTCGTCCGTTTCTTGTCGTTCATAGCAGATTTGCGAGTTTTTTCGCCTTCAGTCAGATCCCGGGCCGTCACCAGCTCAGAGGGCGCATTGCGGATCAGCGAGTCAATGTCCGAGTCCGAGTAGTCCGGCGAGGGTCCTTTGACCGCCTTTTGCTGTTGCTGTCTTCTCAGAGTTTTCCCAAATTCGCTAGGATCAGGCAATTCGTCCTCCAGATCTGCCGCCAGTTCGTCACCACGAGACACAGCAGGCGCATGCTCCAGCTCAGACAGCTCGACGTTGAAGTTGATTACTGCCTTGCGCTTGCGCTTCTTGGATCCCAGATTTGACGGTTCCGCTTTGGGAGGAGACGCGAGCTTCAGCCGAGATCCCTCGGGCATCTTGAGGCTGACGTTGCTGCGCTCGTGTATGCGCTCTAGATCTTGCATCACCAGAGTCTTGCTGGGCTTGGCTTTGGCTTTGGAAGGCAGCTTGGACATCATCGGCTTGTTGTTCTCTCCGGGTGGAGCCTCGTCTGTACGTTTCCGCGGCTGTTTCGGAGGCTCGGCCAAGCCCTCTCTGCAGCTGTCGATGGCTTTGCGCACTGTCATGGACAAGGAAAGACGAAAAAATGGCGCACCAGAGATGCCGACATTTGGTCTTGTCCTTGCACGCGTGATTGCAGCTGAGCGCATCGTCAGATTAGATCTACCGCGTCGCTGTAACATACGGGAAGTTGCCGTTCGACAGTTTGTTCGTGGACTTCGGCAGTTCCACGGCAGCAGGCTTCTCCGCTCTCTCTGCGAAAATAAGCATGCGGACCGCCAGTGACGACACACGAGTTCCCACCTCGCGGTTTAGTCAGATCTCGCACGACTTCCGGGACTTCGTTCCCGTACCGATCAACTTGGCTGTCCAGATTCCAGAAATCACTATCCTCCAGGCCTTCCAGGTCGAGTTCCAGTGCTGTCAGCGGCCGCGTATCGCGGATCGGATACTCTTTCGCCGCGATCTTGGGCTTCAAGATCTCCGTCACAGTTAGTCCCGCTGCAAACTCCTAATGCGCTATTGAGACCGAGGAACCACGAAACGCACGGACCGACGCACAGCCGTGATCAGAACCAGAATCGACTGGCTTGGCTTGGTCAGCTCCGCCGTGATCTCGAACGTCCGATTTTCCTTCAGTCCTCTCGTCCTGCATGGCCTTCAGAACGATGCATCGAGATCAACATCGGCACGCAACTGAATCCTACGAAAGTCGATCAACTCCAGATCCGACGTGAGCGTCAGGATATCCGTCATGTTATTCGTGTACTTTCCGCGCGCCGTCTTCTTGGCCTTGTTGGGCATCTCCAGCTCTTGGGCCAGGCCACACGTGATGCACAGATCAACCTCGACGGGATCCTGTCCTCCGTTTGATCGGTGCTCCTGTTGCTGCACTTCGAGCATGTAGTGCGGCAGCTCCCGTACGGACGATATGATTTCGTGTCCGAATGGCGGCCGCCGATTGAGTAACTGGGCGCGCATGGTCAGATACCTTTTTACGTTTGAGTGATGCGCACCAGTTCGATCCGATGCGGCTCTTGTTGACCCAGCTGAAATAATGATGTTATCCCATTCTCTGCCAGGACCTGTCCGCGGTTGGGTTCCCAGTCTCATGTAGATTGCTCATTACGCACTTTGATTCTGACACATTTAAGCGCAGGAGTAAGCACTCGACAAAAGAAAGAAGCACGCACGACTTGTCGCCGATGGACTCGACCTGTTTCAGTACGACCGGTCTGTCGTCCCAGGCCTTGGCAGTCAGGCACCTTACCCTGCAGGAATCAGTCGATTGCTACGTCTCGAGAGGAATATTAGTGGTGACCAACATTTCGAGCCCGTGCTTGAGCTGTGCCCCGCGCTTCTGCACCACGGCAACTTCAACAACGACCCGGGCGATCCGGCAAACATGCTTGAAAACGGTATACGCTTCGAGATGGGGTTGGCTGTCGCTTGTCTTGTATTCTGCCGTGTTCAGCGAGATGCCGCCAAGGATGGCCTGCGCTCGTCGTCACTGACGAAGGATGCCCCCCAAAAACGCTGGCTTACCTGAATCAGAAGAAGAACCTTGTCGGACGTCCGCTCGACCTTCTTGACCTCGAATCGTATATCGTTGTGACGCCGGAGCTTGTTATAAACCTTCGCGGCAGTGATCGTCATTGCTACGTCACTGAGGAAAGACCAGGCTTACAGTCTTTTCTGACGTCCGTAGCTTGTTTTCGGCCAGCCTGGGATTATCAACAGTGTGCGGCGAATGACCAACAAATCCTGGCGCACTCTTCCGATGCGCATATGACTTCAAGCTATGCAGGGATGTTCAGTGGTGACTTGGCAATCAGACATGATTACCCACTACTTCACGAAGAGTCGGTTTCTCTGGAAGAGCCAAGATGGCGCTCATCTGAATGATCCAGTTAAATGGATGAAAAGGCCTGATCCGCTATGCTCCTGACCGTGCTCTGCTTGATGTAAAACTGTGACAGGCCGTCAGTCGCATCCATAAAACGGAACCCAACGAGCCGCACCTTGCTCATAATATCGCCAAACTCAGTCGATTTCAAAAGCCCGCTCTTGTCTCCCTCCTTCGGCGGCGCAATCAGCCTGGTCTCCCTCAATTTGTCCACACTGTGCGTGACCATATCATCGACTCTCTCCTCCCATGTTTGGTTCTCACCCTTGCCCAATGCGTAGTGTGCAGGATTCTTGCGCACTCTCTGGAATAGAAACGAGCCGCGCAGCCATTCCTTCGCCCCTCGGATGGTGGTGATTGTGCCCAGCCCGATTTCGGAATTTAGATGCTCAGATAGGTTGGTATGCAGAGAGCTTTCAACGATGGTCGTGCCCTGCGCTAATTCACGATACTTGTTTTCCAGTTCAGTCTCGCATAGAATGATAGTCAGGCCGTCTTTGTCTGAAGATGAGTCAGGGACGATTGAATGAGATATGGTTGAGGTTGAGCGTTACCAAACTGTGGTCGCCCCTGGGTACGAAAAGTTTCCTTCATGATTTCCGACGTCATTGAGTTCATGTAGCACTCACTGCGCGCCCAATCATCTGCATGATATCGAGATCCGAGTATTCCACAGATTGGTTGTTTTGGAAGGTCTGTACACCTTTGATGACAACAGTGTGAGCAGCTGTACAACACCTCTATAAGCTGAAAGTTGAGTGGAACAGTCGCCGTACGCAGATTGACACCGACAGCAAGAGTCTACAAAGAGATGAGCATGTAAGATTAGCTTAGATTAGACAAGATACCGATGTGGCGACGACCACTCTGAGCGTCCCTTTCAGGTACAAATCTTCCACTGCTCGTCGATCGTCGATCGTCATTCCCGCATGATGGATTCCGATTCCGGAGGATACAAAATCTGGACATCATACGTATCAGCCCTGAACAACTACTGATCAGTCGAGTTGCACCAATCAAACGTTTCTCGTGAAAGATCTTATCGATGCGGGGAGGATGGGCCCACGGAAGTCGCTGTTTGGCCTTCTGAGCTTCATTGTAGTCTTTGAGAAGTTGTTCGGCGGTATTTGACACCCCTGTAGAGTATCCACCGGCCAGCTCGACATTGATTTGGAGCTCGCACGCACCTTTGCGTGTGGACACAAACACCAAGATGGGTTTGCCTACAGAATACGTTTGGAGTGCACCAAATAATTTGAAGTCGCTAGGTCGTTATTGAGCCATCGTTTGTGAGATATCAATCAACGAACAGTTTGCGAGCGAATGAAAAGTCGTTTTCGTTCTTTTGCCTTGCCACTCCAATGACATGCCTCGTCAGTTTACACGGGCGAAACTGTTCCCCAAACTGCAAAAAGTCTCGGTCTCGGGGTGACTGGCAGTAGATAGCGATGAAACGCACTTCGAAAACTTTCGCTGCGGCATCTCGCTGTGAATTCCCAATCCAAGCCGCGATGTCGTCGATATTGGGTACAGTGGCTGAGACGAGAACGAAGCGGACGGCGGAGCCGCGTGTTTTCATGCGCGAGATGACAACTTCGAGAGTGCTTCCTCTGCTTTCGTTGAGAATATGCACCTGCTCCAATTCAGGCGAGAATGAAGTCAAGGAAACTGCTGAGGCTGACTTCGTCGACTAGGAAGAGTTGAATTTGGGATAGAACGGTATCGTGGTCTCCCCTACGAGCGATGAGCAGGGATATCTCAAGAAGTGAGTAGGAAAAAACCGACCAATGACGCGTCAGACTGTCCCATTTCTCACCCTAGAGAGCTCGAATCCTGCTAGAAGATGATAAAATCCACACACTTACCGTAGTGACACTGGACCGTGTAAGATTCGTTCGTAACAACAGTGAGCACCAAAACTCACATTATGTTCGCATTCTTAGCGTCGCCCCAAGCTCCCTTCCCAAAAACGACAGTGTCCCCGGTGAGCTCACAGCCTGATGCGTATGAGCAAAGGCTGATGCACGAGGTAAAACGAACATTTGAAACCCAACGGGTCAAATTTGCTAGCCCAATCTCGGTGTCTTTCAGAACAAAGGGCCTAATCACATCGTCAAATGAGCACAGAAGTTGCTAGATGTGGAATCATAAACCTTGGTGGGTGCCATGTACACACACTTGATCGACTTTCCTGACGCCTTTGCTTCCTTCAACGCACGAATAATGGCAAGCTCAAACAAGACCGTCTTCCCACTCCCTGTAGGTGCTAGATGTGTGTGTGTCAGATCAGACCAGACACGCCCGGTTGAGCCCGCACCACTGATGACCATGTTCTCCTCGCTTTGAAAGACCTAGCGACGGAGGTGTTCAGCATGAACTCAACAGAAGCATGTGTCCTCGTACGGTATCAAAGCATGATGACTGAACAGCATTGAAGACTCCGAACTTAAATATTCCGCGGAAGATATCGGCTGCGCAGAATCGGTTAGTTCCTCGACCGTAGCACGGATAGGTGGATAAGTACGCAGATCAGAGATCGGGCGCAGCCGGATACCGGAGGAATTACGTGGATTCGACCCTCGTGCTGAAGCGGGTGGATGCGTTTGCAGAGCCGGGTGAGGTGGAGGCGGAGGGAGCATCGAGATTGGACGGCGAAAAGCGGCCTGGGATTGGGATGATGGACCTGTCGAGACATCTGGGACTGAGGCAATGGGTAAAATACCGATTGTTGACGTTGAAATATGGGTCGTGCTGGAAGGAATAAGTGGCCAGCGCCCCAGGGAAAGGAGTTGTTGCGCGCACTTTGGAAACCTCCATTCCCAAATCGTCCTCTGTTACGACTTTGAGGGTGCTGCTGCTGATTCCGAGTCGGTTCCTCGTATCCTTGTTGTCCTTGTGTCAGAAGACTCTGGTGATACACTAGATCATCTTCGTAGTACGGGGCCTCGTCGTCGTAGTCGTCGATATCATCATGCTGATATGCTTGGGTATACACAGGTATCCGCTCCGGAGGACAAGGAGAAGAGTCTTCTAGAACAGATTATGGATGGAGGTCGATGACCAAACGCATTTACTCACCTATCTCGTCAGAGTAATACAGAGCATGGCCCTGCATTGGCATCTCCTCACCATTATACTGGGGCTGGCGGTCTCCATAGTACATATCGCCTGAGTCATCAGCATACCCCGAGTCGTAGTGATCCTCGTAATCCATCGTGAGGCATGCGAAAGCGCGACGTGCTCTTGACTGAGGGAACCACACTGTGTACTTCGGGATCACGAGATCGTGGACGACGTGACGCCTGTGACCGGTCGCGTTTGACCTCTTCCGCTTACGATGGACCCTGCCGCTGCTGCCGCTCAAGCACTGAAGGAACAAGAAGACCAGAGGAAGCTCGAGGAATACATAGAAAAGTTGGCCCAACACATTTGACCCTCACTCTCCTCTTACAGACTCCAGGATTCACTACTCTGATCGATATACCGACGACAATTACGAGTATCGGCACGTAATCTTGCCCAAGCAACTTCTTCGACTCGTTCCCAAGAATTTCTTCGACGAGGAGATGGGGACACTTCGCTTACTCTCTGAGCCTGAATGGAGAGGAATCGGAATCACGCAGAGCCTGGGTTGGGAGCACTATGAAGTCCATGGTGGGTGCGCAAACTGATTGATCTTACTTGCCTTGAGCGTTTTTCCATCCAGCCCCCGAGCCTAATGTCTTGCTCTTCCGTCGACCGAAAGACTACGCCCCTCCTCCCCAACATGCGAACCCTAAAGCCGCCACACGCCGCAGATGATCGAACAGAATCACCCACATAGTACAACACCTCCGGATTGAATTTGGTCCTTGTTTTAGGTTAACTCTCCAATGTATTCCTTACCAACGGCACCCTCTTGACTGTCTTTTGCCACCTCGCCGTCCCATTAGTCCATAGAACCTGCTATCGATATGCTTTTTTTGCGATGCAGTCAGACTTGAACTGGGGCACTCTTGACTATGTAATAGGCCGTGGGTATATCAACCACGGTCCGGAGGCATCTGGAGGTTTATTTAAATCTCCGGATCCAGCCAGTTCAGACGCTAAAATTGACCCAATCTGGGTGCTGCTTGCGAGCGGCCACAACACCGATCACTGCGCGCGGATCACGAATACTCTTTTTGTGCTCACGTGCCACAACAAGTCTGCCACTGGTAGGGTTCATGCTGCTGAACCAATCCCCACGCAGCTTGCCATCTACGAGAACCCGCTTCCATTTCACTCACCCTGCCACGTCTCTTCCCTTCTCGACAACTAGGAAAATTCTCTGTATAGGTACAAGACTCGTTTCCACGGATAGAAGAACGACACTTGGACGCGTCACCCGTTCACTCTACCCCGCATCTCGCCTTCCAATCACCAGAATTCCCTTCGCGGGCATAGCCTCTTCTGCATCTGCCACAATGCAAGACTGGATACGCGTCAACCCCGACGTGGTTCCCCCCTACTCGGTGTTCTCCAAACCGCTTCAACGATCGGAGCAGGATGACCGAGAATATCGTCTCATCCGACTCGAAAACGGGCTGCAAGCGATGTTGGTGCACGACTCCAAGGCGGACAAGGCCGCTGCGAGTCTGGACGTCGCCGTGGGCCATCTCCGCGATCCCGTGCGTTTTCTTTATGTGCGCGCGCCGCGCTGTTCTGATCGCCATCTAGGATGACATGCCCGGTTTGGCCCATTTTTGCGAGCATCTGTTATTCATGGTGAGCGGCCGCGTTTCGCTTCGTGTACCGTGTTTGTCTGACTAATCGTACAGGGTACCGAAGAGTTTCCGCGCGAGAATGAATATGGGGATTACCTGGCGAAAAACAACGGTGGCTCCAATGCGTACACGTCGACGTCCAACACGAACTATCACTTCAACGTCGCAGCTCCCGGGCTCGAGGGCGCGCTTGCGCGTTTCTCGGGGTTCTTCCACTCTCCACTGTTCGCTCCGTCCTGTACGTCTCGCGAGCTCAACGCGGTGAACTCCGAGCACAAGAAGAACCACCAAGCCGATATGTGGCGTATCTTCCAGCTAGGCAAGCACCTAAGCGCGCAGGGACACCCGTGGCGCAAGTTTGGCAGCGGTCATCGGGATAGTTTGTCCGCCGCCGCCAAGGAGTTGAAAGCCAAGGGCAAGCTGGACAATCCCTCTCTGTTGAATGGCAACGGACACCATCTCAAAGCGCCATCCCCGATTCCCTCTCGGCTTTCGTCTCCGGCACCTTCGGTGTCATCCGTGGACAGCACGGACACCGAGGCCGATGGTGGTTCGATCGGACGGGAGATCAGGAGGAGGCTCATTGAATGGTGGTCGCAAGAATACTGTGCCAGCAGGATGCGCCTGTGTATTGTGGGAAATGGTATGTTCTCATGATCTTTTCTCAGGTCTATGCTTGATACTTTCAAAAGAATCATTGGATCAGCTGTCCTCCTATGCTTCCAAGTACTTCTCCCCCATTCTCAACCGTAATGTGGATCCGCTCCCGATGATCACCCAGTCGCCTTTCGATCGGCTTGGGGTATGTTGATCAGCCAGCTGCATCATTGCTTTCTCTGACATAGACGGCTTATAGACGCTGGTCTCTGTGAAAACGATCATGACTTTCCACGCCTTGGAGATCGCCTTTCCCCTTGAATGGCAGCCACCGTTCTGGCGACACAAGCCGATCCACTTCATCTCGCACTTCGTAGGCCATGAGGGACCTGGCTCGATCCATTCGTATCTGAAGCAGAAGGGATGGATCACAGCATTGAGCACCTCACCGCAAGACATGGCCCGAGGGATCTCTATGTTCAAAATCACTGCCTATCTCACGCAGGAGGGTTTCGGTGTGTCCTGTTTATTGAACTTCCTTGTGCGCGGCTGAGATCTGTCCAGAAAATCACGAGAGTGTGTCCTTGGCCATATTCAAGTATCTGAGCCTACTCCGGGCCTCGCAGTTCGATGCGTTCCACCAGTCCGAGCAGGTGACACTCGCGCGAACCCGTTTCCGCTTCAAGGAAAAGGGCAGCCCCGAGAACTATGCGACCTGGGTGGCCGAGAGCATGACCCGGCCTGTACCAACCGAGCTCATCTTGTCCTCCTCGTCCTTGCTGTGGGACTGGGATGGGGACAGTCTGCCAGGAGGTGGAGGGGAGTCCAAGGTCCGGGAATATCTAGAGCTCTGCAGACCCGAAAATGCCAGGATAACTCTCATGGCCAACACTAAGGATCAGCTGTCGCTCTTCCCGAACGCTGTGTGGCAAAAAGAGCCGTGGTATGGGACGGAGTATCACGTAGAGAAGTTCGGCGCGAGTTATTTGGCTGATGTGCGTCATGTTGAAATCAGTTCTCGGCGAAGACTGACTGTCTCTCCAGGCCAATGCTCCGAATGACATCAAGGAATTGCACCTGCCGGGTCCGAACGTTTTCATTCCCACTAATGTTGAGGTCGAGAAACGGGATGTCAAGGAACCGCTCATGCGACCCCATCTGATCAGAGAAACGCCTCTCTCGGTCCTCTGGCACAAGAAAGATGACCGGTTCTGGGTTCCCAAGGGCCATGCCGTCATCGATCTGCGCAGCCCATATGGCAATGTTTCCCCGCGCGCTGCCATATTGACACGGTGCGCTCCTTGCTCTCTCCCGCTTCCGCAGTTCCAATTGACTTTTCAGGCTGTATTCGGATATCGTCACCGACTCGCTGACTGAGTATGCTTACGACGCCAGTCTGGGTATGCTTTCTTACGCGTTCCTGCAACATTCGAACGGGTTGTATGTTACCATCAACGGCTTTAACGACAAGATGTCCGTCCTTATCGAGCAAGTGCTCGACAAGATCAAGAACATCGTGGTAGACCCGTCGAGACTCGAAATCATGAAGGAGCAGGCCAAACGGGATCTGAATAACTTCTTCCTCGGGCAATCCTACACCTTATCGGATTACTACGCTCGGTCTCTGCTGTCGGAGGTGCACTGGACGCTTGACAAACTTCTTGAAGAGTTGCCCTGTACGTTGCCGTGTCATCTGAAGACTAAGATGCTCATGGGTTTGCAGCCGTTTCGGCGGAAGACTTGCAGCAACACATCAAGCTCATGCTATCCGAAGTCAATCTGCGCATCGTCGTCACAGGGAACCTATACAAAGACGTTCGTTGTTTTCTGTTGTGCGATCCGTGTCCTGTGTTTTGACGGCGGTGCAGGAAGCGATCAAGATTGCTGAAATGGCTGAGGAGGGACTGGGAGTTTGCAAGCTGCCCCCAACTGATTTGAATGACCGCGCGCTTATCTTGCCTCGTGGTGCGCAGCTCTTGTGGCAGCCGTTTTTCGTATTTCATTTCTGACTGTCCCGCAGGAAGCAACCAGACCTGGACCTCGACGATCCCCAACCCGAACCAGGCAAACTCGGCACTAACGTACTATCTCCACTTTGGACCCATCGTAGACCAGAGGATGCGAGTGACATCATCGGTGCTGACCCAGATCCTACATGAGCCTGCGTTCGATATCCTGCGGACGAAGGAGCAGCTGGGCTACATCGTGAGCTGTTCCGGCTGGATGCTCAGCGGAAACAGCGAGAAGGGGATGCGCATCATCGTACAGAGCGAGAAGAACCCGGGATACCTCGAAAACCGCGTCGAGGCGTTCCTGGATGGGATGAAGGCGACGCTGGAGGCCATGACTCCCGAGGTGTTTGACGAGCACAAGGAGAGCGTGCGGAGGCGGTGGACGGAGGCGGAGAAGAACCTCAAGGACGAGATGGCTCGTTTGGCGATTCACGCGACGACAGGACACGTCGATTTCCTGCGAAACGAGAAAGACGCGCAGTTCATCAGCAACGTCACCAAGGACGACGTCCTGGCGATGTTCCTGCGCGATGTGCATCCGGCTTCGCCATCGCGCGCCAAGTTGTCCATTCACATGCGCTCCCAGAAACCGCGCAAACCACGCGTCAGCCCCGCCGCTGCCCAGGCCGTGGCGGACCTGATCATCGGGCGCGGTTTCGTCGACCAGATCCCCGAGTCGATCGCTGCTCTCGAGGACAACCCGCTCGTGGCCGATTACGGACAGGCGTGGGGTGTCGTGCTGGCGGGCAAGGAGGGCGTCGGCAAGCTGCTCGAGGAGGTGCAGCGCATCCTTGCGCAGCACCCGGTGCCGGGAGAGGGCGAGGACCTTCCACGGGCCGGGGTCACGTATATCTCGGACGTAGAGGCATTCAAGCATGGGCTGACGGTCTCCGTCGATCCAGGCCCAATGGTCCAGTGGGGCGATCTACCCGTATCCAAATTTTGATTGTGTAGCCGTAGACTGTGGTTTGTATGTACATGGGTTTCCGATACTACTCTACGCAGTATAAATTTACAGTAATCTCAGTCTGGTGGTGTGCTCGCAAGTGCCCCAGGGCCCAGACTCGACCGGAAGAGTCCTAACCCTATATTAATGAATTTAGTTCCGATCGTGATTACAACAACACCTTTCCCATGTGATAAAAGGAAGCGATCCGAGACAAAGACACAGCAATGAATTATAATGGTACAGTACAACGTATCGCGAATACTACGGTCTGTGCGGAAATGGAGGGCTACGTCTGGATATCGTACACTCGAATACAACGGGCGAGAAAATCGGGGAGGGCAGAAAACGGCGTGTGCCGCAGTTAGACTGTGCCACATAGACCATGATAACCGAACTGCCTCGAGTACAACCATGAGTGGCTTGGCGTAGGTGTGCGAGGGTCCATGTGTGCGGCGGCGGCTAGAAGCGATGTCGCAGGTGGAGTCAGAGCCTGTTACGCGACCTGCGTGCGGGCATGAGGGATGGTCGGCGCAGCGGATGACGGACGTCACTCACAACCTCAGACTGCCCAGCACACCCTTGTCCGACTGCGCTAGTTGGTAGAAGGTGAAGCCCAGCGCGGAAACGACGGCGAGCGAGGTGGTGAACACAATGTAGAATGTGGTCTTGGATCGCTCCGATGTCCAGACGTCCTCCTCCGACTTGATGTCCGGGTCCTCGTAGATATCGAACGTAGCACGCATTGTGGGCTGGCGGGTGTGAGGAGTAGCCTGTGGGGCCGCGTGGGGGCCGAGGAGGGTGGGTCGGAGAGGGAAGCAAGCCGTTGAAGGGGAGGGAAGAAAAGGAAACTGGACGGAATCGGTTAAATAAGAGCTAGACACAAGATCAGGCCTGGCGATCTGCGTCTGACATGTAGACAAGCGACCGACAAAGACAGCATGCACGGCTCAGTCTCGTGCTCCTTAATCGGCGCGGTCAGGACAACACACTTCCGTCCGTGAATGATCATGGGTTGCACATTGTACTACGGAAAGTCCGGCACTGAGGAAACCGATAGGCATCTATTTTATGTCATCAGAGACGTCGGGGCGGCGCGCCTGATCGGCGTTTCTGGGTAACCGCCGGCAGTGGCTGCAATTCTATTGCATCGAACGGACGTAAGATAATGGTTTACGTTCACACATCGTATATCCTCTGCGTGCGTGCTCTAGTCCCAGTCTGCGAATCGGACGACATCTGCCTACTATAACTGTTTCCACGGCAAAGGACGTCTCTTGACACGGATCCTTGACACTCGGAGATGTTTCCGGGTGCCCTGGTTATTCATAGGGTCGCAAATCGGACCCGCTTTCAGGCGTTTGACTAAATATGCAACGCTGTCTGCGTCGCAGACGGAGGAAGACAGAGTCACAGCCGAAATGCAAGGCAGCTGACAGGCTGTACCGCCACCGATCGTGGCGTCCCCCAGCCCAAGGGTCCCCGACTTCGACTTTGAGCACCGTCCGGCAGTTCGGAAAGTATGTGCAAGTAACCGTTGAGAATCTCGCTGCTTATCACGGAAATTATTTAATTATTGATCGCATACGCCGGGCCGAAGGGTTGCTCAGAACGGCGAATCTTCCACCAAAAAGAACTTCTGCACTGTTTACAAGTAGCAATTGAATCCGACGAAGAGAACGCGGTTACAACCATTGTAAGGATACGCAAGACAGATTCTAGGCAGGCTCAACAGAGTGACACCGGAGACACGTCCCGTCACACGTTACTGATGGCGCTTCCACTACGACCCTCAGTGCCAAGCTCCCTCACAACGTGGCAAATGCTCTCACTGTCTTCCCCGATACCAGGCGCTGACGATCTACAGGGATATGGCGCTTGTGTATGGGTCCGCTGGGGTCGCCGGAGTCGAAACTCACGTCAAGAGTCTCATCGCGGCCGCAGAGGACAACGTCAGACGACTCACGACGCAAATCCACGAGTTGACTCTCGCACGGGATAGAGAGAACGCCATCCTGATCCGACTTCGCCGCCTCGTCACTCCCATCGCTAAGCTTCCGGAGGAGGTGCTCGTGCAGATATTCAAACTCGTCGTCGCGACACCCCGCTTTCATCCCCATGACGACTTTATGGGCCGCTACGGGTTCAACTCGACGGAGCGGACTATGTACAGCGATAAGACGGCGGCTATGCGCAAGACGCTCGGTCTGGCCAGAGTGTCGACTGTGTGGCGGCACGTGGTTGCAAGCAATCCAAGTCTATGGACAGACTGCATTGTCAGTGTTACGATGGAGCGCACAGGAGAGAGCGCCTTGGAAGGATTGAATCGGTTACTCGGTCGCTCCGCTCCATACCCTGTGTCCCTGTCGCTGTGTTGCCCCAAGGAATCCGCACTTTTCCATCCTCCAAGCGTAGAGATACTGAGGTCCACCGCCGGACGGTGGAGGAGCGTCGAGATGGACTTTGACTCGTTGCATCACTTGGTGGGCTTCGGGACTACACAGTTCCATTCACTAGAGCGGCTACGCATATATCGCGGGTCTTATAACCAAAAGCAAGAGGACACCGACTTGTTTCTCGACTCACCACGCCTTTGGCATGCCAACATCGAGAGTGATCGGCCGGACCGCATTCGATTGCCGTACTCTCAACTCACCGTGCTCGAGCTAGTTGCGGACTCGGCGCGGGCGTGCCGAGCGGTGTTGCTGCAGTGCACGAACCTCGTGAAAGCGAAGATCTGCGCCGACCACCAGTGGGATGGGTCGCCCTTGGCCGCCGCGTCCCCGCTGGTCACATTCCCGCACCTGGAGACGCTCGATCTGGATCTGGGCGAGGGCCTGGCGGATGACGACGTGGATTCGATGGACGCATTTCTCTCCGTGCTGGACGCCCCCGCGCTGACGAAGCTGGTCGTGTGCTGGGACAGCGTCTGCAACTGGTCAGGCAGCCTGTGGCCGACGCCCGCCATGTCTGACTTCCAGCGGCGGTCGCCCAAGATCGCGTCGCTCGATCTGCAGTTCTGCAACATCGAGCGCGACGAGCTGCTCACGTTCCTGCGGTTCGCACCGTGTCTGACGGAGCTGCGGATCCGCTACTCGTGGAACTGCGTGGACGATCTGCTGCTCGATGCGCTGCGCGTGGACCAGCAGCCGCCGTCCGGGGTGCCGCTGGTCCCGCGGCTGACGGAGATCCACTGGAACTGCGTCGGCGAGTTCGACGAGGACGTATTCGAAGACGCGGTGCGCTCGCGGTGGTGGAGTGCCGGTCGCCCCGCGAACTCCCAGGTCGACCGTCTGACGAAGGTGTATGTCAGGCAACGGGACGACGAGGACTCGATGTTCTCCTACGAAACGATCTGCCACATGCAGGACTTACGGGCACAGGGACTGGACTTGCGGTTGGATGATTTCGAGGACGAAAGCTATTATTGATATGGATATACTGTATACCGATTATGCGGTGTACTGTATACTGATTATGCGGCAATCTAATCCTGCCGCACCCGTGTTTTCTACAATCGAGTAATTTATGCCAGACGCGAGTTGACGGCCGTGAGAACGGCGTTCGGATGCACGCTTTGATATTTGATGGGGTATGAGCCGCGCCCTATCCCGATAGCCCCCTGTCCCCCTCTCTCAGCCTCTGCTCATAAGCAAGGTTTTCTCGCGTGCCAAAGTGCTACAACTCCCACATCTCCCTTGAAGAGTCAAAATATCTCTCTGAATGTCACTTGAGAGAAATCGGCACTGGATATAATATGCGCTGGCAAACCGGATAGTGGAAAACTCCTCCCCAAGAGCACTATAGACTCTGAAAGGCTGCCAGGCTATGTCGCTGATGACTCTCGATGTTTGGATCCTCATTCTCCGCTCGATCTCGGCCTCCATTGAGATCCCAGAAGGAGCGCGAAACTTGTAGTAGGGTGGAAGCCTGGATACAAACGCTTCTGGCTCCTACCTGGCTCGTCCTTGCGCTCAAAAACACTCAGAAATCAAGATCTCTGATCTGAGGACAACCGCAGTCCACCAGTTCTTTCGTGTATGACCAGCCCCCTCTCGTGGCGCACTGTTCTATCGCCCACCGAGGGTTCCGAAATCGATCCCCCGGTCTATGTAACACTCAAGAACATTTCTCCACGCTTGGCGACGGCTCCCTAGCTCTTTGGATCGATTTCGTCGACCTTGTCCTCGGCGGTATTTCCAAATTAGGAAATTGTCGTCTCGAGGACCATGAGCGGGTTCGTGCGCCCATATTATGCAGGAGATTGGTATTTGATGTTGGGATCGGGTCTGCGATGGTTTCAGCGCTGGTTTGAGCCGCGATGACACTGTCACACAGCACACGCTGGCGCTGTTTTCCCTCGTCCACGCATTGTGCTGCGTCTCCAAAGAAAAGGCTGGGGCTGGAGTCTTCCCGTCCAGTGCTCAATTGAAGGATTTGCTGGAGATTCACGACGCAAGATTCCGACAATCTGGGTCTCAACGAGTGGTGGATATCATCGCGGGGCAGACGGTCGCTTCCTGACTGATACGGGATACCCTGTCGGCAACATCAAGCCCTGTGGTTTTGGTCTACTGAAGAAAATCCATGAGCGTCGGTCAGACAGTATGCAGCGTCGCCAATCACTGGCGAGTGCAAGAAGTCGGTCCAATCTGCAGTGCATTGTCTCTTCGACTCAAGTGCCCGGCGTATCACATAAGCAATCAAACACGCACCCAGTTTCCATCAGCGAACTTTCCTTGCCTCCTTCATCGACGGTGCGCTCCCTCCACATCCGTTGACAGCAGGAAGTTATCCGGCGCTTTACGCTTCATCGCATCAATGCCAGGCCCTGATCCCGCGGACGAGGCCGCTTTGGCGATGCCACCACCCTCGACGATCCCCCGGGCGACTGCACGGCCCAGCACCCGCGTCCGAGCCCGCAAAATGACACCCGAAGCGACGAATATCCGCAGGCACCTTGACCCGTACACGCTGATGTTCCCGCCGAGCGCGGAGATGATGAAGGCTCTCCTGCAATACGGATACACCAAAGCGCAGATCAAGCAGGCGTGGATGCTCCCCTCGTCGGACCAGCATCCGATTGCCCCTTCTCCCGCCCCAGCCTCAGCCCCAGCCCCAGCCATCCCGGCCCCCGCTGCAGCAGCACCTCCTGCCGTGGCTGCCACGGAATCAGTGGCCGAAGCTGTCGCTCCAAAGGCGAAGAAGAGCAGGAAGCGAAAGTGCGTGCATTGGCCTCATCTTTCTTTCTTGCTCCTTACGGTTTTGTGCAGGGCTCGTGCGACCGACGCAGACCCCAGCGCAGAACTCGAGCAGGGCCCAGCGAAGCGGGCGAATACTCAAGCTGAAGATGCAGAGGCCGAACGGCATCGCTCGATTCAGAACAACATGACGTTCTGTCTCGACTCCTCGTGCGTCTTTCCTTCGTGTGATGTAGTGAATTCTCGAGTAACCGTGCCTGCCAGGCTGAACCTCATCCATGGACCGGCTGTCGCTGCTGTGCCACCACCTCAAGAGATGGGAACGGCAAACGAAATGGGCTGGGAGACAGCACCGTAAGTTCACTCTACAAGTCCTTCACATCGTCTCTGATCAACATACCCAGGCTTGAACCTGCTGCTCCTGCTCCTGATCCCGCTCAAAAGAAAGACAAGGGCAAGGGCAGAGCCATCGACAATGTGCCGACTATCGTTTCAGCTCCAGTAGTCGAGAAACCCCTCAAGCGGAAGCGTCGGGTGAAGCAGCCCAAGTGGGTTTTGTTTGAGATCTTCCTGTGTGCGCTTTGCTTATTCCTTTCCAGCGCCGTTGCTGGTCCTTCGCGTCAAGTTGAGGTGCCGTCAGCTAGCGGCTCCTCGCTCGTGATGCCGGCTTTCCAGCCCCAGCAATACCCGGACTGGAATGCCTACCCAACTGCGAATATGGACCCTGCTGGATACTATGCTCAGTATGGCCCAGTTCCGGGACCCAGCGCCGGCTATGGTCCGCAGTCTAGCTATGCTCAATATGTCGACCCCGAGGCTGGCGCTACTGCATCTTACTCGACAGACGATCTGGCTGGCACCTCCCATGCTTCTCACGGCCTCACGGTAGACCCATCGTTGGTCAACTCCGAGACGGGCATCGTTCCTCTTCCTCCCTACGTCGACTACAGCGCCACGAATGCACAAGCACAAGCCTGCGAGGGTTTCGACCAGCTGGACTCGACCGGACAGCCACTCGACGATATCACCAACGAGTTTTTGCTGCGATCTGGGCTGATTCAGCCGGACTACCCGGGTGCGATGACTGGGGAGGACTACATCGAGGACCAGCAGGACGCCCAGCTGGTCCACCGTTCCCACGAGCTATTCGAGCTCTTCAACATCTCCTAAATGCCTCCGAAGCGAAAGGATCCACATCCATCCTCCATTTACGCAACACCGTTATTCTTTTATATCATCCTAATACTGTTCTTATACTCTCTCTCATCTGCCTCTCGTCTGTATTTGTATCTTATGCTTGTGTTTGTGACTAGATGGTGCATATAGATGTACTGTACCATATGCTAATGTATGTACGACCCATTTAATGTTTTGTTATATCCCCTAATTTTAATGCACTTCAGTCCAGAATTTCAGCACGTCGCGCGATGTAAGAGCATTTTCGTCTTCGAACGTGTACTATCCTGGTGTTTCAGAGGGCTCAATATCCGATTTCTATTGCCATTGCGCTTGTGATAACTCATGTGAGGTTATCACCATAACGTCACGCGACGCGACACGATCGATCGCTCTTGGCCAACTACTCTTTGCATAACTGCTTTGTGTGGACAGCGATAATCCAAATCTTTTAAATTAATCAATCCGAATATGGGCTCCATATCTAGCATTGGCCACCCGGCCAACATAGTCTACGACGGGTTCAATGTAAATCATAGGCCGTGGGGCTACCACCATGGCCACACACCCCCGGGATACTCCGCAGTTACTCTCCATGTATATTTCAGGTAGCGTCAGTGTAAACTGTGCGGAAGAGACACGCGTAAGAGTGGCGGGTCGAGCATTATCATTCGTCAACTCTCTACAGTCAACTGGCCATTGACGAGAGTCGCACGTTTGACGCCGTCCTCGCGATTCCACGGGACCTCCTCTTCGAGATGAGTGACCACGACCACAGCTTGTTCTGGTCCGACGCCCCCGTTGCGGAGGTAATTCCTGGCCGCTGCAATCATGCGATGGTCCATTCCACTCCACACTTCGTCCAGCAAGACGAGCTCCTTCTTACCGACCAAAGCCCGCATGAGGAGAGCCATACGCTGTTCGCCGACCGGGAGTTCGATGAACTTGCGAGCGGCGAATGATTGCAGTTCTTCGTTGACTCGCGCATCGGAAGCTGGCAGTGGCTCGGCTCGCCAGGCACAAGGCCCCAAAGCACCCAAGACTTCCCAACATCGAAGGGTGCGCCATCCTGTCTGCTCCTCGCTCAGATCGACCGAGCCAACTGCGCCGCGAGACACGAAGACGCCCTCAAAGCCCGTTGCGATGACTTCCCAAACGGACATGCCAGGTGATCTCCTGGGAAACGCATCAAACAGCTCTGGTGTCACGACGCCGATGAGCGACTGGAGGTGGGGTGTCGCGAGTCGGGCTCTAGGTGTTCCGAACATTCTCAAGTAGCGATCGGGTCCGTTTTGTATGTATGACTGGGGATGGTCTCCTGTGAGCAATGACAGCAATGTAGTCTTCCCGGAGCCTATACAAATAACGATAAGCGCCTGCTGCGAGCTCGACGTGAAAAATTACCATTCGAGCCCTGGAGGTGGTACCGATGCCCCTGCCGGATAGTCCAGGCGACGTTCTTCAGGATCTGGTTTCAACGTTGGAAAAATTGTAGATCAACACGATTCTCGAGTCGAACCTGACGCTGACCCGCGCTGTACGACACAGAGACATTGTTCATCTCCACGACGGGGTTCCCAAGCTCGATTGGTGCGAAAGCGCTTCGTTCACGAGCCTCTGAGGCATTCTTGACCTGCAGTATATGCTCCAGAACGTCCTTTTTGGGACCGGTAGTGACTTGGCCATTGTTGACGAAGAGCAGATGGGTGATCCATTCAGGTATCGGGTCCTGTATTCGCATGCCCAGAATGATATGCGGATCACATTTCGCGTGTAGTTTCTGGAAGAGATTGAGGACAATCGCGCGACTATCAACATCGAGGCCCGCTGCGAGAATGTTCGATGAGAACGCCTCCACGCAGAACGGAAGCGGCGAAACTCACTCAAGGGTTCGTCGAGTAGTAACAGGCGGGGTTGAGCCAAAAGCGCCTTGAGAATACGTGCCCGACGGGTCTGTCCGTTACTCAACGCAATCCTCGGCAGATCCAGCAGCTTGTTGAGTTTCAAGTCCTCACCCAGTCGTTCGAACAACGCATTGCGCTCTGTCGGAGACTTGGATAGCTTGAGTGAGATGCGGCTGCGCGCTTTCAGGTGGTCGGTGGTGTCTGAAAACATGCTCTGGCGTAGAGTAATCTGGTCCTCTTCTCGTACAGACCCGTACCGCGCGCTGTAGTCGTAGAACCCACCGCCAACTGCACGCTTGTTCGCGAAGGACACAGTGGACACGACGTCTTGCAGATCGCCAGAGAAGTCCCCCAAGAATGGCAGGAGTCCGGGGAATGGAGGTGGCGGGTGTATTCTAAGGTGTCGCATGAGCACCTGTGTAGTTGGTTCTCAATGTCTGTGAGACCAAAGCTGCCGGGAGCATTCACATCAAATATGTGCGACTTTTCGCCTGAGCCGCTTCCAACAACGGCCCAGCTCTCGTTTGGCTTCACAGACCAATTGAGTGCGCGCAGAAGAGGTGTCGCACGATTTGCATCTCCAAAACGATACACGTCGGCCTGGGGAATGTTGATAATAGCCGCCTTGCTCGAGTTTCTGCGCGTGCCGAGAGCAAAAAAGCCGCTAGGGCGAGCGGTCATACGAACGTTTTGCATGACTCGTCATGAACACCAGCAGTGAGCACTCGCAGGGACCAACGACAGCTCGCAAACATCCGGATGGGTGATGACAGGTGGCGGTGCACGGCAGGGATCCATCCTCCTTTACATCCCGACACTTTTTTCTGCTCTGCATGAATGGGGAGAGCTCTTCGACGTCCGCGTCGGGCATACGGACGGTTCTGAAATACACCGGTATCCCGCCCTCATGGCTCGACAAACGCCCCAAACTTCCCTCACGGAATTGGCTCATCTTTCTCTCCGTGACATCCTCCATCGTGGGACTGTACGTCTACGACCGGAAACAGTGCAAAGTCATCCGCCAGGAGTACGTGGACAGAGTGAAGCATCTCGCTGACGAGACGAAGAGCTCGCTTGCGTACCCGCGGAAGGTGGTTGTGTACGGCGCCAAGTGGCCTGGAGACGAAGACCACGACCAGACGCTGAAGTACTTCCGCAAGTATGTCAAGGTCGGCATGGACCTTTCTCATCTGTTACGTGTGCCAACCTCTTGTTTTTTACTAGCCCATTCTTGTCGCTGCCGCTGTGGACTATGAGATGATCGGAGGCAAACGCCAAGGCGATATAGCTGACCGTGTAGCGGAGGATATCAAAGCGCGACGACGGCTGGAAGCAGGAATCGATACCGAGCCCGAAGTCAACAAACAGCTTCCTGCGTATCGGACCCCCGTACAGGCGCGTCAAGATGCGCTGGAGGGCGGGATCATGCTCATCGGACGACCGACGTTCAAAGAGTTCATGGCCGGACTCAAACGCGGCTGGACGGAACCCATGGCTAAATTGGACCCGGATGAGGCGCTCGCCAATGATTTCGCGGAGGACGGGACGTTCGATGACGATTTTGAAGGGGATGTGGCTGTTGGCCTCGAGGAGAACAGCACCCCTCCGCCTGCTGAACGAGTTCTCAAGCCCCCTCCATTCCCATCCTTCTCGGAGCCCGAAAACGCTCCATTCGCATCTCTTCCCGATGTGCCGCCCGTGCCGCCTCTCATTGTGGTACCCTTCGTCGACAGACTCGGGTTCTTCAATATCCCCATGATGATCTGGGACTGGTTCAACCTCCGGCATGACGTACGCAACGGTGCACAGGCCGCCTATCGACTCATCCAGGGCAACACGCGTCCTTTCAACGCGCCTCCCGCCGAAACTGTCCGCTTCGCGGATATCACCTCCGTGTCGGAGGGCGCGACCTCAGACCTCGACTTCGACCGCGCTTCCGAGAGCCATCTCAAGTCCTCACTAGCTAAAATCCCAGCTGAGACGGAAAAGAACCGAGAAAAGTACTACTCTGACCTCAAGACCAAGCTGGCCACCGCGAGGGCGCTGGCTCGCGGGACCCGGGAACCCAGCAAAGAAGAGGTCTCGAATCCACCACCGACGGAAGTCGAATTGCGAGACGAAAGACTCAAAAAGGAGAAGAGATGGCGAGGAGATGTTCGTGGCTGGCTTGTCGTAGCACCTTCGACGCCGGTGGCATGGGATGAGAGATTCCGGGGACTGCTCAAAGTCTACGCTGACAAAGATGAAGAGTAATTGCAACACTATATAGATCATTTAATTGAGCATCCTCGACTCACTGCATACCGCGGCGCGATATAAGCAGGCGCTGGTCAGGTTGATGCCAGACACTGAGCCCAGGTGTATGCGAGGTGTTACTACGTAATACAGGAGTGATAAAATACTTACAAGATAACTGCTACAACAACCCTCAAGCCTCTCGCTCAGCCGCCCTATCGAGTTGCTGCCTTTTCCGTGATCCTCCACTGTAAGCTGATTAGCACAAAGATGACGTGAATGACCGGCGACGCACGTTTCGGTGTCCAGCCCTCGTTTCTTACCAGTCTTGGCTTCATCCAAGAACTGATTCAACCCGAACACGTCTCCACTATCCTTCTCGAATTGCACAGGTCCTTCTCGAACTTCCTGCTCCGAGGCACCTTCGAATCCAACTTGAGGCTGCCCAAGCCCGAAACGGTCTGTCGAAAGTGCCTTGCCAATTCCTTCATCGGTACCTCCGCCGAACGATTCTTCGTTGCCCTCGGCGATGTTGCCACGAGCCTTGTAGATAGCTGCTGCTGCTGTAGATCCGTGGAACAATGGCTTGTCGTAGAGGTTGTACGAGTCTTCGTCCGCAAAGTTGCCCGGCAAGGATTCTTGGTTGAATAACCGTGAGTCCAGCATGGACTCTTTCGACAGGGTGGGCTTGGCCAGGCCCAACGCGACCTTCTCGGAGATGTCTCGGTTCTGTTGGCGAGCAAGTTGTTTTGCACGCTGCTCCGTCCCCATGTTGTTCATCCGCATCTCCCGTTCTCGCTCCATCCGCTTCTCACGACGCATATCGTCACGGATCTTCGCAGCCTCCTCATCTTCACTATCGTCCTTGTCCTTGTCGTCCTCCGACTCGCTGTCACTGGCACTGTCACTGCCGTAGCCACCAAGCGCCGATTTCATAGCAGCCTGGGTTGCTGCGGTAGGCTTGGAGACGATACCAGCCCGCTCTTCCCTTGCACGTTGAGCCATCATGCGCAAGTTCTCCTCCTTGGCAGCCTTTTCCTTCTGTGCAAGTTTTTGCTGCATGAGGGATCGCTGTCGCACTTCCTCGCGAGCATGGCGATCCGCGACAAAGAGGGCCTCGGAGAACTTGGCAAAGTTGTCGTTGATGTGGACCTACGAGTCATAAGGAATGAACACTTTAAAGCTATTGCTGCCATACTCACATCTTGGAGACCACGGCCATCCGCTGCCAGTCGCTTGTCCAAAGGGATGGTGAAACCCTTGTTGTTCTTCCAATTCGAGATACAAGGAGGAATCATCCACTCCTTTTGCTCTTGCGGGGTGGCTTTCCGGGGTGGACTGCGCAGGACAGGAGGGGGAGGGCTTGGTGGACCACGAGGGATCTTTTTGTGCTTGAACCGCGGGGGCTCCATGGGATCCTCGACTACGGTCGACATTTTGATGATTCGCTGTTTGAGGCCGTCCGAGCCATTCTGTTGTCCCGGGGTGTAACGAATGAAGGAAGTGTGTGCCATGCTATCCGGGACGTGCTTGGGTTGCGAGGCTTTGATCTTCCCGTTGACCAATTTCTCCAGAGCTTCTTTCGTCTTGTCCGCTGTTGCTTGCACCTCCTCCTCTGATGGACGCTCCATTGACCGGTCTTCATCCGTCAGATCCTTTCGATGGAAAAGGGGGACGAGGTCTTTGAATTGGGATTGAATGACTTTGTCGCCGCGTTGACCCTGGTGCGCAATGGCATCGTAGCGCACATTGCCTTCACTGTCGACTTGAAGCGCCAACGTATTTCCAGCTGCAGTCTATTCATGTTAGCTATGGGTTTATGTTTAGTAGATATGTCCTGCAGACTGACCTTCTTTTTCCCGAGCTCTAAAGGATACTGGGCAACGTGACACTCCGGGTACGCTCCACCATCAGCTGGGAGGGCTTCATTAGAAGAAAATTAGAGATCAAGAAAAGATCACGGACCAAAGTCGTCTTGGGATGTCGGTCTCCAACCGCGTCGTTGGCCGTAAGGTGGAATTGCGGGCCTGGTCGTAAGTGCTTGGGAGGGCGCGGAGGGACGGGATATCTCAGTCTCGGCCTCAAATGAAGAGGAATGGATAGGCTGTGGCAGTAGTCTATAGTGCTTTCAGTTCAAAACGAGACGGAGACGGGGGAGTACGCACGCAGCGAGAGCAGCCATGGCGGAGGTTGGGGAGTCTGAGAGAGTGACAGACTGATGGTCACTGCATCACATGTCACCCTGCTTACCACATTCGGCCAAGATCCGTTGTGGTTAGGGCTTACGGTCCTCAGGGCTCCGAAAGTCCTCCACGTTCGTCGAGTCACTCCGCACCATCCATATCCTTATTGCGCCCCATTACGGCCCTATTATATCAGCCCCACCAACTAACTTATCCGCGAACCGCCACCTATCGTCTACTTCCGCCTGCCCTCTTACAAAAGTCTTATCTCGGACTTTTGACGAGCGCAGCTAATTGGACCAGCGATCTAACGAAGGGACACCTTCGCTCGGATCGCCAGTCTACCATTCCTCGACCCACTATATGACCTTGCTTCATGTGCATTTCCACCTGCGGAATCTCCAGGCCCTCCAGCGCCTGCTCGATGGCCAGGACCGGTCCTCCAACGCCGGTTCTGGCTCAGCCGCCATGACAGGGGGCAGCAGCAGCAGTGCCGGCAGGTCCTGGAAAGGCGCGTCTGCCGTGAAGACCGCGATGGCCGCGTCCGAAGTGAACGCCCTCGACTGGCTGGGAAGAAGCGTCCTCCACCTAGCTTGCACGATTCCCAACGGTGTCGAATACGTACGCGCAATCCTGAAGCACCCTGGCGTCAATGTGAACCTTGTGGACACTGAGAGTCACTGGACGGCCTTGCATCGGGCGCTGTACCACGGGAACATTGCCGCAGCGTCAGTCGTCATCTTTCTTTCGTATTACGCCGTCCTTGACCGCTGCGCTAGACTTCTCCTGTTGCAGAGGCCGGATATGGATATCTCACTGAAGGACTCGGATGGGTACACTGCGTTTGATCTCTACAACTCCACCGTGAATGGTACCACACCCGAACCTGCGTTGCACTCGGAACTGTACACGTGGGGTGCCAACAGGTGCGTTGCGTTCTGTATGTCATCCGGGACTCATTCGGTGCCAGAAATGCCGCGTTGGGCCTGGTCGATAGCAATGACCGAACTTTTCCCGACCAAGTCGTCATACCTAAAGAAGCCAGTGCGCCAGTGCCGGCATCGACTGCTCGGTTCTCGCATTTGTCAGCACGACAGATCCAAATGTCAAAGCTACACACCGGTACGGGAGTCACCTTTGTTCTACGCCTCCTTGTCTCATACTCCCGGTTTAGTCGTCGTCACCTCCGAGAGCAAAGCTAATGTCCGCATTTGTGGATTCGGGAGCGGTGGACGGTAACTATCTTGCTGAGTGTATGTCGGCAGCTGAAAGAATCCTCTCTAGCCTGGGACCTAGCCAACACACGCAATATAGTCTGATCTCTATCCCCCAACTGACGCAGTCGATCATTTCAGTTGCCTTGGGTCAGGATCACACTCTCGCATTGACCAGCAATGGAGAAGTATTCAGTTGGGGACTTTCCCGCTTCCACCAGCTGGGATATGCTGTCGAGCTGTCTGCAAATAGCAAGCTCGAGGAACCCATCCAATCGACACCGCGCAAGATCTTCGGCCCTCTCAAGAAGGAAATCGTCAAAGGTGTCGCTGCGTCCAAGCAATGCTCTGCTTGTTGGACCGCGACGGAGGTCTTCACATGGGGTACTAACAATGGTCAACTGGGTGCGTGTCATCCAGTATTCTCCCTGTACATACTCATTCTCTCCAGGATACGACAAGGCCGCTCAACCGTATCAAGTCCAGCCCCGCAAAGTTTCCAAGGTCGTCCGGCCTGTGGTCTCCATTGCCTTGACTGTATGACGTCATCGCAATGACCGAGCTTGTCTCATTCTGTTGCAAGGATCATGCCATGGCTTGTCTTCTGGATACTCAAGAAGTGTTCTGTGTCTGGAACGACAGGTACATGAAGATTGCGTGCGTCGGCTCCTTTTCGTTGATGCCATGGAGCTTAGTAACAATCAGGTTCCCGATGCACGCTTTCCCCCATGATTTCCGGCCATATCGTCCTCCCCAAGCGATCAAAGACGCGCACATCGTCAAAATCACAAGCGGGGACGACACGTTTGCGGCTTTGTCATCCAACGGAGAGGTCTTCACGTTCGCCGTGCCAGAAGCTCATGATGGTGAAAGCAACCGCCAAGTGTTCAAGCCTCAGCGGGTGTGGGCTCTGAGAAGACAATTCAGTGCTGTGCGAGATGTTGCGTTGGGTGCAGACGGAAGCATCATCATCTGCACTGCTTCTGGGCATGTCTTCGTTCGTTCTCGTCAAGGCAACAAACAGTTCAAGTTCCAGCGCGTCCCTTATCTGCAGCGTGTAACGCAAGTCTGCGGGAACAGCACTGGCGCGTTTGGGGCATTGAGGGTCGACTTTAAACCCGTTCCTATCCGCATCGAGGGAAACACCATTGCAAATGATCTGACAAATATAAGGCCGTTTCTCCTCGGGTCGCAAGCCAATAACCGCCCGCGATGGTCTTTCATCGGAGACGAAGCTGAAGAGGTTGAAGATTCCGACATAGAGGCTGATTTCTACCGGCTCTGGGATCTGACGCGTGCCACCAAGAAGGGTGCAGTGTTTGACCAGACCCATGGGGCTGACATTCGAGTCCACGTCAAGGACAGGTCATTCCCGGCACACTCTGCCATACTAGCTGCTCGATCTTCGGTCCTCTGCAGGACCTTCGCTGGTACGACATTTCGGGATGGGGATTCCAAGGTCGCATTATCAGGTTCCTCGGCGAAACTCGATGTCAGAGGATGTTCTCCTTTGACTGTGCTTATCCTCCTGGACTACCTCTACTCTGATGAGCTGCTCGCAATCTGGGACCGCCGGCTCGCGTCTGCTCTCCAGAATGAGCTGACGGTCAACCCTGCGACGGTCAGAGCGGAACTGCAGGCTCTAGCGCGTTTAGCGAATCTTCCTAGTCTTGGCACAGCGCTTGATTCTCCCGCGAAACGTGTACCGCAGGCAACGATGGTCCGAGACATGGGGCATCTGTTCCGAGATCTGCCTGCAGCCGCAGACACTATCCTGTTACTGGCGGACCGAGATGTCCGTTGCCATTCTGCCATTCTGAGGGCCCGATGCCCTGTGTTTGAGAGTCTCTTCGGGCAGGAGGATTGGACTAGGAATCGTCGCAAAGCGGATGGGACAGTCGAGGTCAATTTGAAGCATCTAAGGTGGAACGTGATGGAACATGTGTTCCAATTCATGTGCTGTGGTGGCGACAGCGAGATCTTTGAGAATCTTGGTGCGTTTGGCTGTTCAATCGGTGACATGTTTCTAAACCATTCTCCTCCAGAGTTTGCCAAATCTGTGGATGAAGTGATCGAGTTTGTGTTCGACGTCATGGCAGCTGCAAACGAGCTGCTGCTGGACCGACTTGTCCTACTTTGTTCCAGCGCTATCTTGAAATGGGTTGACATCAACAACGTGTGCTATATCCTGACCGACGCATCACATTTCCATGCGCAACAGCTGGTGGAAAGCGTGCAAGGGTACATGGTTGCCAACTTGGAGACTCTGCTGGAGAGCCGCATGCTTTCGGACCTCACTCCAGCCCTCATCAAACAGCTGTCGGTCTTCCTTGTCAGGCATCAGGAGCAGAAGAGCCCTACAGTGCGCCGCAACGTGCTTGCGATCGGGGCATTGGAAAAGCACGCAGACTGGCTTGCGATGCAGGATTTCCCGGAACCCATCATTCCTTCAACGAAGCGCAAGACACCGTCATCTCCAGAACTGCTCGCCAAGCGTCGTAGCTCGAAGACGACGTTGACGAGCACCAGTCCAACCGTGGCCGCAGCGGCCATCGATGACATTTTCGAGATGGACAATGACGAGATGGTGCTACCACCGCCTGCGGTGTCGGAGACTGTTTCTGCGACCCCGGTTTGGAAACCATCGCATGCGCCGAGGGTGGATATGAAAGCGTTGATGGCTGAGGCCGCTGCCTCTCGACGGACGACGCCAGACTCGGTTCTGCGCTCGAAACCGGCTGCTCCGCGGATGAAAGCGGCTGATCCGGGGCCTAGTTCGAAAAGTGGGGCATCCACGCCGTGGAGAGTCTCAGCCCCAGCCAAACCACTATCTGGGTCGCCCCCAGCGACGACTTCGCCGCCGATTACTCCTTCGACCAGTCTCGGGCGTGATTTCCCTCCGCCGTCACCATCCACTCCTCCCCGCCCACGTGCTTCGCTCAGCATCCCGCCCTCGGCATCACCTCTGGGACCCGTTTTCACCCCATCGAGACAACCGGCGGCGCGGCCGAACAACGGCAGCCCGACGGTCCGACGAGTCAGCAGCGGAAACACGGGCAAGGCATGGCAGCCCGCGCCGATTCTGGCGCCGGCCCTGCCTTCAGCGTCTGCCGGCGCCTCATTCGTGGCGATCCAGCAGCTTCAACTTGAGCAGGAACAGGGCGCCTCGAAGGATAAACGCTCGCTGCGAGAGATCCAGGCTGAGGAGAAAGCTGCGCGGGAGGAGGTCGAGTTTCTGCGGTGGTGGGCCGAGGAAGAGGCACGGGTCAAGGCTGAGCAGGAGGCCTTGCTTGTGAAGGCACAGAGCAAAGTCTCTGCCCCCTCATCCTCCTCTTCGCATAACCGGGGCTCGAAGCGTGGCAAGAAGCCCCGAGAGAAGAATGCCAGGGCAATGTTGTCCAGTCCGTCGTGAGGCTGTTACCATGTACTGCTAATTTTTGTAGAATACTCTTTCGAATTCGACGCTAGTAGATATATGAACATGCAAGTATGTAGATAAATAACATGGAGCAAGTCGAAGTTCAAGTAAACGAGTCTCACTGAAGTGATTTAGTAACTAGCGCCAGTTCGCTGCAGCTGTGACGACGTATTTATGTCGGTGGGGGGAAATTTATTTTCAACCTGAACAGTACCAGCACCACGCCGAATAGATTTCGAGAATCTACCATCCAGAATACATCACAGTGCTGTTGATCAGTGACGTAATACCAGCAACGTGGGATCGTATTCTCAACATTGCCGAGGGTCTCACAACTCACACAGGACCTTGCGGTTGCCCATGACGCTGTAGCAAAGCGTTAAATGCGATCGATTCGAACGACTCCTGCAATTCATCACCAGTGTACTTTATCAACTCCTCTCTGAGGGCGCAGGTTCAAATCCTGCCAGCGTCGACTGGCCTTAGTCCTGGAAGCTTTTTTATCCTGTATTGTATGGTGTACATTCGTACATACAGATTCTCAATCCCTGCGTCAATGACGTTCGTTCTTATTGTGCCCGTTTGTTGCGACGCTTTGTAGTCCATCCACTGCCTGGCGGCTTCGGGGCCGCCGTCTCTGCGTTCTCGGTAGGCTCCTCGGCAGCGTTATCTGGGACAGCCTCGATCGGAATGGTGTTTGCCTCAGGCGGAGAACTAGCTCCATCCTTGGCTTCCGCCGTCGCCTTTTCTTTCCCTCGCTTGTTTGGGCGCCGAGGGGCTCTCCATCCATCGGTCGGAGCAGTTTCATCCTGGGCCTGTATCTCAGAAGTCGGGGTCGAGATAGCACTAGGGTTCTGATCTTCTGTCGTCTCGTCTTTCGTCGCTGATTTGCGTTCGCCATGGAACTTGCGTGTATCACCCCGTTTCGACTTGGCCTCCGCTGAGACCGCAGATCATTAGTGAGCATCTTGAGTGGAGAAAACACGCGAGAAACGCACCCTGTGTGCCGGCTTTCTCCGCCCGTGCCCGCTCCTTCTTCAGCTTCGAATACACCGAGCAGATGCCCCTCGGGCAAGACTTCCCGTGCTCGGGACACACGATCGGAGCCTTCTTCGGCTGGCCACCGACTGGCGCGGACGGCAGAGCACGCTCTTTCGCGGTCCCGCTACCCTTCTCCCATTCAGCGACGAATGTATCGGGGTCGTCGATGTACTCCGGCTCTGGGCCAGGTCCGTACAATGAACGGGTATCGGCTTCCGGCCAGGGGGGGAGCGGCGTCGGGGGCTCCGAGATATATTCGTCCACATCGTCGGGATCGAAGTCGATGCGCTGCGAACGAAACTCCTCCTCCAGCTCGACCTGGTCGCTCCAACTCGTGACTTCTGCAGGCAGCGTCCCGAGCTTCGGAAATCGTTTTCCGGGTACTTCCGGGCTGTCTGTGGTACTGAAGATGGGCGTAGTTGATTTTGAGGTGGGATGTAGAACAGTATGCCCTGTGAGTGCGTGTCACATCCGACGTCAGCAATAGATGAGCAGGAGGAAAAGCACAGACATTCAGCCGTCGAATTCGCCGGGATAGCACGCATTTTTTTCTTGTCGGGCTGACGGGTTGGAATAACAGCTGACCCGGACTGAGCTCGACCTTTGCTGAGCGGCACACCCTTGGAACTGGCCCATGCAGCGGATCCCGGGACTGGAATCTCTATCAGCAGCCACTCCGTGCCGCGCGAGGGATGATAACGTACCTGCGGGCCTCGGTGCTGCTGCGGCTTTGGCACTGGGGTTAAGCGCCGGTCCTGGCTTGATGCTCGCGGGTAACGGCCGGCACATGGGCTGATTAGTGCGATCTTCTGGTGGGAGCGGACACCAATGAGTAGTGGGATATGGATCGCAGTGGATCTCGGAAGGCGGCCACGGCGAGAACCAGGAGTAGGCTACCTCGATCCGCTTCCAGCCTGTACAGCGCGCGCAGCATGAATATTCTGAAAGCATTGTCGAGAACTGAAGTGCGCACCGTTCTTCTGCACCTCCCGCCCCGACGTATAAGTGCAGAAAAACACCTTGCTCACGCAGCCTTTCTCATCGTCATCGGGATCTTGCAGGAACTCATCCCATCGGTGTTCGCCGAGCAGTCGTTCGGGATATGCATACGACTGTCAAGCAATCAGGACATATCAAAGGTGTGTCTTACATCGCGGAACGCACCCGGTCAACCTCTATGATGACTTGGTTTCCAGCAGCCTAACGACCAAGCGACGCGCACGATGCAGATAAGCCTGCGCGCCACGCGTCAAACAGCAGCAGACATACCCTGGGCTTGTAGAACAGATCGTACAGCGACGACGACCCGATACACGACGCGATCCACCGACCGAACTTGATGCGATCCCCCTCGTTCTCCCAGTTCGCACGGCGCGGATAGGGCTGGACGACGGTGAAGTATCTGGGCTCACTGTCACCTGGCTCGGGCGTCGGCACTCGTTTTGGCATGCTGATCGCGAGCAGGGACGGGTGATGGTGGGAGTCGCCGAAGTGTATGTGGGCGACTGTTTGTCCAGTGGAATTTGGTGCCTGGATTGGACCTACTCCCACTGATTGAGCAGGGTGTCGGGAGAGTGACTACAAGCCTTCAGGGCGCAGAGAATGGGGCAGATCATTTCTTGAATAACTTCTCCTAGAAGATTTGCGAATCGTCCAGAACATTGCAATGGTGCAAGTTCAGAAACAAAGCCGCTCTTGCGACGCGTGACGTCACGTAAATCTTCATCTAGGATAGGGCTGGAATATGGAACATTCGATACGGTCGTACATACATAAGCATACAGCATGTACACCACTAAGCTGCATTGAAATTAAGGTCAGTGATATAACAAAACATTAAATGGGTCGTACATAACAAGCGCATATGGTACATCTACAGTGTATACACCATCTAGTCACAAAACAAGCATAAGGTACAAATACAGACGAGAGGCAGATGAGAGAGTATCAGAACAGTGTGAAGAATGTATATATACGAATAAGGGCGTTGCGTAAATGGAGGATGGATGTGAATCTTTTCACTTCGGAGGCATTTAGGAGATTTTGAAGAGCCCGAATAACTCGCGGGAACGATGGGCCAACTGGGCGTCCTGGAGGTCCTCGATGTAGTCCTCCCCAGTCATCGCACCCATGTAGTCCGGCTGAATCAGTCCAGAGCGCAGCAAGAACTCGTTCGTGATATCGTCGAGTGGTTGTCCGGTCGAGTCCAGCTGGTCGAAACCCTCGCAGGCTTGTGCTTGTGCATTCGTGGCGCTGTAGTCGACGTAGGGAGGAAGAGGAACGATGCCTGCCTCCGGGTTGACCAACGACGGGTCTACCGTGAGGCCTTGATAGGCCTGGGAAGTGCCAGCCAAATTGTCTGTCGAGTAAGATGCAGTAGCGCCAGCCTCGGGGTCGACATATTGAGCATAGCTAGACTGCGGACCATAGCCGGCGCTGGGTCCCGAGACTGGGTCATACTGAGCATAGTATCCAGCAGGGTCCATATTCGCAGTTGGGTAGGCATTCCAGTCCGGGTATTGCTGAGGCTGGAAAGCCGGCATCACGAGCGAGGAGCCGCTAGCTGACGGCACCTCAACTTGACGCGAAGGACCAGCAACGGCGCTGGAAGGGAATAAGCAAAGCGCACACAGGAAGATCTTAAACAGAATGTACTTGGGCTGCTTCACTCGACGCTGCCGCTTGAGGGGTTTCTCGACCACCGGGGCCGAAACGATGGCCGGTGGATTGTCGATGGCTCTTCCCTTGCCCTTGTCTTTCTTCTGAGCGGGGGCAGGAGCAGGAGCAGGAGCAGGAGCAGGAGCAGCGTGCTCAAGCCTGTGAACGTAAATCAGATTAGAATCATCGCAAGGAACGGTCGGTGAACTTACGGTGCTGTCTCCCAGCCCATTTCGTTTGCCGTTCCCATCTCTTGAGGCGGTGGCACAGCAGCAACAGCCGGTCCATGGATGACATTCAGCCTAGCAGGCACGGTTACTCGAGAATTCACTACATCACACGAAGGAAAGACGCACGAGGAGTCGAGACAAAACGTCATGTTGTTCTGAATTGAGCGATGGCGTTCGGCCTCTGCATCTTCAGCTTGGGTATTCACCCGCTTCGCTGGGCCCTGCTCGAGTTCTGCGCTGGTGTCTGCGTCGATCGCGCGAGCCCTGCACAAAACCGTAAGCAGCAGGGAAGGACGACGAGGCCAATGCACGCACTTTCGCTTTCGGCTCTTCTTCGCCTTTGGAGCGACAGCTTCGGCCACTGGTTCCGTGGCAGCCTCGGCAGGAGGTGCTGCTGCAACGAGGGCCGGAGTGGCGGGGGCTGGGACGGGAGAAGGGGCGATCGGATGCTGGTCCGGCGAGGGGAGCATCCACGCCTGCTTGATCTGCGCTTTGGTGTACCCGTATTGCAACAGAGCCTTCATCATCTCCGCGCTCGGCGGGAACATCAGCGTGTACGGGTCGAGATGCCTGCGGATGTTCGTCGCTTCGGGTGTCATTTTGCGGGTTCGGACGCGGGTGCTGGGCCGTGCGGTCGCCCGGGGGATCGTCGAGGGTGGTGGCATCGCCAAAGCGGCCTCGTCCGCGGGATCAGGGCCTGGCATTGATGCTATAAAGCGTAAAGCGCCGGATAACTTCCTGCTGTCAACGGATGTGGAGGGAGCACACCGTCGATGAAGGAGGCAAGGAAAGTTCGCTGATCGAAACTGGGTGCGTGTTTGATTGCTTATGTGATACGCCGGGCACTTGAGTCGAAGAGACAATGCACTGCAGATTGGACCGACTTCTTGCACTCGCCATTATTCAGCGACGCTGCATAATGTCTGACCGAGGCTCATAGCTTTTTGTCTGCAGACCCACTCCCGCACCACAGGGCTTGATTTTGCCGACAGGGTATCTCGTACCAGTCAAGAAGCGACCGTCTGCCCCGCGATGATATCCAGCTGTTGAAATCTATATTGACAGAATCTTGCGTCCTCGGTCTCCAAAAGTCCTTTACTTGAGAGCTTGACGGCAAAACTCCAACCCCAGCCTTTTCTTTGGAGACGCAGCACAAAGCGCGCACGAGGGAAAAGAGCGCCAGCATGTGCTACGTGACGCCGTCATCGCGGCCCATGCTAGCGCAAAGAGTAGTTCAGACCCGATCCCACTAGTAGCGACCAGTCCCCTGCATAACATGCGCGCATAAACCCGTCCCTTGTTCCAAGATGGCAATTTTCCTAATTTGGAAGTCCACCCGAGGAGAAGGTCGACAAGATCGTTCTACAAAGCTTCGAAGACGTCACCAGGCGTTCAGATACTTTTAAAGAGGTTCCATGAAGTTGGGTCGGATAATCTGGAAGACTCCTCGAGCAATAAGACAGCACATTAGAAACGGTGGCCGGTTGGACGAAGGACATTTTGTGGATTGCAGTCGTTCAAAGATGAGAGATCTTGGTTTTGGGTTCACTTGGATGGAAAGATGGGCTTGACGCAATCCGGGAAGCTTTGCGTTCCAGGTGGTTCTCTACAAGTTTGGCGCTCCTCTTGAGATCCCGATTCCGGCCGAAGTCAAACGGAGCGTGAGGACGCAAATAGGTAAAACCATGCGGAAGAGAGCCAATTCGTGTTCAAGTCCTTGCAGTGCGCTTGGGGAGCACTTGGAGAACATCCTTGAACCATCTGAGCTGCCAGCGTGCATATCATCCGCTTTCCGTTTACGTCGTGTAGCACTCGGAGAGCCAACCTTCATCGTAGAGGCGAATAGTTCAAAGTCTGAGCAGTGTTTGTTCACGGGGGAATCTGAAAACAACAGTGGAGGGCGAGGGGGAGGGCATGCACGCGACGGCTCATACGCCATCAAATATCAAAGCGTGCGTCCAAACACCGTTCTCACGGCAGTCGGCCCCCCATTTGGCAGGCAGTTCGAGTATTCAAGCAGTGGTACAGAACTACCGACTACGAGGAGAGCCGAGGCATTCGTGTACACCTGGATTACTTCCGTCCTTGATCTTTTTATCCCCAAACTCATGCAACCGTAAGTCCAATCCCAGCACACTCAAGTCTCAGGGCCCTGCATGTCATGTTGTGGTGCCTCACGTGACGCCACGCGACCGTGACATCTGTCAAGAACGCGTCGCTCTCAGATCGTGTTTGCCTGAAATATACCAGGAAGGTAAGCATTAGTACACAATACCAGATGATATTGTAAGAAGCGGCTAGCGATACACAGCATGATACTGCACGTTAATGGAGAAATTAAACGGAGTGTAGTATAGGAATGCATTTTTTTCGAGCTTTTCATTTTAATTCTCTGCGGCGATCACACCGAGTAGCCCAAGCAGCAAAACTCGGAATTAGGGCCTGCTTGGGGTAGGGGCAGAAGATACGCGGCGTCGTCGTCATCGTAGTCGACAACCTGTTCGAGGTTCCAGGCGGCGGCGCCGAACATCATCAGCTGCTCCGGAGTCGGCGCGCCAAATTGGAGCTCGGGCAGGGGGCGTGCCGTCCCGGTGGAAATCGTAGCGCTGTTGCTTGACTGCAGGGCCGGGGTTGCCGAGGCCGATGCCGATGTCGATGCCGCTGGCGGCGTCGTCGCAGGAGAAATCTGCTGGCCGACAGCGACCAGAGTGCTCGACGCGGGGACGGCCGAGGCGGTGTTGCTCGCGAGCGGATTGCGGTAGTTCGGACGACTCGGGAAGGGCATCATGGCGACTACGGCGCCAGCAGCGACTGGCGGCGCTACCGCCGGCACTCTACGAAGTAAAATCAGTGATCTTGACATCAGGTGAGTTGTAAAACAAACCCAGACTTGGACTTGCGCGGCGACTTGCGGGGTGACTTCGACGGGCGAGGAATAATTTGGTTAGTTGGGGAGATCCTTGGCGACAAAAATTAGACACAGAGAGAAAATATAGAGGATTGTGACGCACGATGCGGAAGGAGTGGACTGGATCGTGTTAAGTGTCACGACAGAGGTGTTTCCAAGGCTGAAGATTGGTGAGCAAAACACGAATGAGAATTGATTGCAGACGACGCACGAGTCGGCATTGGTTTGCCCACTTGAATTCGGGCGTTGCGGTACATTGTAACCGTTCTTCGATCGCTTGGACGAATCCAAGCCATCGACTTCTTCAGCCCTGCAAAGGAAATGTCAGCAACACCGTCTACAATGATACATAACGCCGAACGTACTTGCGCTTCAGGCCCAGGTCTCTCGCAAGAGCAGGAGTCCCGGCCTCGGAGCGGAGGCACGCAGGAAGCGGCCCCGCAACCCAGGCCGCGCGGATCTCCGTTAAAGAGAACCCGCAGCGCAGGAGGGACTCGTCGACGAGCCGCGTGAGTGGGACCTGCAGCATCTCGTCGGGAAGCACAAGCCGGATCGTGTTGATATACCCGGCATCGAATCTGTGTGGGTCGGCCGGGGCGACGGGAGGAAATGTGGGGCGGAGCGTGGAATGGGACAAAGGAGCGACGGGCGTGGACGACGCCACCGCCACCGGGGCAGTGGTCTGCACTTGATCATGAGACATGGATGTGTGAGTAGCTGGTGGGGTGAGGCGTAGCAAGGCGTAAGTGGCTGGCGCGCTATCAAAGCGTCGACTCGGAGCGATTGGGATGGAGACCTCCTGCGCCAGAGACGATCCTTCTTATACTACGGCGATGTATTCGGTGACGTGAGCAGGCCCCCCATGGAAAGACAATGTCCTCATTCGTGGCTTTAGGGACCGCGGGAGATCTGATGGTCGAACTGGGCGCTCACTTCTTCCGCGCCATTGTTTGAGTGCACTTCCCGATTGGGAAGTCCGTTAAAGCTAACAATCTCTAGGTCGTAGGCGGACGCGGTATCCGTGTGACAGCGATACGTTAGGCAATTTTTATTGTCGCCGCACGTTGGTCAAGATATATTCTCATTCAAAGCGCTGGAGGCACGCTCTGCAGAGAATCGATGACGCAAGTAAAAGACATGAGACCCAATGACTCCATAACAGCGAAATTATATCTGGAGCGCGACTAGGGCCCATCGAGCTGGCCTGCGCGTAGGATGCGCTGTCTGCCAGTTCCCAAAGGACTCAGGGAATCGGCGTCAAAGCTTCGACGAGGCATCACAGTTTGGGTATCGGTGAGCGAGAGATAGAGAGACGCCTAGGCTAGAGTTGCCGACGTGCAGATAAAAGTGATACTGGAGAGCCGACTTGACGCTCGGGGAGAAAGGGCGCATCACGTGGACGCGTCACAACTTACCCATGACTGCAGCTCAGGTACTGTTGCCGCAAGGGGAAGGTAAATCGAGATCGTTGCAGTGTTGTCGCGAGCTGAGCTCAAGCGAGTTCAAGTTGACGGAATTTTTAAATCCGCCGAGGAAGTTTGGTTTCAGGCGATATGGAACATGTATGTACTAAAAAGGAAATTCGGTTAGTATCTCACTTTCTTACTTTCTTTTCTCAATCTCGGTGCTATTTACTTCATTTTCGTGCTCTGGCGCACGCAGAAGGAAAATTCCAACTGAAAAACTTTACTGTGAGGGGGCTCTATTGTCCCTGCCCGGGTTCGTGAAATTCCGGCAACTTCATCACCTTTGACTAAAACCCTGTCCCGGCGTATTTCTCAGGTTTGACCCAGCTCCGTTGAAGCAGCTTCTAACTTTCAGTTTTTTGTTGCCCGATTTGAATGTGGAACGGGCCTGTATTTTAGCCGAAACACCATATCTTCAGAGAAAGATGTCGGATTTTGGTGTCCAACCTTGAGGTGCAGATGTGTCATTGACCGTTCAACAAGCCGCCGCTCAGCCGAATCGAGACCCAACTTTAAGCCGACTTCTCATTCTCACTATCAGTCCCAGACCGCGTGTACTTTGTTCTATTTTGTGATTTCGTTGCGCCGAAACCCGCTGGATATCCCGATTGCATCTCATCAAAGTTTATTGCAGAGAATCCAAAGAGCAACATGCAGAACTCACTCGGCTCTCAGTGCTTTGATTGTTGGTGGTTTGGTTCCTTACAAATAAGCTCAAAGTTCGGCATGTTGCTCCTTGGATTCTCTGCAATAAACTTTGATGAGATGCAATCGGGATATCCAGCGGGTTTCGGCGCAACGAAATCACAAAATAGAACAAAGTACACGCGGTCTGGGACTGATAGTGAGAATGAGAAAATGAAATAAACAGCACTGAGATTGAGAAAAGAACGTGAGATAGCTTGATTTGCTTTTAAATACATGTTCCATATCGCCTGAAGCCAAACTTGTGGCGCCTCGAGCCCCGGTAGATTTAAAATTACGTCAGCTTGAACTCCCTTGAACTCAGCTCGGGGCAAAACTAAGCCAAGGGGACTGGCATCCGCATACCTCAAAACACTCGAGCTATATGATACAGATATTTCCATAATTCAGACCTAGCGACCTCCAGGCATCATCGCAACCTTGTTTCCGTTCTCAAGCCCCATAAACGAATCGTCGGTAGCAGCACCAGCGCCGGCTGATGCCCCATTGATCGGCTCGTCGCCGCACCCACAGTCGTACGTGTCGTCCAGATGCGCGCAGTCGAACTGCTCCTTGTGCAGTCGCTCGTTGACGCGGTTGTGCAGAGAGCATAGCCTGAGGACGGCGCATCGGTGGCTTCGCTCACAAAAAAAATTACTCCCGTGAGAGGTGTACGTACCAGAGAGACGCAGATCGGCGGGAGGAAGTCTGGGGGAGACTACATGTGAGGCGATCGGGGAGGAGCGAGTGATTCTCGCGTACCTGTGGCGGAAGCTGCTTGAGGAGGAGCTGGAACTCGGCGGCGCACTCTCCGCAGGGATACAGCCGCGACAGGAGGTGGAAGTACGAACTCAGCGCGTCGCGCTCATCTTGCGTCGGTTTCTACCGCGGCGTCAGCCCTGTAGCCACATACTCCCACCGGCAAACGAGACGCACCTCGGGGTAGCGCAGCGTCATAGTGTGTCTGCGTGCCGTGCGTCGTGAGGGCGGCACTCGCGCACACGGGCTGGAACGGCACGTACAGTAGTTTCCACGTCGCGCGGCCGAGCGCAGCTCTAGAGAAGATCATGTAGCGCGCCGACGGGGGAGGAGGGACACAGACACCCGTACTTGGCTGTGGCGTTGCCTAGCTTTCCCATGATGACGCCTCCCTCCGCGCCGAGGATAGGCAGTGGTGGTGCTGACGGTGGCCCGGGGTCGGTGGCGCGCAGCGCCTGCTCCATCCCGTCCTCCCCAAAGAGTCGACCGGACCAAGGGTCAAGGTACGTGCGCGATGGCGCGTGGAAGAACGTCAGTGTCGAGAACAGCAGCTGGGCAGGACACTGTTATTCGGCTCTCGAGCGGGCGGGATGTGCGCCGTACAGTTACGGCGATGATCGTGACAAACGCCTTGGCGAAGCGCGAAATCATGTGTGCGGGGTACGACTGCGGTGGTTGAGAGTCGAGGGGGTGGAGCCCAGAGCAGAAGAGGACCGAGGTCAAGACACGGTGGATGGCAGGTCCAAGTCAATTGCCATCAAAAGGCTGTCTGGACCCGCGAATGATCGCTTCTGACCCGACGACAGCCAAATTCATCTAGTGCTTTGTAGACAATCCTATCTACTCCCAACGCTGACGGCGGACTTTTCGACTTGAACACGCAATCTACTCTCTCTAGCTTTCGTATCGCATGACTTCGCACGAAACTGGCCTACTGCCGTTGAACACCGCAGCGAACTTCGAGTTCGGCAAGCGCAAACGGTGGGCCGATCTAGTCATCACGGAGCTGGTCGACGTGCTGGCCTTCGTGCTGTCCCCGCAGGGCAAGATCCTGTACTGCGGCAACGGACTACGGAGTCTTCTGGGCTGGAAGGACGAGGACCTGATGGATCGCGACCTGACCGACTTTGTCAACCGTGCGTCGTTCCCCGTGCCCCTGTTGCATGTGCGCCACGAGTCGACGTTGCGTCATCCACAGCTGAGGACAAGGATGGGTTCAGGCGCGCGCTCGAGGAGTCCGTGCGCTCCGGCACGGAGATGTCGTCCGTCTACGTGCGCATGAAGCCCGTCTCCTCGTCGGTCGCAGACCGGACGGCCTCTGGGGAAATCATCTTCGAGGTCAACGGCCGCACGCAGTTGGCCACCCGCGAAGACTCCACCGCCGTCGCCCCGCAAGTCTTCTTCGTCGTCGCGCAGCCCTACGGCAGCAAAAACCTCGAAATGCAAGCCCTGATCCTGCGATTGCAGCCGGGCGCTGGGTACTGACTCCGCGGATTGCAGGCTCGACACCTTTCTGGAGCTGCGCGAAGAACAGGAGCGGCTGCAGGAGCGCCTCGTACAGCTGCGGCTCCGCGCGCCCCCGTCCACCGCATCGTCCCCCGCGTCCTCCTCCGGCTCGGCGACGTACTCGACCGCATCGATGCCCCTGACCAGCCGCCCGCTCGACACCTCGCACGGTCACCGAGACGTCTCCTCTAGCCCTGCGTCCGGTGCGATGGCTGCTGTGATGCACAGCAGCAAGGCGGAGGAAGACGATGATCCGATGCGCAAGAAAAAGGTGTGCTCGGCTTGCCTAGACGTCCGATCCGCGACCGACGTTCCTCGCAGCCAGTTCCGAAAAAGTCCATGCCCGCCGAGCAGTATGTCTGCATCACCTGCGGGCGGACCGACTCCCCGGAATGGCGCAAGGTAAACACCCGCTTATGTTGATCGAGGCTCTATATCTGATTTGCGATCGACACGCAGGGACCGCTGGGCCCTAAGACGCTGTGTAACGCGTGCGGGCTACGATGGGCGAAGCAAAACAAGGTGCAGAAGCTGGTGGACGATGTGTGATTCGGGTTGCTGGGTATCTATCATGTAAGTAAATGTTGTGTACGAGTATAGTTTTTGTAGTAAGCGCCGGTCTAAAAGCCTTCTCAATACTGTAAAACACGAGTTCAGATAGTTCGCGCCCCCCCTTGTCTAAATGTTGTCCACATAGTGTTCTTGCCCAAGTTCACAAGTTGATCATCCAGATCCCGCGCAAGGGACGTAATATACTTCGTTAATATATGAAAAACAACACACGGGTGATCTACACCTGCTACGTCGACTTGCACCGATCCGCGCTGAGCGTGGCGGGGTTTCCCCACCAGTTGGGGAACGCGACAGCCGTGCCGCTCGCCCCGAACACAGCAAACGACAGGATGAAGATAATCACTTGGCTGTATCGCGCGCAAGTCAGCACAGATGACTCAAGATGCAGAAGACACAAACGGACCTGCCACCGTCCAGCGCAGCAGACAGGATGTAGTTGTATTTGGCGAACCACTTGGGGCGGCGGGTGCGCATGTACCACTGCGACCAGGTGCCGATGATCATGCAGCTCGTCCACTGGCCGTTGACAGAGTACGGCAGGCTGACCGAGAGGGTCAGCAGGTGGAGGACAGAATGGCACACCCTGAAACGACGTACTATCCGATGTACAGCGTGATGATGGTCGGGTTGAGGTACTTGGCAGCCTTGCCAATGGGGGACTTGTCTCCTGCAAACTTCCACACGAGCCAGAAAGGGATCGGGATAAAGAATCCGATAAAGCTAGCACGCAGTGTCAGGTCAAAGGATGTACAGCTTCCCCACGAGTGAGAGACGCACATGGCAAACGGCACGAGCCAGTACGGCTTTCCGTGAGTGAAAAGTTCCTTCGCGAGAGCGCCCATGGCAATCGATGCACTGTTGTACTGTTGGACAATCCAGCCGGACCACAAACGCGTGCCGATCGGGTCCTTGAGCACGGCCCGGTTGTTGTTCACGATCGTGATCATCATCGTGTAGTTGAAAATGGCGCCGATCAGAGACCCTGCCATTTGCGCACCAAACGTCACCCGGGGCGGCACTTTTGTGTACTGGTTATTTTGAGAATCAATCAGAAAAAAACCAAGAGGTCTCGTGCATGACTTGCCTGGCCGAGCTTGAGATCTTGCAGCAGCAGCAGCGTCTGGGTGCTCGTCGAGTTCCCGTACAAATTAGCGTACATCACCGGACTGGAGCGCACACCATGAGACTACTTCACACAAGACTGCTCACAGTCACTCACATCGGCTGTCCAGCATGGATAAAAGCCGCGATGACCTGGATGGCATACTTGACGCTGATCTGGAAACCTGTCGTGGCGGTGATGAAGCCGAGGACGGTGGCAATGAAGATGCTAATGACGGTAAACAGGAGAATGCTCCAGCCCGGCATGAGCACCGTCCCATGCGGACCCGCATAACTGCATCCAATGCCCACACCGAGTGAAGCGAGGAAAAGCGCCATGTAGACCCATTGTGGGACCTCCGGATACTTGCGCATCTCTGTCACCGATTGATGAGCATGGATTTTCTTATTGAAACCTTTGCACCAGGCACTTACCCTGATAATGGGGGTCATCGATGTTATCTGGCGAGTTTTGCAGGAACTGCATCGACCCGAACGCGGCTTTCAGCTCCTTCCAATGCCACAAGAAGATCGTCGTGATCGCACAGCCCAGAGACAGGTTGTAGCACAGCTGCGAGATTGCATACGTCGTCGAGTACCTCGGCAGGCCAATCGCATCCAGCGCAGTCGCATTGAGCTTGTAGTCCGCAGTGATCACCACGCTTTGGTTGTAACTCGATCCGTCCGCCGCGAAGAGCGAGGTCGACATGAAGGGCAAATCGCGCCCGCCGAAAATGTTGCTGTAGTATGCCGTCGTCAGAAGGATGTAACCGAGGACCATGCCGACTGCGACAACGCATGATCAGCAAAGAGAGACACTGGGAGGTGTGCTCTGATGACGCACTGTAGCTGTTGATCTGCGTCTGGTACGGCCAGGTTAAGGGGTTCCCCTGCGTGATCAACGTCCAGGAAGTGCTGACGGACAGGAAACCGATGCCCTCGTTACTTGAGCCAGCACCGAACAAGTTGCGGACGAAATCGTGGCGTCCGTTGTCCGCGAGGCAGATGATCGAAATCGCCGTGAGCAAGGGAAAGGGGTACTGAGGAATCCCTGTCCAGAGCTCAAACGGCGAGAATACGCAACATCACTCCGCTTACATTCCCAGCAGAAGATGCAGGCGAATACGATCCAGAAGAACCTCCGCTTCTTGTGGTTGAGGGCACCTCCCCAGTGAAGCGACTGCAGTAGATTCACGGTCGAGATGTACGCAGGGTAGAACGCGCTACACAACACCAACATCAGTCACGAGAAGTGGAGCAGCACCAGACATACTAGGTCGGGTACACCAAGAAGTTCCGCACTACGGCAACAGAACATCTAAGCGAGCGGTCGAGACAGAGCGGCGGCACATACATATTCCGGCAATACCATATCCCAGCATCTGAGAAGCAAAGAGCTGGAAGACAGCGACGGCGCCGTTGAGCTTGAGGTCGTAGAACAGATTCAGCGCAGCGATGATCTCCATCCCCACAGCGACATTCGCGGCCGTGCCGGACATGATGACGATCGTGGTGTGCTCCCTGCGAGACCGGTGGATAGTAAGCATCAGCACGCACAGCGGGCCAAGACACACGGACTTGATGTTGAACGGGCCTGGGTTCAGGAAGCGGAACCAACCGCGACTTGGCAGGAAGCCTGTTCGCCGGTTACGTCAGTGAGTGACAAGAGACAGTGGATGGATAACGTCGAACGCACCGTGCATGGCAGTTCCGAGCAAGTACGCGATGATAAGACAGAATAGCTGGGAGACCGTCGCATTTTGCGGCTGTGAGACATACCCGTCATTACTTGCCTACCGTCCAAAGTAGGCCGGAGGAATTAAGACATACCTTGAACGTGTAGATCGTGGCGAGGACGGACGAAAAGGCACTCAGACCGACACCAAGGAAGATGGAGCGGAACGTGATGCAAGGCAGATCGGCGTCGTCGCGAGTAGACAAGATCTAGATGACGGGCGAGCTCTGTCAGAAACAAAAAGCTACCGGTGGTAGAGTTAACAAAGACGGACATGGGTGGCCACATCTGCCGCGTTCTCGATAACCCTGTCGTCCTCGTCCTCATCCTCCCCAGCGGACACGACAGTGGTCTTCTCGACGTCCTTGGCGATCGAGCTCTTCTCGCTGAGCTCGGTCTCCTTCTCCAAAACGGGCAGCACAGGGGGAGGCACAGCAGCGGCAGCAGCAGCAGACATGCTCGGTCACCGAGGGTCGGAGGGAACGATACGAGCGTGCGAGCCTGGCTGAGACGCTTCTTCGTCCATTGGGGCTTCTATAGTTTTTCCTGTTATCTCTGGAGTTGGAGAAGATACGATAACATGAGATAAGTAGATCAGGGAAAGAAGAGGGACCGGACAGATCCAGAGCAAGGGTGATAAGGACTCGTCTCGTTCTTCAACTGGAATATCTCCAGCCGTTGAGAAGAATGCAGACTTGATTCTCAGCGGGAAACAAGAGAGCTAGTAAATTGTCGGGCATCCAAACCCACGTAGAGCCCCAAGATATTCGAACGCACAACCTGTGAGGTTGACAGCAACTTGTATCTGCCGGCCGGTGGATGCCCGGCCGCCCGAGATTGTCTTCTATCTGATGTAATC